CATAATTTTTGATTGAGAGTTCCAATCGAAAAAGTACGAATCGTTTTGGATTCTACGCACCAAAATTAATATGAAAAAGTGTTTTCCGGAGAAATTTTGGAGTAGTCGATTTTTGGTAAAAAAGGAAGGTTATACACTAGCTTTTTTTGAGGCCGAAAAAAAATTGTCTGAGATCAACCGGGAAAAAACATTTTCTTATAGAATAGTTTGAAGATTGGGCTACTAGATCAAAAGTTACAGCCCCTTGAAATTTTTTTCGAAATTGGTTTTTTGTCCATAACTTTTGATTGAGAGGTCTAATCGAAAAAGTACGAATCGTTTTGGATTCTACGCACCAAAATTAATTTGAAAAAGTGTTTTCCCGAGAAATTTTAGAGTAGTCGATTTTTGGTAAAAAAGGAAGGTTATACACTTGCTTTTTTTGAGGCCGGAAAAAAAATTGTCTGAGATCGACCGGAAAAAAATATTTTCTTATAGAATTTGACCCGTAGAATCCACAATTTCAAACAGTTTGAAGATTGGGCTACTAGATCAAAAGTTACAGCCCCTTGACATCTTTTTCGAAATTGGTTTTTTGTCCATAACTTTTGATTGAGAGGTCTAATCGAAAAAGTACGAATCGTTTTGGATTCTACGCACCAAAATTAATATGAAAAAGTGTTTTCCCGAGAAATTTTGGAGTAGTCGATTTTTGGTAAAAAAAAGGAAGGTTATACACTTGTTTTTTTTTAGGCCGGAAAAAAAAATAGTCTGAGATCGACCGGGAAAAAACATTTTCTTGTAGATTTTGGCCTGTAGAATCCATAATTTCAAACAGTTTGAAGATTGGGCTACCTGATTTCAGTGATTTTTAAAGATTCCACTTGTACCGCATCATAGTGAAAAAGAACGGAACTAAAATGCGGTAGAATGAAGCGCTTTTAGATAAGAAGCGATCGAGTGTGCAAGCAGATTCAAAACAACACACAGCGCTGCCGATTCTAAGGATCGTTCTTATGTTGCACGAGGGACAAATTTTCTCCAATACTCTTACATCCATAAAAACGTGGTCGAAGCCTTGGTTTGCGTCTGGCCTGTTTCGGTTTTTGGACTTAGTAACTACATTAGGAAAAATTGGGTGGGAGAGAAGGACTTCTCTGAACCTTCAAAGCGAATTAATGCAAGTAGAGTGTGGTACGTTGTATTTTTATTGGGAAAGTTGAAGTTAATTGCCCAATACCACGAGTAAAACTAGTTACTAGATAAATCGAACATTTAATCCGTGGCAACTGAATTAATCCAAATTACATAACTTTTGATATCCACATAAACATCCGGTTTGCCACCAACGCACGTACCTCCAAGAGAGAACATACCAACTAGACTACCGTTTTTTACCAATGGCGCCCCTTCGCCCAAGGTGCACCCTCCAGCGGCGTAATCAGTGCAGAGGTTCTGAATCGTCACAATGTTAACCGACCAACGGCTTTGACAGTCTGCAAGTGACATTACACTTTTATTAACGTAGCGTAGAGTTGCGGAAAAAGGAGGTGATCCATTACTCATATTCCATGAGTAGAATATGCACGGTTCCCCGGGGTAGGTGAAATCATTCGGTAGCGGAACAACGCGTGTTTTGGGGGCGGTCAGCATACTCCCCACGGTCTTGATCAAGCCAACGTTGTCCGCTAATGTGGAGTTGTCGAAGTACTGGTGGGTGATCAACTGTACGGCTCGGAAGATGGCACCTCCATAGTGTAGATGGATTGAGCCAACAAAAACCTGAAGGTTGCTCGGGACGTCGCTGCAATCTATCGATGAGCACGAAGCGTGTGATTGCGATGTACTTACTGTTTAATACACCTCGCTGTAGTAAGCACGTATTTCGGTCTAATTATACTCCCTGCGCATTTGTGACTGTAGCTCAAGTCCTTCACTGATACTTGGTAAAGTAGTTGATCGTCAGGAACAGGTTGGCTACCAACTTGGTAAGCGGCTGTAAAATCTATTTGCATACCACTTCTGATAAACCAAACGGTACTCACCTGAAACGCCCAAGCTGATGAAGATTAGAGAGAGTAATTTGGGGTTCATGTCTCATCGGAACGGAGTGATAGAATGAGTGCTTAATTAATTTCAAGGTACAGATAAGATAAGCTACACTTACACTTAATTCCTAGAAGCGAGCCTTAGTTCACGATATCCGGATCCGGACCCTTTTCTCCGTGAATGAAGCAGTCACGGGGGTGGTAAAAACTGTATTCAAAATTGAGCTACGACACCTAATTCCGTGATTGTCTTCGACATTCAACTGTAGGCTCGAAACCCCGAAACCAGGGGTGGGTTACCTATCTTGCAGGAGCGGGATTACGCTAATCAAAGATCTTTTAACAAAAGGACTTTATTGCACCAAAGATGAGGCACGTCCTGTGTATTTCACCCTTCCTTAGAATCTTGGTACCTGCTTACTTGACCCATAATCCCCAAAACTTGTTTTTAACCTATTAATGTTACCTCTTAAAGTTGGTAAGTTCTTTTTTTCCCACCCCATTTCTATTTTTATTCAGTGAACTACCATTTTTAAAGTTTATTTTTGCAATGTAATTTATTTTGGACTTAAATTTCCGAGCTTTTACAATTAATAATAACTGCGATCATTATTAAACAAACTTTTCACAATTTCAGTGTTTTATTTTACGTTCCTTCCCTACTGTGCTTCAGGTCACAGCGTTGTTTACAACTCACGTAAGAGGGCCCTGCCTTAGATGTTTGATCACGTGCCACTTTTCAAATTTAAGCGAGATCTTGTTTAGTTTTAGAGGGAATAGTCATTCGGGTGGCCATTTTTAAATGTTGCCGGGTTGACTTTATTTCTGTGTTCTTGTAGTGTGAAGTTAGCGTAGAACCTGGGGGTTAAATACACTCAAAGTTCATTTCCAGAAATTTTGATAGGGTCTCTTTCCGGTTTCGTACCAACGAATCTCTATACAAGACCTCAATTAAGTTAAGTCTTATACCTCTCGGTAGGGAGCTTTTAAAAATCCTTTCGTATGCTCAAAACGCTCTTTGAAATCCATTTAAGGATCCTTTCAAAAGTTTTCAGTTATTCATAAAACGTAGAGATTCTATAAAAAACCTATTCGCGATTCAGTAAAGTCACTAGATATATCTAGTGACTTTAGACATTCAGATTGACACTGAGACCTCTGGTGGCAGCACATTGTAATTACCATTGGTGGTATAAGCCATTTTATTTATTTAAAATGACCAAAACTAATCAGTATTGTAGTTTTTATGGCTGTAAATGTAAATACACTTGCAAAAATTTCATTTGCAATCCATCCACGCTAAAGAGCAAGGATAGTTTAAAACGTCACATTTTATTAATTTACTTTCAAGTGTTTTAAATGTGATCAGTGCAATTGTGTAATTTAAAAAATCGTCGTCTAACACTCTAACGCATAATATTTCCAAAGTCATTGTGAACAGTGCAATTACATCACTGCTATCAGTCTAATTACGCTACAATTAAAATTTGACTTAAAGCGTCATCTATTAACACACACAACTTTCACAGACATTTAATTTGTGAACAGTGTAATTGATGTGAAATAATTTCATAAGTAAAATAGAAGCTAGCAAAAGGAGATAATTAATAATTTCAGCAAAATTTAATTTAATTTACGTTAGCTGCTCGCATATTTGGGCAGCTTATTATTGCATCCTGTTACAATCAATACATACTTTCAAATTTTTCCGCAACTGCAACGGTTATGTCGTCGCTTAAGCCATGATTAAAAACGCTGCTCTGTCTAGATCCTGCATTGGTCATTAATCTTTTTTTTTTTTGGGAATATCCTGGAAGATATTTCCATGGTTACCGTATACGAGCGACATCGCTTGCTCGTTTAATCTCAAAATATCCAACTCTTGAAAAAGAAAATCGATACAAAATTCCTAGGTCTCGTAAAATGAAAGGCACCTTTGATTGCCAGTTCATATTACAGTCACTCAAAATCAGGTGAGCGACAGCAAAAGTAGATGTCGTATGGAAAATATTAATTGGGCACAATCACCAAGAGAATGTTGAAAGAATTTTAACAGAATTTGAAGAGAATTTGCAAAAAATTTTCAAAAAATGTCAAAAGAACTTCAAGAAAACGAAAAAATTCCAAATAAAATGAAAGAAAATGTTTAAGATTTCAAGAATACTACAATACTACAATCAGAATTTCAAGAACATTTTAATAGAATTTCAAAAAAATTACAAAAAACCTCCAACAGGATTTCAAGTAAATGTCGCTATATTTGCAAGACAATTTGAAGAGAATTTCGAAAAACGTAGAAAAGAAAAATGAAATTTAAAAAAATTAAAAAGTTACGAAAATACTATAATACAACTTCAAGGGAATTTCAAGAAACAAGAACAATTTCAACAAAATTACAAAAAATATGCAACAAAATTTCAAAAAAATTACAAACATTTCAAGAATACTACGACACAACTTTCAAGAATCTTATAGTAAAATTTCGGCAAAATTACAAAAAAAGGGTAAAGAAATTTCGATAGAATTTTTGAGACCATCAGAAGGATCCGAAATGAATTTCCAGACCACTACATAGACAAATTTCTACAGAATTTCAAAAAAAGCCTAAAAAAGGCGAGAATTTTAAGAAAAAATCATGATTACCTTTACTTTAGGCACTGTTTGGACTATTTCCAGAACTGGCGAGATCCTTCTACGCTCTTTTCAGTTCGAGGCGAGGCTAAAAATCACCAGAAGGGCCTAGAAAGGGCCTTAAAGTACTAAAAATTCTTCTGAAAATTGGCCAGAGCTCTCATCTGCCTCTAAATGTCTCCCTTCGCCCGTCCTTGACAGAGTCGCAAATCCAGTGAATGCTAAACAAATGATTAACAAAATATTTATTATCTTACACAATATACAAAAAAAAAGATTCTTCGATTATAGAAATCATGCACGCGCAACTTGTAAAATGCGCGCGATTTAAAAGTCGAGAAATGAGCTCAGGGGATCGTCGACCACTTTCGAGTTTTCCAATTTCTTCACTTGCGCCGTTTTCGCCACCCTCCTGTCCGACGATGATTTGACGTCGCCTGCAAACAAACGGCACAATTGACATTCTCTTGACACTTGTCAAAATGTCCCAACCTAAAGACACCCTAGCGGGCAACAATGACAAAATTATTAAGTGCATCGCCGACCTTAAAAAGCAACGGAAGGAGCTCGAGTTCCTCATCGGAAAACAGCAAGAAGAGCAGAGCACGTTGCAGACCGAGATGGAACGAATTACTCTCCGATTGGGCGTAATAAGTAAAGGCCACGCGCGGCGCGTTGCCGCCAAAGACAATTACGATATCGCCATCAAAAATGCGGAAGAAAGTTACCAGGAAATCGTAACGTTATCCGGACGACTGTTGCAAAGCATACGGAAGAATATGTCCGAGTTGGAAGAGGCGATGGATAAGAAAATCGGTACTGACACAAACGTGAAACCGCAAAGCAATAGCAGTTTAAGCGAAAATTCTGGTAGGGAATTGCCGCATCTGATTGAATCTAGTCTGCTTTCGCTGTAATCTTTAAATAAAACGTGATTTTCTTCTTTTTTTGGCCCCCTCCACCTTTTTTACACGTCACAGTGCCGCGTTGTGATTGGTTGCGCCATTTTGTGTGGCGGTAAGTTTGAATTTCCTGTAGTGCAGCCACCATTTATTTTCGAATTTGCACTATTTCGTGAATCTATATGCTAACTACAGAAAACTATATTATCAACGCCAACAAACCCTTACTAGATGGCTCCCCAATCAGAAATTCAAAAATTCAAATCTACTTTAAATTTACCGCAACAAAATGGCTGACATCCGCAAATTCAAAAATTCAAATCTGCCGCACAAATCGAATACAAGAAACAAAATGGCCGACATTCGAAAATTCAAACTTACCGTCACAAAATGGCGCAGCCAATCAAAACGCAGTAAGATAATTTTAAGAAACTTTTACATGAATTTCGGCAAAATTACAAGAAAGGTTTAAAAAAATTTCGGGAAAATTTTAACGAAAATTGAGAGAGATTCTTCCAGACAAACCAAAGAAATTCAGGAACTTTCAAGCAACTTTCCACAAAATTTCAAAAGAACTTGCAGAAAACGTCGAAAAAATTCCAAAAGATTTTCAAATTTCGCAATAGAATTTTTGCCGGCCCGTATAGCGCAGTTCAGTTAAAGCTGAACTGTGGTGCTAAGGGTCCCTGGTTCGAATCCGGGTTCGGGCATGGATATTTGTAAATGTATAGTGGGTTGGGTTGGTAGAACAGCCTTGGCTGAAACCCCGCCCACTCAAAATTAAAGGCAAAAAAAATAAATAAAAATAAAATAAAAAACTAAACAAAATTAACAGAATTTCAAAAAAATTTTAAAAATTTCAGCAAAATTACAAAAAATGATCAACAGGCTTCCAAACATTTCAATAAAATGCAAGACTCAAGAGAGAATTAAGAAGAGGAAGATAATTTCAAGACGATTTCAAGAAACTTGTATGTGTATGTCAATAGAATTTCTAAGTATTTAAAAAAGTCTCGGGAAAACTTTAAGAAGAATTCAAAAGGATCTGAAATCCATTTCCAGATAACTTTAACTTCATGAAAACTTTCAAGCAAATATTTAAAAAAATTCAAAATTCCACAATACAATTTCAGTTAAAAAAAATTCAATAGCATTTCAAAACAATTTCAAGAAAATCGGCAGTCGGCAAAATTATAAAAAATCTTCGGCAGGATTTCAAGAAAATTTCAATAAAAGTGCAAGACAATTTCCAAAGTATCCAAAAAATTACAAGCATTTCAAAAAAGTTTCAAGAATACTACAACATAAATTCAAGAGGATTTCAAATAACTTTTAAAAAATTTCAACAGAATTATAAAAAAAAATCTTCAACAGGATTTCGAGAAAATTTCAATAAAATTGCAAGACGATTTCAAGAAATTTCCAAGAAGATTACAAAAATCTTCAAAAATTTCAAGAGAATTTCAAGAAACTATTAATAGAATTTCGGCAAAACTATAAAAAAAACTTAAAAATCGTCAATAGAATTTGAAACTATTTCAAAAAAATCTCGGGAAAACTTTAAGAAGAATTCAGAAAGATCTGAAATTCAAACTTTCACAATACAATTTCAGTAAAAGAAAATTCAATAGCATTTCAAAACAATTTCAAGAAAATTTAGTCCGCAGAATTATAAAAAATCTTCGGCAGGATTTTAAGAAAATTTCAATAAAAGTGCAAGACAATTTCAAAAGTATCCAAAAAATTACAAGCATTTCAAAAAAGTTTCAAGAATACTACAACATAACTTCAAGAGGATTTCAAGAAACTTTTAATCAAATTTCAACAGAATTATAAAAAAAATCTCCAACAGGATTTCAAGAAAATTTTAATAAAATCGCAAGACGATTTCAAGAAATTTCCAAGAAGATTACAAAAAGCTTCAAAAAAATTTAAGAATTTCAAGAATACTGCAACACAACTTCAAGAGAATTTCAAGACTTTTAATAGAATTTTGCCAAAACTATAAAAAAAACTTAAAAATGTCAATAGAATTTCAAAATCTCGGGAAAACTTTAACTTCATGAAAACTTTCAAAAAATTCAAAATTTCACCATATAATTTCAGTTAAAAAAAATTCAATAGCATGTCAAAACAATTACAAGAAAATTTTTGAAAATGTTAATAGTCTCAGCAAAATTATAAAAAATGTTCGGCAGGATTTGAAGAAAATTTCAATAAAAGTGCTAGACAATTTCAAAGGTATCCAAAAAATTCCAAGCATTTCAAAAAAGTTTCAAGAATACTACAACACAACTTCAAGAGGATTTCAAGAAACTTTTAATAGAATTTCGGCAAAACTATAAAAAAAACAAAAATATCAATAGAATTTCAAACTACTTCAAAAAAATCTCGGGAAAACTTTAAGAAGAATTCAGAAGGATCTGAAATACATTTCCAGATAACTTTAACTTCATGAAAACTTTCAAGCAAATATTAAAAAAAATTCAAAATTTCACAATACAATTTCAGTAAAAGAAAAATTCAATAGCATTTCAAAACAATTTCAAGAAAATTTAGTCAGAAAAATTATAAAAAATCTTCGGCAGGATTTCAAGAAAATTTCAATAAAAGTGCAAGACAATTTCCAAATTATCCAAAAAATTATAAGCATTTCAAAAAAGTTTCAAGAATACTACAACATAATTTCAAGAGGATTTCAAGAAACTTTTAATCAAATTTCAACAGAATTATAAAAAAAATCTCCAACAGGATTTCAAGAAAATTTTAAAAAAATTGCAAGACGATTTCAAGAAATTTCCAAGATTACAAAAAGCTTCAAAAAAATTTCAGAAATTCAAGAATACTACAACACAACTTCAAGAGGATATCAAGAAACTTTTAATAGAATTTCGGCAAAACTATAAAAAAAACTTAAAAATCTCAATAGAATTTCAAACTATTTCAAAAAAATCTCGGGAAAACTTTAAGAAGAATTCAGAAGGATCTGAAATCCATTTCCAGATAACTTTAACTTCATGAAAACTTTCAAGCAAATATTTAAAAAAATTCAAAATTTCACAATACAATTTCAGTAAAAGAAAAATTCAATAGCATTTCAAAACAATTTCAAGAAAATTTTTGAAAATTATAAAAAATCTTCGGCAGGATTTCAAGAAAATTTCAATGAAAATGCAAGACAATTTCAAAAGTAGGTATCCAAAAAATTACAAAACATTTCAAAAAAATTTCAAGAATACTTCAACATAACGTCAAGAGAATTTCAAGAAACTTTGAATCAAATTTCAACAAAATGATTAAAAAAATCTGTAACAGGATTTCAAGAAAATTTCAATAAAATTGCATGACGATTTCAAGAAATTTCCAAGAAGATTAAAGAAAGCTTAAAAAGATTACAACAGAATTTCAAGAATACTACTAACTTCAAGAAACTTTTCATAGAATTTCCGCAAAATTACAAAAAAAAATTTCAATACCATTTCAAGAAACTTTTAGGAAAATTCAGACTAACCCAAAGTCAATTTTCACATAACTTTCAGAAAATTTCGATTTCGATAAAATTTCAGAAAAATTTTTCGTTTCCAAAAAATTCAAAATGATAAAAACATCTTGACCACGATTTCAACAAAATTTCAATAAAATTGCAAGACAATTTCAAGAAATTTCCAAGAAGATTACAAAAAGCTTAAAAAAAATTAAAGAATTTCAAGAATACTACAACACAACTTTAAGAGAATTTCATTAGAACTTCACGAGAATTTGAAGAGAATTTCCAAAAAATTTCAAAATTTGTAGAGAATTTCAAAAAAAACCTAAAAAATTAAATTTCAAGAAACCTTTAAGTAAAAGAAAATCATAATTACCTTTACTTTTGGCAGTTTTTTTAAACGATAATCCGAATATATCGTCGTCGTCGCCCAAGTCATCATCATCGAACAGAGACTCTTTCAAAATATTCGACTTGGGAGGCAACTTGTTCGAACTGAAAATATCGTCGAGCTCGTCGTCGTCGTCGTCAAAAAGGCCGAGCTGTTTGTGCTCCTCCGATTCGAAATTATTGGAGCTGACGTGAGGCTGCTTTGGTTCGTCGCTCGCCTCGACGACGCTCGTAACTTTTCTTACGACGCTTATATTACTATCAGTCTTTTCGGGCGAGTCTTCAAAATCGTCGTCGAATGTTTTTCGCGCGTTCTCTTCGAAGATATCGATGAACTCCGACTGCGGGACCGAGTCGGCGATCTTCGGTTTGTCATCGGCGATCTTCGGTTTGTCATCGGCGATCTTCGGTTTATCATCGGCGATTTTCGGTTTGTCATCGGCGATCTTCGGTTTGTCATCGGCGATCTTCGGTTTGTCATCGGCGATCTTCGGTTTATCATCGGCGATTTTCGGTTTGTCATCGGCGATCTTCGGTTTGTCATCGGCGATTTTCGGTTTCGTATCGGCGATCCTCGGCGCGACTTCGGCGATTTTCGACGGCTCATCGGCAACCTTCGATGTCTGATCGTCTGACAGTATGCTAAAATCGGGCACGGAATTGCGTAACGATTCTTGCCGCCCTTTTCTCGTCGACGGTCTCCGCTTGATCGATATTCGCGCGCGATCCTGAAAGTCGAAACTTTACCTCGACATCATCTGCGCGCCTAACGCACCTTCGTTATACTGGGCAGCACTTCGGAGGCGGCGGTTTGGAGTCTGTCGGGCTGAACGAAATCGCTTTCGTCCGCAGGCTTCGGCTTCTTTTTCAGAGGGGAAGCCCCCGGAAGAAGCGCGCCGACGTTGATTTTGAGGTTGTGCTTTATTTTGCCGGATGAATCTGAAAGCTTTGCGAAAATTGAATCCGACTCGCCTACCGGCTCTTCCTCCTTGCTTTGGGCATGATCACCTTCGGAAGCGGTCGCTTCCGTATAAAGACTATCAATTTCTCCGCTGGGAGTAATCTCGAGATTCGATTCGCTAACATCTCCGTCCTGAGTGTAAGAGGTCTCCGGGATGATCTCCAAATTCGATTGGACATGTGGCTCGAATTGCGACTTATTTTTCGTCACAAAAAAGCTATCGTTCGACTGTTGGTCGCTGAAAATATCCGTGGAGAATCGGCGGGAGGACGTGGCGTGTGGACTAAACGATTCGTCATTTCCTACCCTAAAATGTAAATTAAAAAAATTGAAAAAATCAAAATTAAAAAATACAAAAATAAACATTTTAAAATTCAAAAAATTAAAACTTCCAATTTAAATTCACACAGAAACTAAAAACCCGAAATAAAAATGTAATGACATTGCGGTAACAAATTATCACTAATTAAAGATTAAAATTCATAATTTAAGATTTTAAAAAATCAAAATTTCAGAATACAAAAATTAAAAAAAACCGAATTTATAATTTAAAAAATTTAAAAAATCAAAAAGAAATAATATTTAACAATTTTTCAAATTTTATTATTTTAATTACTAGTTTTTAAATGCCGTTAATTGATTTTTTATTACAGTTCTGTTTAAACTTCCTTGTTGGTTTATTTTATATTATTATTTGAAAAGAATATCCAAAACATTTCAAAAACACTTCAAGAAAACGTCAAAGAAATTTTAAAAAAATTTGAAATTAAATGCAAAAAACACTACAAGTTCAAGAGAGTCAAGAAATTTTTAAAAAAATTACCAGAAAGCTTCAACAAGATTCCAAAAAAAATTCGAAAAGGTGTTAGAAAACTTCAGAAGAAGTCAATTTCAAAATAACTTTAAACGCATTAAAAAAAATATGAACAAAATTTTTAAAAAAATTAAAAAAAATTCAATAGAATTGCAAGATAATTTCAAAAAAATTTAAAAAGCTTTTCGAATTTCGAATAAAAATTTAAAAAATTCAAGAAAATTTAACACTAAGTTCCAGAAAACGTTGAAGATATTTCAAAAAAATTCACATAAAATTTAGAACAATTATAAAAAGATTTGAAGAATATTGTAGTACAAATTCAAGAGTTTTAAGAGACATGAATAGAATTGAAACAAAATTACCAGAAAACTTCAACAAGATTTCGAGAAAATGTCAAGAAAAGTCAGGAAAATTTAGAAGACATTTTTAGAAAACAAGAAGAATGTAAAGTCAATTTTAAAATGTTAAAACTTTAAGAGCATTTCAAGGAAATTTCAAAAGAATTTCCAATGAAATTTAAAAAATATTTTAAAAGATTTCAACTTGGCTAATTTCACATTTTTCAATTTTTTCATAAAAATTTAAAAATAATTTCAATAAAAATGCCAAACTTAAGAAAATTTAAAAAATATATCAAAAGAATTTCAGGAAATTTAATATAATTTGGGCAACAAAAAAAAAGCTACAATTTCAAGCTAATTTTTTACAAATTTCGGATAAATTTTAAAAAAAGTTTGTCAAAACAGTTTTTAGAACTACAAAAAAATCTTCAGCCATTTCAATAAAATTTCGAGAAAATTTCAATACATTTTAAGACAGTTTCAAGAAAAGTAACAAGAAACCCTCAAGCAAAATCCAAAAAGATTCAAGAAAAAATGTCAAAACATTTGAAATTTGAAATGAATCTAAAAAATTTGAGAAAGAATGCAAGAATACTACACTACCACTTTAAAAGAATTTTTAGACAATTGAGGACAATTAAAAAAAAATTCAACAGGATTTCAACACTAAGGTTCGGGATAGAAGAATGTGAAGTTGATTTCAAGACAGCTAAAATTCCAAAACATTTCAAAAAACGCCAAAGAAATTTGAAATGAAATTACATACAATTTTAAAAAGATTTTTAAAATATTGCAATACTTTTCAAGAAACTTTTATAGAATTACAGCAAAATTACAAAAAGCTTTAAAAATTCAAAAATGTTAAAAAAATTCAGAAGGACCTGAAGTCAATTATCAGATAACTTTAAGGAATTTGCATGAGAACTTTCACGCAAATTTCCAGAAAATTTCAAAACTTCCATAAAACGGAGAAGTTTCAAAAGTATTTAAAAAAAAACATGATTTCAAAAAAACTTGGATATATACCTAACCTTGGAAAAATTACAAAAAAAACTTCCAACACAATTTCAAGAGAATTTCGGAAACATTTTATGAACATTTCAGAAGAATTAGAAGTCAATTTCAAATCAAATTTTAAAAAATTTAGAAGACAATATTTTCAAGAAAATTCCAAGAAGAAGAATTTGTCAAATTTTTTTTTTAATTTCTGAAGGATCTGAAGTCAGAGAAGTTTAAAATTTCATGAAACATTTGACGCAATATAGCAAAAATGCTACTCGAAAATTTCGCGCTAGAATTACGAAAATTTTTTTTAAAGCTTCCACAGAATTTCAAGACCATTTTTAATTTCAGCAAATACAGAAAATCTAACGAATTCAAGAAAATTTCAAGACAATTTCAAGATAATTTCGAGAAAACTTCAATACATTTCAAGATAGCTTCAAGAAATTTCAGTCAACTTCAAGTAAATTACAAAAAAAGCAAAATATCAGATTTTATAAAATTTCAAAAAATTTTCAAACGGGACACCAACAAATATGAAAAAATTTGAAATAAGTTTTAAAAACAATACAAACAATACAGCTTGACGAGGATTTCAAAAAAAGTTTAACAGAATTTCAGCAAAATTGCAAAAAAAATTCAATACGATTTCAAAAAACTTTCAATATAATTTCACAGCAAACTTTCATGAAATTTTAAGAGAATTTTTTGAAATCAATTTCAAGCCAACTTTAAAAAATGTCAAGAAAATTTCCAGAAAATTTCAAAACAAAAAAAATTCAAAAGAATTTCAAATGAAATTAAAGAAAATTATAAAAGGATTTCAAGAATACCACACTACAACCTCGAACTACGACAGAAGAAAGATTTAAAGTTTTAAAAAACTTTCAGAATTCAGAATTTCAAAAATTAATTTCGGTCTGACTTTTTATTTTATGTTTTTTAATTTTAATAACAGGAATAATAAAATCAATAAATAAGAAAAATTGCAAAAATGCAAAATAGTTAAAAAATTGTAAAATGAGATTCCTATTTAAAAATTACAATTTTTGAGATTTTTTTAGCCAAAAGTGAGTAGTTTTTGATCGAATAACAGAAAATTAAAACTTCATAATTGATTTTTTTAATTTTGTTCAAAAAAACAGCCCAATAAGCCAGTACTTACCTGGTGCTGATATCTCTAACAATTCCACTGGATTCAAAGAAAAGAGAGGGCGGTTCACTATCAAACAACCCCGACCTTTGGCTACTGATTTCTTGTACGTTGTCGAATAGGCCTCCGTCCTCAAAAACGTTGTCAGATTGCGTGTCCCAATCCAACTCCGACGGATTGCTGTCAAACACATTGGGCAAAGGAGGAATGTTCCCGCTGTCACTTTCGGCCGGAGTCGGATACTTCGGCTCATTAACGACGGGCGTTGCGAATAAGTCATCGCCCTCGTCAAAGAGTTTCGACTTACTTCGTGGAGCATCGGTTATTTTCGTCAGGCTGTCCTCGAACGAAGTTATGGTGGAGAAGAGATCCTTTTCGAAGAGCGCGCGTTCGTCGTCCTCCTCGTCGTCGTCGAACAAGCTCAGCTGCTTCGGTTTTTTGGGGGTCTCGAGCTTCGGCAGTGGCGGGGGCGAGCTTTTGATATCGTCCGAACTTTCGGAGGAGCTCGGCCGGCCTCGCCTCAGCCGATCCAAATCGGACTGATCGATCAGTTTTACGCCTCCGAACGGTTTCTGGGAAGCACCGACCTTGGCTTCTGCGGGTGGTGGGGGTTGCAATTCGGGAGGCTCATCCGCGAAGTAAGGCATTGAGGTGGTCTTGGCGGGTGGCAAGTATGGCGCTGGGTGAGCTTTGGAGGAAGCTTCGTTGAAGAGATCGTCATCGTCGTCGTCGAATAGCCCTCTAGAGTGCAGCTCACCCGTCGCGTTTTTGGGGGGCGGCGCCGCAGTACTGAACAGATCGTTGCCGTCACTAAACAGACTTTTATATGACGACTCTAAAAAAAAACAAGGGTGAGCTGAGGGTTTCTGCCTTTTGGCCATTACTTTCGACATTTGGTGGAGGTGCCTCGTCCCACAGGTCTCCGCCGCCGGCTAAATCGTCGAAGAGGCCCGCGCCGCCAGAAAACAGCCCCTTCTGGGTGTCGTCCGCGATCGGCGGGGGTTCATCGGAGAACAGATTACCGTAAGGCTTTACGTTGACCACCGCGTTAATCGGCTTTCTGTTGATCTCGGGCTCTTCGACGTAGTTTCCCAATTTCGCCGCCAGTTCGTTTGCGAAATTTCTTTGCGCCGTCGATACCTAAAGACACACCTTTAGACTTGTGGGCGACTAAAAGGGTGAAATTCGATAAATTTGCACAAAAAAAGGGCGCATAATTGAGGGCCCAATATAATTAACGACCGTAGCTAATTTTCTTTTCAACGGTGCCTAAATAATTTGCCTTTTGGCGCCTAATTAGACCATAGTTTTTTGATTATTTGTCTTTTACTAAACCGCCAATTGTCAAAACTGGTAGAAAGAGAGAAGAAGTAGAATTAGCACAGTATTCCAAGTTATTGAGTGAAGAAGAATTTGACGAAGAAGAAATAGAAGAATTGCCGAAATCACACGTCCGTCCACACACTATTGGTCCACTCTGTATATGGTTTGAGTAAATCTGTTAGTAGATCAGTAACGAAGCGTTTGCGTAGGTACCTAAATTTTTTTCCGGGTCGATCTGAGGCAATTTTTTTTTCGAGCCTCAAAAAAAGGCCTTCCTTTTTGGCAAAAATCTGTTTGAAATTATGGATTCTACAGGCAACATTCTATAAGAAAAAATTTTTTCCGGGTCGATCTGAGACAATTTTTTTTTCGGACCTCAAAAAAAGGCAGTGTATAACCTTCCTTTTTGGCAAAAATCGACTGCACCAAAATTTCTCGGGAAAACACTTTTTCTTATTAATTTTGGTGGGTAGAATCCAAAACAATTCGTACTTTTTCGATCAGACTTCTCAATCAAAAGATATAGACTAGAAACCAAATTCGAAAAAAAATTCAAAGGGCTGTAACTTTTGAACTAGTAGCCCAATCTTGGGACTGTTTGAAATTATGGATTCTACAGGCCACATTCTATTAAAAAAATGTTTTCCGGGTCGATCTGAGACAATTTTTTTTTCGGGCCTCAAAAAAAGGCAGTGTATAACCTTCCTTTTTGGCGAAAATCGACTGCACCAAAATTTCTCGGGAAAACACTTTTTCTTATTAATTTTGGTGCGTAGAATTCAAAACAATTCGTACTTTTTCGATCAAACTTCTCAATCAAAAGTTATAGACTAGAAACCTATTCCGAAAAAAAATTCAAAGGGCTGTAACTTTTGAACTAGTAGCCCAATCTTGGAACTGTTTGAAATTATGGATTATACAGGCCACATTCACGAAAATTTTTTTCCGGGTCGATCTGAGACAATTTTTTTTTCGGGCCTCAAAAAAAGGCAGTGTATAACCTTCCTTTTTGGCAAAAATCGACTGCACCAAAATTTCTCGGGAAAACACTTTTTCTTATTAATTTTGGTGCGTAGAATCCAAAACAATTCGTACTTTTTCGATCAGACTTCTCAATCAAAAGTTATAGACTAGAAACCAATTTCGAAAAAAAATTCAAAGGGCTGTAACTTTTGAACTAGTAGCCCAATCTTGGAACTGTTTGAAATTATGGATTCTACAGGCCACATTCTATAAGTAAATTTTTTTCCGGGTCGATCTGAGACAATTTTTTTTTCGGGCCTCAAAAAAAGGCAGTGTATAACCTTCCTTTTTTACCAAAAATCGACTACACCAAAATTTCTCGGGAAAACACTTTTTCTTATTAATTTTGGTGCGTAGAATCCAAAACAATTCGTACTTTTTCGATCAGACTTCTCAATCAAAAGTTATAGACTAGAAACCAGTTTCGAAAGAAAATTCAAAGGGCTGTAACTTTTGAACTAGTAGCCCAATCTTGGAACTGTTTGAAATTATGGATTCTACAGGCCACAGTCTATAAGAAATTTTCTTTCCCGGGTCGATCTGAGACAATTTTTTTTCGGGCCTCAAAAAAAGGCAGTGTATAACCTTCCTTTTTGGCAAAAATCTACTGCACCAAAATTTCTCGGGAAAACACTTTTTCTTATTAATTTTGGTGCGTAGAATCCAAAACAATTCGTACTTTTTCGATCAGACTTCTCAATCAAAGTTATAGACTAGAAACCAATTTCGAAAGAAAATTCAAAGGGCTGTAACTTTTGAACTAGTAGCCCAATCTTGGAACCGTTTGAAATTATGGATTCTACAGGCCACATTCTATAAGAAAATTTTTTTCCGGGTCGATCTGAGACAATTTTTTTTTTCGGGGCTCAAAAAAAGGCAGTGTATAACCTTCCTTTTTTACCAAAAATCGACTACACCAAAATTTCTCGGGAAAACACTTTTTCTTATTAATTTTGGTGCGTAGAATCCAAAACAATTCGTACTTTTTCGATCAGACTTCTCAATCAAAAGTTATAGACTAGAAACCAATTTCGAAAGAAAATTCAAAGGGCTGTAACTTTTGAACTAGTAGCCCAATCTTGGAACTGTTTGAAATTATGGATTCTACAGGCCACATTCTATAAGAAAATTTTTTTTCCGGGTCGATCTGAGACAATTTTTTTTTCGGGCCTCAAAAAAAGGCAGTGTATAACCTTCCTTTTTTACCAAAAATCGACTGCACCAAAATTTCTCGGGAAAACACTTTTTCTTATTAATTTTGGTGCGTAGAATCCAAAACAATTCGTACTTTTTCGATCAAACTTCTCAATCAAAAGTTATAGACTAGAAACCAATTTCGAAAAAAAATTCAAAGGGCTGTAACTTTTGAACTAGTAGCCCAATCCCTGTATAATGCAGGGGTATAATCACATAACAGTACTCAAACATAGAGGCAAGATGCCATTGTAAACAGATTCAATAATATAATTACGCACCCACATTAAACAAACAAAGCGCCCGACTTATCGCACAAGCCGATAACAATACTCATACTTGATTCCAAAGCCACCTTTCTGCAAATGGTTAAAATATAAAATACACTCTTAACTACGTACGCAGAATCTCTCTAAATTATCTAAACGCCCTGTATATTAATCTCAAACGAAAGTCAATTTGCAAATTGAAATATATAAACGCAAACACCCTAAGAAATCGACAATCACCCTACATCCTATGGTAATTACAGTAGTTACAAAGGAAAGTAAAGGATACATTTACCTATTGTAGCGAATATTCTAGAAATCCCGATAGACATCGAGGCGCAATAAAAAATTAGTCATCGGCGATAAGTGACGAAAGCGAATGTGACGCAATCTTTCCGGGAAATATGACGTGTTTGTTCGGGAACATTCTAGAACATTCGAGAGCGTTTGCTACATAAGTGAATCGCGTGTAGTTAGTTCCAACATCTTATGCGCTTGAGTTATGTTATGAATTGTGAGTGATAAATAATAATTACTGGCACGGTTTACGCCGTTATCGGCCTGATAGCCTCATCGCCATTTAATAAAGCCTCTTTTTTTGACCCCCGCCCCTATACAACTCCCTTCCACGTGGCCGTAAGAGGTTGAAATTTTACATGTGACATATTTGGAGGGTATAAAGGGTGTATATAACCTTTGGGACCCCTACCATTGTAGACCCAAGAGCCCTATTCTTACCGACTTTGTGTTCCATCTTTGAAACTTACATAACCTGAGGTTACATCCGTACTGTCACCGTCACTATCCCCAAACAAATCGAGCGGGGGTTTCACACTCTCATTAAACGTGGAATTTGCAACTGGTCGGTCATGGGTCGCCATTTCACTCCCCTACAACATCTCTCTTTTACCGAAACCCCAACCCGACTCGGACAAACCTTATTCGCATTATAAGACGATTCGCTGACGGAATCAGAATCGCTAAACTTCTCGGAGACCTCCTCATCTTCACTCTCGCTTGACGAATCGAGCAGCCCGACGTGCCACTTCTTGTACCACTCGTCCGTGCCAATCACGAACGGTAACGGACGATCGACGTACGGATCTTTCGGTTTTAGGACGAAACTAGAAAGGGAACGTTACCTCGGACGTGAGACAAAAGACAATTTACCTGGTAAAGTCGGTTTCGTCCTCCGAATCGCTGCCGGGCACCTCGACCTTGTCGAAGTACCTCTCGACGACGGCGATCCCGCCCAAAATTGCCTCCCTAACCTCCCTAACCTTCTCCTCTTTGCTCTGCTTGTGGACCTCGTCGTCTTGCGTTTTCGCCTCCTGCGGTACGGTCTCGTCGTCTTCGTAAACGCGACTCTCGATGAATTGCGTGTTGCGCAGGGTGCGAAAGTCGTTCTTCGCCTCGTCCAGCGCAAGACTCGCGTTGTCGAGGCCCGACAAGAGTTTATTTAAATTATTGTTCGTTTCTTCGGCTTTCAATAGTAGTTTCTGTAATTATACGGTTTACTTCTAATTGGGGGGAGTGGATGGTAGACCTCGGAAAATGATTCCAGGTGCTTTAATAAACCCGCATCTCCGGCTAAACTCCAGTTAGGTGCGTTTTTGGTTATTTCCTCCGTACTCCAAGGCCTCTGCCAAGGCTTCGCTGTGTCAGAAGACATTGAGATAAATTAATTATTTTTTGTTGTTAAGAGAAAATCATAACATAACCTAACTTTTTCATTGGAAAGTAGTTCAAAATGTCGTGACATTAGCGCAACTCCATTGTACATTACACCTACTTGACACTTTGGAAGTATGTACTACAAACAGTGGCGTAGCATGCTGCGTATGTGAGCATTGAAATCGTATAAAAATCGATCTTCAAACCTTTGAATTCTTTTTTGATTCTGAAAAGGATATTGAATCGTATTGTCTTGGGCCCTAAAATCGTGTGTCTCAAACCTAAAATCTTTTACCCTAAACCTTGAATCTTCTATCTTAAGCTGTGATTTTTCTTCTTCTTCAGACGTTTCAAACCACTTTGGTGGCATTTCTTTAGACTTCAAATTTTTTCGGTTCTTTGAATTCGTCCTATTTTTCACCTATTCCACTAAAATCTACTCACGTTCTTCGGATCCTGTTGATTTTTCGAATGCTTAATGGTTCTTTCGTTCCTTCACTAATTTCACTGATTTGTGAAACTCTTCCATTTCCCCCAATCCTTCAGATTAAGCGGTTTTCCCTCAGATTTGGATCCTCCAGTTTTTCGAGTTTGTCAGATCTTTAGAATTCCTCCATTTTGTTCAACTTTTCATAACCTTGCAAATAGGCCAACTGTAAAACCAAACAAAAAAATTATTTACAGGAATTCCTTTTTGGTTTCAAAAAGATTCGTAAAAACCAAACCAAAGCCCTATGGTTTACAGAAGATTTCTAATGCCATTTCCAGGACGTTTATGACTATTTTTAAGGAAATCTTTTAAACATGTCTTCAAGAATAGGAATATGTCTTGGAATGTTCCAAACGATTTGTAAAAAAATTCCAAAGAAGTTTTCCAAGATTTTGAAATGAAAAGCAAATAAAAAGTCAAACTTTTCGTTCTCACCCTGTATCTCAGAGAGCTAGATTGATTCTGTTTGTGGCACAAAGTCCCACAAAAAGTGGCACAGGGTCGTGAAAACCACAAGTCTCTATCATTAAAATCAGCTAAAATACACTGCAGTCTCAACCAAAATAGGACACGCGGTATATTCGCTACAGAGTAAAATTTCAATTCAAAATATTCGTTATCTATTTTAAAATCTATCTAAAACTGTAAATCTATCGTTAGTACAAGTTTCTTTGACAAAAGTCTTTACGTTTATTTCCCACTCGTTAACACTCCTCGTTAGGATTCACTAATTTCGTTAAATGCTGCATGTCGAGTTGGGCCTGAGCGATATCGCTCAAGGCGGCTTGTATCTGCTCTAAAAGTTCCTGGCCTCTCTGCACGACCGCCTGAAGTCGTTCGGCGGCCTCCTGATTTTCGGCCTCTAGAATTCGCAAGCTCTGCAATTGCAGTTCCATGGCGTTCTCCTCGCTCGGTAAAGATTCGATTAACGTATCAATGTCTTTGGAACACCGCGCTATTAACGTCGTGAACAGCTGCACGTAGTCCTCCTGGGAGTGCTGTTGGGGTGTTTGCGAGCCGCTTCTGTCGAAACCGGGAAACTTACTCGGGGCGGCATACTGCTGCAAGATTCCGATGCTGTTGCAAAAGTGTTCGGCTTGCTAAAACACAACGGATTAACGATCAATTTACGTGGATAGTTATAATTACTTGGTTTATACAGTCTTGAAGTTGAGTTAGGCGATCCGCCATTTTTAAATTAGGTTATTTATTGTGATTGAACAATTGAACTATTTGATGTTAGGTCAATTCTTACTAGGATCCATTGGAACTACTGGAAGTCATCCTAACTAAATTGTATACTTTTAATTCCGTGATTTTAGATTTAACACAAGACCGCCATATTGTTTATTTACAACGGCCTAATGTAATCAATATTGTGGTTTTTGCGGCTGTAATGGTATTTTACATTATTCGCCATTGTAAGTGAGTTTTCAAGCTAAGAAGAAGACCTCCCAGGATTAAGGGGTTATATTTTAAAGTCTCAAAAAGGGCAGGATATAATAAATTCGCTTTCGAATGAGTACAGTGTCACTTAAAAACTCGCAAGAATAACCCAAATGTTGACCGGTACTACCTACACGCCATTTGTAAATTACAACAGCGCCTCTAGTGTTAATCTGAATTGCGAATACGATCAATTAAAGGGGAAAGTAGTGCCATTAAATTCACTGGTGCAAAAGACCTACAATGACCCAAAAAAGTCCTTGGGCTAGGGCTGGTCTAATAGCAGTGTAAAAAATGTCCCGGTAGACAACTGAAGTTACTAAAAACAATGGTGGCTCTTAAAAAAAGCACTGTTGGGAAAGAAAGGAACGGTTGTAGGAACGGGGTTTCGTGTGGCTAGCACAAATACGACACACACACCTGCGCACGCGCCATCCTGCCCAGAAGCAAAGAATACATTAGACTTTGCCAAAAGCATCTCCCTCGAAAGCGAGATCGGCATAAATCAATCGCTCGCCCGAAATTCTGGAGCGTTACACGGTTCCGGATACAAAACAAAGAATTCATACCAATGGCAAGCGAGCAGAAGGCAAGACCGGCATAAACTAACCGCCTATCAGAATTTCGGGGCCGGTATAAGGCTCCCGTTACAAAATAGGAAGTGCATACTAATGCCGAGCAAGCCGAATGCGAGCTCGGCATAGCTCGAGCTCGCCTGTCCCACAACGAAAACGGCAATGGAAAATAATAATTCATTACCATTATATTCTACCCGAAATACTTGTTTAAAGTGTGTATCTCAAAAGGACAAAACCGTTATATACAGCGCGATCAAAAAGTAAATATTATAAGCATCCATCTCTTCACTAAATCAATGAAAGTGCCAGTTTTAAGTCACATTCCGTTTATGTATGGACTAAAAATATTATACAGAGTGTTACAATTAAAATATACAAAAAATACATCTTTTTTTTCTTTGCTGAATCAATGGAAGTGACTTGCCGCTTGCCGGAGGTTGCATGTTCACTAATTTAAGTTGTTTAGTCGCCTTTTACGACACGCAGTGTCTCTGCGGTAGGGTTATTCTATTGCCCGCCCCTACACGGTTGAAATCAATAATAAGGTCTTGGTATGACTGCCGAATTTAGGGTTAGGATATTTTAAACATATACACGGTGATCTACAAAATAAAGCTTACAAGATCCATAATTATATCTCACCTGAAACTGCTTAAAATACGATTATTATACAGTGTGATTCAAAAATATATCCCAACTCATTCAAATATTTCAACATTTTTAAAAGTACATACCTATTTAATTCGTCATGTGAACTTTTTAAAACACATACCTTTTATGTTGGTGTTCAAAGTATTAAAAAAAAAAGATTATACAGAGTGATTCGAAAATATGAGCCGCTATTACTGTGATATTTATATATGTTTAAAAACAAAAACTGTATGAAACTGTTTAAGTATTTATTTTTTTAAAAACAATTTGCATATATACAGGGTGGTGAACAAACTTTGAGATATGTAACTGCATGCCACCTGAAACTTATAAAACGATTGTTATGCAGTGTTTCCAAAATGTTTGTATGCAATGTGCGTACCGACGGCGATCATTTTCAGATATACAGGGCGATCAACTAAAATCGTACAAAGCCGCTTCTCCTTGGCAAGTCAGTTTCGAGATATATTCCAGTTTATTTGTGCTGAAAATTATTATACAGGATGATTGAAAAGTGTTCAAAATTCTTTGAGTGCGAAAAATTGATTGAAACGCAATACAGGAGACACCTGAAAGTAATAAAAAAAAATTAGTATACAGAGTGGTTCAAAAGCAAGTAAATTTCCGATGTAAAAAAAAGCTCTATTTATTCAATTAACAAATCACTGTTGCGAAAGAATTGAATTCAAATTTTTTATATACAAATACTTATATTCTACATAATATTTACATACATAGACACTTGAAATTTCCTCATAAGTTATTGTTAAAGAATAATAAATATTCAAGTGAATTAGACACAGCAATTGTTTCTACACTAGCATTACATTAAACAAATATACTAAAAAATAGTTCTTCATCATTCGTTCATTGTCAAACTTTATACAGAATTTGTTCGGATAAAATTTTTTATTATCTAAAACATCGATCCTCGCCTCGCATCTCAATTTAAAAATGTATTGGTACGTTTAATTTAATGTGCCTCTACACGTAGCTGCACCGCATAGACAGGGAATCTTCTCGTCTTCGATCGGGAATTTGTAATCGTACGTGATCTCCTCGTTAACGCCGATCGGTTGCTTGGAATAAATGACGATTTTCTTCTGTGACTCGATCGTGATTACTTTGGCGTAACAGTTTGGCTGAAATTAACCGACGGTTATGCCGTGCGACTCACGTACGTAAAGGTACACTTCTGCACTATAGCATGCATTTCAAAATTTTGATGTACTGGCTAGGGGACTACATATTGGGGCTAGTGCTACTGTGTAGTACTAGCAAGTTTCCAATGTCAAATCAAAATGTTGAAATGTTTTTTTCAATTCGGGATGGACACAGCATTGATGTATGCATGTTTTTTTTACAATTGAAACACTTACATTACAGCTATGGTTGATAAATCGAGCTAAATTGCCGCACTTCGTCGCGTCTATAATGTGTTCCAAATCTATTCTAAACAGGTACGAGCTTCCGATTCCGACCGCCTCGTACTTGGACTCGCGCAAATCGGCGACGCTCGGTCGCACCATCTGCCCGACGTACTCGATGACCATCTCGTCGGCGGCGATCGGTTCCATCGCGAACAGGCCCCAGTCGTGGATCGCCGACTTGCCGAACTTCAGGTGCTTCTTCCTAAACTTAAGCTGGTTAAATTTGAGCAGGTCGGAGTCGGTGTCGATTCCGAACGCCGTCAGCAATCGCCGCTGGTTCGATCTCGCCTCTCTCGATAAACCTAGAATTAAATTTCATTGGTTAGGTCGGTGGAGCGGAACACTAGTCGACATGTGGCATCGACTGGCGGGCAGACTTCTAGGTTAAAAAAAGCCACAAGGGCACCGCAACTATCGGGGGGGGGGGGGGACATTCCGCCCCGACCTGGAGAAGTTAGTCTACCTGTGGCGTCTGTATTTTCGGAATTCGTGGACGTTATGGGTACAAAAAGAAAGTTCGAACATTCATAGGGGAAGCCAAAGGGGAAATACGAAAAAACTTAACGTTACGCGAAATACCCCCCTCCACAGCGTATGCCGATCGCGTGGTACGGAAGTCACACGCCACGAAGCGGAGCGCATAGACATTAAAATGCGCTTTTTTAAGGTGCGACGGTTAAAAATAGGAAATTGTGTTTCTGGACGGCGAATGCGCCGAACGGGGTGTAAAGAGACAAGAACTTTTGAACGCGCCGGATACCGTTAGCCCCCCTCCCCATGTACAGCCCGGGTGCCGTAATTGGAGGGGGGGCTTCCGGAGCACCTGATCGAAATTTATTCGCGGGGTGGCAGAGGCCGTGTAGGAACGCTATTCACATGGGGGGGGGGGGGGGGAATTTAGAAAAAGTAACAGAGGGAAAGGGTCCAAATTGTGGCAAGGGATACGCGGTCCTAAGGCCGACGGGTCATTAATTCCTCAAAGTCAGACGGTCACGGGCCGGGGCCCTCCGTCGAGGGGGGTGGAATTTCGTTCAACGCTTATACGGTAAGAAAATAAGAAATATTTTAAACCTAGAGAGATTTTAAAAAAAGATTGCAACGTGGCTGCTTAGGGTGGTAAAAAGAATGGTCGCGGCGTTCAAGTTAAGAAGTTGTACCACCGAGGAGGGAGGGCGGGGGGCATTTCTGGACTTGAAGTTATCGGATTTGTGGGGTCGGTATTTCTGGACAGACCCCGTATCGGTTACGGATGCGCAATTCTATAATCTTGTTCGATTAGGAACGGCAGCCTCGGGGGGCGGGGGGAAGGGGGCGCCAAGTGCAAGCACGAGGTTGTTTTTGGATAGTGAGTCGAAGGTTTAAAAATTCGTAGCGGCAATTTTTGCTTGGGAAAATTAGGAGATGGCGTTTAGGACGGCGGCCGGGGTCTGGACTAACCCCCAGTAAAAGAAGATATTCTCTTCTGAACCTTTTGGGGGTGGAGTTTGAGGGGCATTTAAACCACAGGAATTAAAGGTCCGATTGTCGATTTTTTTTAGATATTCGACCAATGGTGGAACCTTTAATTCTTTTTAGGGTAAAATATAAAAACGGGGGGTCTGGAATCCCCTCAGTAAAAGATATTGTGTTCTGAACTTTTTGGAGGTGGGCGTGGCGTCAGGAGTCTGAGGGGTATTTCAGCTAGAGAAATTGAAGATCTGATTGTCGATTTTTTAAATTATTTGAACAATGGTGGGACCTTTAATTCTTTTTAGGGTAGAATATAAAAGCGGCCCCCCCCCCCCCCAATCCGTAAAATAAGATGTGTTCTGAACCTTTTGGGAGTGGGCGCGGCGTCAGGAGATTGTTGATTTTTGAAATTATTTGAACAATGGTGGGACCCTTAATTCTTGTTAGGGTAGAATATAAAACCGGGGGGTCTGGGGGTATGCAATAACCCCCAGTAAAAGAAGAACCTCTTGGAGGCGGGCGTGGAGTCAGGAGTTTGAGGGGTATTTAAGCCACAGGAATTAAACGTCCGATTGTCGATTTTTTAATTATTTGAACAATGGTGGGACTTTTTAGGGTAGAATATAAAACCGGGGGCCTGGGGGCATGAAATGTCCCTCCGCAAAATAAGATATTGTGTTCTGAACTTTTTAGGGGTGGGCGTGGCGTCAGAAGTTTGAGGGATATTTAAACCACAGGAATTTAAAGGCCAGATTGTCAATTTTTTTAATTATTTAAACAATGGTGAGACCTTTAATTCTTTTTAGGTTAGAATATAAAATCGGATAGCCCCTCCCTCCCACCACAGTAAAATAAGATATTGTGTTCTGAACCTTTTAGGGGTGGGTGTGGCGTCAGAAGTTTGAGGGGTATTTAAACCACAGGAATTTAAAGGCTCGATTGTCAATTTTTTAATTATTTGAATAATGGTGAGACCTTTTATTCTCTTTCGGTTAGAATATAAAACCTAAAACCGGATACCCCCCTCCCCCCCCAGTAAAAAAAGATATTGTGTTCTGAACCTTTTGGGGGTGGGCGTCGCGTCAGGAGTTTGAGAGGTATTTAAGCCACAAGAATTTAAAGGCCCGATTGTCAATTTTTTAATTATTTGAACAATGGTGAGACCTTTAATTCTTTCTAGGTTAGAATATAAAACCGGACCCCCCCCCCACAGTAAAATAAGATATTGCGTTCTGAACCTTTTGGGGGTGGGCGTGGCGTCAGGAGTTTGAGGGGTATTTAAGCCACAGGAATTTAAAGGCTCGATTGTCAATCTTTTTAATTATTTGAACAATGGTGAGACCTTTAATTCTTTTTAGGTTAGAATATAAAACCGGATACCCCCCCTCCCAGTAAAATAAGATATTGTGTTCTGAACCATTTAGGAGTGGGCGTGGCGTCAGGAGTTTGAGGGGTATTTAAGCCACAGGAATTAAAGGTCTGATTGTTGATTTTTTAATTATTTGAACAATGGTGAGACCTTTAATTCTTTTTAGGTTAGAACCGGATACCCCCCCTCCTCCAGTAAAAGAAGAGATTGTGTTCTGAACACTTTTGGGGGTGGGCGTATCGTCAGGAATTTGATTGTCTTTTTTACAAAATAATTTTGACAATGGTGAAACCTTTATTTCTTTTTGTAGGAAAACACGAAACCGGGGGGGCCTCGAAGATATTGTATTCTGAACCGTTTGGAGGCGGGGGTGGAGTCAGAAGTTTGAGGGGTATTTAGGAATTAAGCGTCTAATTGTCGATTGTTTAATTATTTGACTAGTGGGACTTTTAGGGTAGACTATAAAACCGGGGGTCTGGGGGTATGAAATGTCCCTCAGTAAAAAAAGATATTGTGTTTTGAACCTTTTGGAAGTGGGCGTGGCGTCAGAGGTTGGAGGGATATTTACGCGTCAAGAATTGAAAGCGCGATTGTATTTTTTAGCGCATTTGTTAAGAATTCAACTACTTTTTTGACATAAGGGGGGGGGGGGTCATGAATTATTTCCCAAGATGATTTTTTTTTAACCGTTTACATGCGACATCAAATTTGTCCCAGGTTTTGTATACGCATGCCTGTAGTGGTGCCAAATAAAATGTTTAAAAAGCGAGTGGGGGGGGGGGGGGGCGTAAACACACGTTTTACCCTTCATGATATTTAAATAAAAGGTCTCGTCGTTTATACAAGCTTTCCTTCGCAACTCTGTTCGATATGAGTAAGAGGGTAGGGGTATTCGAAATTGGTTTTGGAGGGGGGGGGGGCTGGTTTTATTGTTCATGGTACTCTAATGGAAGATCTCAACGAAAGGAATTCATTTCTGTTCGAGGAAAAGAAGATCCAAACTTCCCTGTCCTAAACAGTATTTTATAGGCGTGTTGTATTCTGAACGATTTAGAGGTGGGCGTGGCGTCGTGAGTTTGAGAGATAATTACGCCTCAAGATTCGAAAGTACAATTTTTTTTAACTAAGTATTTGGCAATAGTGAGATCTGTAATTCTTTTTGGGGTCGGACGTTTTTGGTTTTTAAAGTGACCACCAGGGGAAGTGATTTGAAATTCCCTGTACTGATAGAGCATGAAAAGATTCAAACCCGCAATAGAAATCAATGACCATTTTCAAATCCCAAGAACACCACTACACCGAAATTGTGAACCAATCCATAACACATCACAATGACCTCCTCAAAAGGATAACCAATCAACAACACACAATAGTAACCTTAGACCACGCCCTCAAAATAGATATACTTACTACTGACAATCGATTGTAAAACAATAATTTCTGTAAATTTGGGGACCAATTTGAGGGTGGTTGCGTCAGTGATGGACGGGTTGGAATCTCCCACCACACAAATAACTGACTTGACCGATCCGCCGACCCAACATGATTGGCGAACCCGGTTTGACACACCCATGGAATCTGACTGGCGGAAACGACTACTCTCAAATGAGCAATTATCCTTAAATTGCACTGTCACTCACACAAATAACCCCAAATGGGCATAGGTCGCCATTTTGAATCCTAAGGGGTGAATTTTGAGGTTCTAAAAGTCTACCCTATCACTAGTTTAAGGTTAAGTGGAAGAACAGACGGCGGTAGTCTCCGCCGAACTGAATATCACCTTGTGGAAGTGTGATATTTTATTTCTGTTTTGTTTTTGAGGATAATTAAAGGCAATATTATTATTATTAGTGCGCCAGATCAAACTTACCTTGAGCCTTTGTGACCGGTACATTCGGTGACGTATACGCCTTGGTGTGATGGTACTTATACTTGGCCTTCTCGACGGCGGCCACCTTATAGTAGCCCTCCGTGCGCGCGCATCCCGTCGAGTGTATTCGCAGATCGTCGCGTTTCCGTTTCTTCGGCGGGCTCGAGTAGAGGTCCGTGACGCAGTGGTCGACCCAGTGAGTATCGTTCAGCCAGTATCCTATGCTATCGTCGGCCAGCATCGCCTCGTACGACGTTTTCATGTAATTAATATCTTCCAGGTCGATTCCCTTCGTAAGAAACTCGTAGAGAATACCCATCTCGGTAACCATATCCCGCTCTTTGTGTTTCATCTCGTGGACCACCGTCGGCTTCCTCAGCTGCTGCTGCTGCAGCTGGTGGTTGTAGTCGATTACGTTCTGCAGCTCCTTCAGCTTCTTCTCTTTGGGTTTGCGCTGTCGAGGCGGTTTCTCCACGACCTTGGGCGCGATCACCTCCTCCTTGTTCGTGTAGCCGTGATCGTGCACGAGACTCTGCTTGGTCAGCTCGGTCATCTCCATGTTTTCTTTTTCGGGCCGTATGCAGTACGAGTGCTCGATTGTAACCTGTCAAATTTACAGGGTAATTGCATAAGGGGAACGTCCACTAAACCTTTGGGGGAAACAAGTGTGTACACCAAAAATTCAAATTCAAATTAATTCAGGTTAATTCAAATTAAATCACGTTAATTCAAATTAATTCACGTTAATTCATATTAATTCACGTCAATTCAAATTAATTAACGTTAGTTCAGATTATGTAATTCGAGTTCATTCAAATTAATTAACATTAATTCCCGTTAATTCAAATTAATTCACGTTAATTCAAATTAATTCATGTTAATTCAAATTAATTAACGTTAGTTCAGATTATGTAATTCGAGTTAATCCAAATTAATTAACGTTAATTCAAATTAATTCCCGTTAATTCAAATTAATTAACGTTAATTCACATTAATTCATATTAATTCACGTTAATTCAAATTAATTAACGTTAGTTCAGATTATGTAATTCGAGTTCATTCAAATTAATTAACATTAATTCTCGTTAATTCAAATTAATTCACGTCAATTCAAATTAATTCACGTTAATTCAAATTAATCCACGTTAATTCAAATTAATTCACGTTAATTCAAATTAATTAACGTTAATTCAAATTAATTCCCGTTAATTCAAATTAATTCACGTCAATTCAGATTAATTCACGTTAATTCGCATTAATTCAAAGGGGTGTACACCAAAAATTCAAAGTTGTTTCCCCCTAGACTAAACCTCAGTTGAAAAAGGAGACTTACCTGAGATTTTGGTGTGCTACCTCCGTCGGACGACTCGGATAAACTGACGGATTTCTGCAAGGAACCATTTAAAGATTTCGACTTTTCGATCGCCTTCTTCCGCCTTTCCTCGAGGTTTTCCTCGTCCGAACTCTCCGTCGCCTTCGATTCGAGCTCCTTCGGCAAATTAATGACGACGGGCGCTTCCGGATTACGATTGACACTTAAAAGCATCTCCTTCTCGAGCTCCAACTGATCCTGGTAGTGTTTTTCGAGATCCGACGACCTACTCAGGCGACTCGCGGCGGGCGCCTCCCTCTCACGCGCGAGCCGCTCCTTCTCGATTTGCTCCATGTATTCCGTGTTGCGCTTCCTTCGCTCCAAATACTTCCTCTCCTCGTCGCTCATGTCCTCCTCGCTGGTGGGCGCCAGTCGATCCGGTGACTGCGCCTTAACGTCACGCTCGTCGGGTTCGACCTGCATGGGCTCTGGGGTTTTGACGGTCTCGAGCTCGTCGAGAAGCGGCGACATGGTATCCTCGCCCGTCGGTATCGGCGTTAACCGCTCCTGCGGCGTCGCGCTTCGCCGTCTATTCAGCACTTTAATCTCGTCCTCCTCGCTATCCGAACTGCTATCGTCCGAGCTTAGGCTGTCGCTTGACGAACTGAAGCCCGAGCTACTACTAAGGCTAGAACTGCTCGAACTCTTTCGAATCATTCGTGAGATTCCCTCCTCGTTGTCCGAGTGATGAACGATCTCCTCGTCGGACATTTTGTGGGAATCGTCATCGATCGTCGGCGACTTCTTCCGCCTAAAACTGGGCATCTTAGGCAGGGAGGCTCTAAAACCTAATCCGAATCCTAAATTATCTAAATTAATGTTGCTATATAAACTCTCCCGATTCGCTTCGAGCAGAATGTTAAGGTTCTCTTTGCTGGGTAGAGATTTCGATTCGGTTTGACTATCACTTTTATCGACTTGTACCGTTTTATTCTCCTTCGTACTCTCCTCCTCCCACCACGATTCGAACTTTTTAAACGCCGTATTCTCCACCATTTTTTTATTGAAGTCTCTCTTGAGGATCTGCTTGAGCTCCTGGGTGATCTCCTGCAACACCGCGTTTATGGTGGGCGCGTGGGGGTTGTTCGACGTTTCCATTTTACGCTGAGGCAAATGGTAGGGCATGTACGGTTGGGTGGGGGTAAAGTGCGAGAAGTGCGGGTACTGAGGGTGGGGGAAGTACATCGCCGTTGTCGCGGACGCCGCACCGTAGGGGTAGGCGTGCCGCCAATCTTGAGTCTGAACGTAAGTCGCGCCCGAGTAATAGGGGGCGCTCGGATAACCTGCGGCGTGAACGCCTATTAATAGTCCGGTTCCGCTCAAACGTAGCAGTCTTACCTGGATATTGATGGTAGGGGTTGAACGTGGTGCCCGGAAATGTCGAAATACTCGACGGCATCGCGTCGAGCTTAGACTCCTCAATTTTCTGCTCGTTACTGCTCAACGAAGACAAACTCATCTGATCGTCGTCCTTGTCGTTCTTCGTCGAAGTCTGGGGGTAAATCGGACTATAATTGTTCTCTACATGCTCTCCGGTTAACAGTTCGTCTTCGCTCGACGATATGTCGCTACCAATTTTGTCCATTTCTATCTTTTTTAGTAAGGCCGACGTTTCCAGCACTTCCTTCTGCCTCGCGACCAACGCCTAAAACCAGGAGTTGAGTCTCGCGCTTTGATTACGCGTAGAACCGAAGCCTTACGTGCTCCACGCCGTCTCGGTGACATTTTAGGTAAACGTCGCGTGACAGAAACGGCGAGGGTGTGGTCGAAAGTATTCCGTTTTGGTCCGGGGTTTCCGTGGGGTTCGCGTCGGTATCGGGCGGAGGGGGATTTATCGGTAGGTCGCTTAACGAAACACTTGACCGATCTGGAAATGACAGACACGTGAAGAAGCTACTACGGCAAAATTCCTCGAGCTTAGCTAGGACAACAATCTAGCGAAGATGCAAACCTTGCTCATACAATTCACTAGGTGTTGTGGAATATCTTTATTTTTCAAATTTTATTTGACAGAGGCGTGTGAAATTTTAGTCAACAACCACCAGATGGAGCAGCAGTGCTGCTATGTTTAAAGTCACTAAATATACAAAGTACCGCAATCCATTGGGCTCGTGTGTTAGAGAGAGAACGCATGATTTTTGCCCAAAAATGGCGGAAGTTACCAGATTCTAGTAACTTTAATGTTAGGGATTGTTCCACCTGTTTGGAGATATCTGTATATATTTTTATAAAACATGACAGTACTATGAAGTTAGGTTATAAAAAATTACAGCTATTCAGATTTTATTTGTCAATTTTTTTAAGTTGGCAGCAAATTTGCCCAAAAATGGCGGATGATTGCGGTACTTTCTATATCTAGTGACTTTAGACAGTATCAAAACGCCTGTCAACCATGACAACAAACCAGATAGATATCGACATTGATCGACAAAATACAGTCAATTGAGTCGCCATTTTGGTGCAAAATTGACATCTGTCATATGTCAAAATCATATTTCACCTTGTCAACACACACTTTCACTTTGAGTAATGCCTAAACTCCTTCTAGTCCAGTCAAATTAGACCAATTTTCGACAAATAAAAACATTAATCGGTAAACATCTGAATTTATTTTTAAGTAGGCGAGATTTCGCCCAGGGCTACCAACCCAACCCACTACACACACACCAAACTAAAAAAATTCTAGCACAGATACCACCCCTACGATTCTGGTGTAGGAATATGTGCACGAATCCAATCGGTTTAGCCGGAAATGAGAGTCTGACACACGTGCGTCTCCCCAGTTTTTCAGTCCTTCCCTTTATGTCTAAGAATATGGGTACCAAATTTGCCGGAAATGAAAGTGGCATAGAGCATAGAAAGATTTACGCATGTACCGCTTTATAGCGAACAGAAACAAAAGTATGTCTGGGTATAAAAGGCCATAACAGCGCGTGTATTTTCAATAGGTGTCGCATTTTTATTAGTTGACAGTGTTTCTCGTCTAATTGCTAGGCAACAGATTTTCATTACCTAAACAACTCAAATTTACTCGGTAAAATACAAACACAGCGAATGCGCAAAACCAAATTTTGAAACTGGCGTTTGATTTTCCTTTATTCCAAGTTCCTATGTATCAAATAAAAAAGTTGACACTGCGCAGGCGCAAAACCAAATTTTGAAACTGGCCTTTGATTTTCCTTTATTCCAAGTGCCTATGTACCAAATAAAAAAGTTGACACTGCGCAGGCGCAAAACCAAATTTTGAAACTGGCGTTTGATTTTCCTTTATTCCAAGTGCCTATGTATCAAATAAAAAAGTTGACACTGCGCATGCGCGAAACCAAATCTTGAAATTGGCGTTTGATTTTCCTTTATTCCAAGTGCCTATGTACCAAATAAAAAAGTTGACACTGCGCAGGCGCAAAACGAAATTTTGAAACTGGCGTTTGATTTTCCTTTATTCCAAGTGCCTATGTATCAAATAAAACAGTTGGCACTGCGCATGCGCGACACCAAATCTTGAAACTGGCGTTTGATTTTCCTTTATTCCAAGTGCCTATGTATCAAATAAAAAAGTTGACACTGCGCAGGCGCAAAACCAAATTTTGAAACATGCGTTTGATTTTCCTTTATTCCAAGTGCCTATGTATCAAATTTCGTTTCGGTGGGACATTTCTAAACGAAGTTATCGTTCACACGAACAGCTAGATGGACAGACAGACAGACCAACAGACAGACGACAGACAGCAACCCAAATTATACCCGATCTCTAGGATCGTTAATAAACGACAAAAGTGTAAAATTATCGAACATGTAAAAAACGGTTTTTTGGTTTTTTTACAATAACTTTTTTAGCAATAAACGCAGAAAAATTCCTTCCTTGGTGCAAGCCTCGACACCATAACGAACCAAATAGCGAAAAAAGTAGAACAATAGCACTTAAGATAAAGAACTAGTAGCGTCCCAACGGATGGACGAACGGACAGAAAAAGTGGCCACAATAGCGCATTTTTTTTTAATGTTTGTGGAAATGTGCTAAAAACGGAGCTTCTACAATGGTGGTCCGGCAGTATTAGTGCACGTTTTAAACACTGTCAGTATAAGAAAATTTACACATGTACCGCTTCGTAGCGAACATAGACAAAAGTATGTCTAGAATAAGAGAGAAGTTTATCAAACTTGAGTGTCACATTTGTGCAAAGTCTGATGCGATAAACAACATTTTATACACAACGGCATTCGGCAGGAAATTCAAAGACCAAAATTCAGATCTTTACCAAATAGTGTTTTCATTTTTTCTCATCTAGCTGGACTATTAACATAACATGATTCTGTCACAATTAGTGAAAGTAGTGTCTGTCAAATGTCAAGAAAATAGCAAAAATGCCCTTTGAGAGGGGGGTGCAGACCCTTTACATTGTTCTTTACCATTAAATTCAGTCGACATTAATTTTAAACGCTACATGCACATTTGAATTATAGTTAATTTGTATACCTACAAAATTTGGAAGGGGGGCGGGGGGAGTAACTGTTCAAAAAATGCGACAATGGGAAACGGGTTAGAAGAATCTAAAATGACCCGGTTAGAAGGATTTCAGTCTCTTAAATCCTTTCCAAAGACTGCACGTATTTGATTTGGGTGTTAAGAAATGTGATTGGTTAATACTATCCAATCAGAGTATAAGCAAATCCACTATGGAGCCTTAATGCTTAATGCCTTAATCTAATAGAGTCTACAACGCTCTGGAGAGGACCTAGAAGGCTCTAGGAAATATCTAACTAGGTTCTCGAAAGCTCTATAAAAAGCTTAAAAAGCTCTTGAGAAAGCGAAGAGAACCCTTCTGATCTCTTACTAGTTCTTAACTGCATTGGCGAACCCATCGAATATTGGCCGTCTCTACCTGATAGTGCCCGTTCCGGATCAGCTTCCAGCGCTCTGTAAAACTCTGTAATGCTCTGGAAAGATCTGGAGAGGTTTAGATCTAGAAAAAACGTAAGTAGCACTAGACAATCCTAGAAAGATGTTTTAAGAGCTGAACAAGCAAAGAAAGATCCAGAATGTCTTCAATTGCTCTGGGATGCCCAAGCCCTCAAGCTCGGTTCTAGAGTTTTCTAACAAGAATCTCGAGTGCTCTGAAAAGGGACTAGAAGGGCTCAGTCTCTTCCAGTCCTTTCCAGAGACTCTTAAACGGTTTCTAAATTTCCAAGGCTAAAGAACCTTAGACAGAGTTTATAAGGTTCTATCAAGAGTGGAGACTCTGGATGAGCGATAAAACGCTCTGAAACAACTTAGATTGCCCTGGAAAGCCTTTGAATGCTCAAGAAAAAATCATCAAGACCTAAAAAAAATGTTAGAATTTCGCCCTTTCCTTTTTTCTAGACTGGACGAGTCTAGAAATCTCAGAAAAGTTCTAGAAATGACTCTAGAAAATAGTCTGGAAAGACAAAAAACTCAAAAATGTATTGTTTTTTTGAAACACATGAAAAAATGTAGGCACAACGTACTTGAGCACTTCTACATGTGCTGCATACATTCATTTCTGAAGTATAGAAGAAGAGGGGTGGAGGGGGGGGGGTCAACAATGCACTGACACATTCACATTTTACATGTTATTTAATTCGAATCAGTTTCCGAATTACTGAGAAGGGGAGGGGACTCCTATTCTTAGCTCCTCCCCCTTTCACATGGCCTGTCAAAATATGGTTTCGGTGATACCATACTTCAAAGAGATTGCTGCCTCTAAGAGATAATTTACTTACCATCATCACTATCGATAGAGGTCGGAATAGGAATAGGCTGAGGTTTAATCATAGTTTCCTCCTCCGATTCCCCACCGATATTTAAAAAGGGAGGCGCCAGTCCCCCGGAACCTTTCCCTTTAAGTAATAGCGCTATTCTGAAAATGAGACTCGTTATTCCTCCATCGCAACTCGGCACCCGTCCTCCCCCTTACCTCGTATCTAAGTCGAGCGTTTTCTCCTGCTTGGTTTCCTCTTTCTCCTTCTCCTTTTTCTTGCCGCTCGTCGCGCTATTCTTCTTTTTATCTCGTTCCCGCGAGTCGCGCTCCTTTTCTTTACTCTCCCTGACGGTTTTAATCTCCTTCTCGCTCGTCGAGTTGCGGATGTAACTCGCGCTACTGCTCTCCTGCCACTTTTGCGGCGGCGCCATCGTCGGCGTCAGTCTGTCCCACGCCTCGGCCGACCACTGCTGGGGGGGCATCGGCCACAGCTGGGGCGCGTTCATCGTGTGGTACGCGCCGTACGGGTACTGCGCCGACAACGGTAGGTTATGCGGGTATTCGTAGCTACCGAGAGAATAGGGTTAAGATTTTTTGCAAAAAAATAACTTGTTTTTTGAAATTTTCAAAAAAATGTCAACTTGGCAACGAAAAAAATCGATAATCTCTCATTATTTCGTATTTTTTGAAAATGAAATTAAAAAAAGCCAAATTTGGTTTTTGTAGATAAAAACACTCAATTTGACAACGAAAACATTGTTTGATCTAATCTATTTTTGAAAATTAAAAAACCTAGTTTGACAAAACGAAAAATCTGTTCCGAATTCTAATTATTCCATCATTTTGAAAATTAAAAAAAAAAAACAAAAACAAACTTGTTTTTTGAACATTTAATAAACATTGCCAGCTTGACAACGAAAAAAAAATCCTTAAATTTCTAATTATTTCGAATTTTTTGGAAATAAAATTAAAGAAAACGAAGTTTAGTTTTTGAATATGTGAAACTCAATGTGACAACGGAAAAATTGTTTTGATCAACTTCGTGTTTTTGAAAATGAAAATGAGAAAAACAGTGATTTTTGGAAATTAAAAAAAAAACTCTCAGATAATGAAAAAATTGTTCTGATCTCTAATTATTCCATAATTTTGAAAATAAAAAACAAGAACTAGTTTTTTGAAAATTTAAAAAACGTCCACTTAACGAAAAAATCGTCAAATTTCTAATTATGTATTTCGTATTTTTTTAAAATGAAATTAAAGGAAGCGAAAATTGGTTTTTGAAAATAAAAAAACTTAATTTGACAACGAATAAATTGTTTGATCTAATCCGTGTTTTTGAAAATGATAATAACAAAAATAAACTGATTTTTGAAAATTTAAAAAACCTAGTTTGACAACGAAAAAACTGTTCCGAATTCTAATTATTCTAAAATTTTTGCACTCCAGACCGTCGCCGCCACCGCGGTAATTAAAAAAAAATTGTTTTTTGAACATTGAAAAAGCATTGTCAGCTTGTCAACGAAAAAATCCTTAAATTACTAATTATTTCGAATTTTTTGGAAATAAAATTAAAGAAAACAAAGTTTGGTTTTTAAATATGTAAAAAAACTCAATTTGGCAACGGAAGAATTGTTTGATCTAATCTGTGTTTTTGAAAATGAAAATGAGAAAAACAACGCGATTTTTTAAGAATTTAAAAAAAAACTCTCAGGTAACGAAAAAATTGTTCTGATCTCTAATTATTCCATAATTTTGAAAATAAAAACAAAAACTAGTTTTTTGAAAATTTAAAAAACGTTGTCCATTTGTCAACGAAAAAAATCGTTAAATTTCTAATTATTTCGTATTTTTTTTAAATAAAATTAATGAAAGCGAAATTTGGTTTTTGAAGATAAAAAAACTCAATTTGACAATGGAAGAATTGTTTGATCACTCCGCGTTTTTGAAAATGAAATGAGAAAAACAAGGTGATTTTTTGAAAATTAAAAAAAAAACTCTCAGATAACGAAAAAAATGTTCCGATCTCTAATTATTCCATAATTTTGAAAATAAAAAACAAAAATTAGTTTTTTGAAAATTTAAAAAACGTCCACTTGTCAACGAAAAAAATCGTTAAATTTCTAATTATTTCGTATTTTTTTCAAATTTGGTTTTTGAAAATGTGAAAAAAACTCAATTTGACAACGAACAAATTGTTCGATCTAATCTGAGTTTTTGAAAATGTAAATGCTAAAAACATTTTTGAAAATTTAAAAAACATTTCAACTCTTCAACGATAAAAAATCGTTTAATTTTTAATTATTTGAAAGCGCAAAACACACCACAAACACTCTGTAATGAGTATAGAGAGTAAAAAAAGAGAAACACAAACTTTAGGACTTTTAGAGCCATAGCCCACTAAAAGTTGAATTGTGGACAGTTTGTGTCATTGGACAAAAAATAGATACTTCACTGATACCTACATCCCGTATATAGGATGATAGCAGAGAAACAAAAAAGAAAAACAAATTTTGTAGCAAACAATTTTTTTGACACACCCTGTATACAGTGCGTCCCAGAACGAGTGAGATTGTATGCAAAACTTTGCCCATTTAACCTAACCTCTACCTTCAATAAGTTATCCATGTAATCCCACTCACTCTGCAACACCCTGTATAAGTGCTTCTGCTTACGCTAGTGGTGTGCTGTTAGCGGATCCGTATCCGAAGTCGCTCGGCGCGGTACCGTAACCCATATCCGAGCTGCTCGGTGTGTAATCGCTCCGACTTTGCACGTAACTTCGGCTGTACTGCCTCTCTTTGTCCGTCCGACCGCGATCCCTGTCTTTTAAATGCGATTTACTATACTCGTCGTCTTTGCTCCGTTCCTTTTCCTTTGCGACCGGCGCCTTTTCTTTCGTCTCGACCCTCTTCTCCTCCTCGGGCTTCGAGGCGACCACCTCGGGCTCTTTGACCTTCTCCTCGGGCACCGGCGGCTTCTTCTCGATCGTCAGCTCGTCGAAGAGCTTCTTGCACTGCTCGCCGAACGGATCGAGAAAGACCTGAAGCACTTTGCCCATGACGCTGCTGTTGTTGAGGCGTTCGACGCACGCCTTCGAGCCCTCGGTCGTCTCGAAAATGACACGACCCAAACCTAAATGCTTATTCGTGAACGGATGGTAGTAAATGAAGAGCTCCTCGATCGCCCCGAACTTCTGAACGATATCCGTCAAGAACTGCTTGTCGATGTTGTCGTTGAGATGCGAAATGGTCACCTCCAAAGGGGGCGGATCGCCTACATAGTTCTCGTCTATTTTAAATCTAAAAGTAGAACGAAAAGTGAGGTTATGTCGCCATATTTGTTTTTTTTTCTTTTTTTTGTTGTGACAATTTGTTAACAACAATGCAATTGACAAAGAAAGAAATCGTTGCCCTACACTTTCGGGTTGTTTTTCCTGGAGGGACGGCTTTACCTTGGCACTGGCAACTCTAAGGTTTCCAAGCGCGTCCAGATTCGAGTGAGATGCGATCGCGGATCCCTCGGCACCACCGGCGGATAGCTAGCGTCGTTCGGTACGATTCCATCGTACCTGTACAACTTGGTGTTGCCCTTCACGAGGAAGGGATCGACGACTAGCTTGTAATTTCGGGGCTGCTTCGCATTTCCCTGAGCGTGTCCGGCCCGGTCCATTACACCGTTCATCTCTGAAACGAAACAAGGTTAGACAAAGACTTCAACGGGGGGCGCAACCCCTTACTTAGTGCTATTTGTAAAAACTACCACCACCTTTCATTTTAATTTGTTTTTATAAATAATATCAAACTTGAAGCAACCGCATTGGAAAATTAATGAGAAACACTGTTTAAGGGTTGCCGTAAACAATTTAAATCGCGCTTATTTGATAAATCATTAAAAATGAAAATGAATAGACAATCATAACCTCCATTTGTGTCAAGAGTACTGTGCAATCAAACTACCCCCTCTCTTCATTTAAATAAAAACTCCATTTTGAGATCACTATCTACACATCGATAATTAATAATTGTGTTAAAAATGGAAGAATTTCGTCGCGATAATTTATTTGAGGCTGACAGAAGAATGTTTAAACAAATTTAAAAGTTTAGTTGCTTTGCGTGGTGGTTTATCGACCAATCAGTGAGTTACTATGGATGGTGCTGTGGCTAAAGTACCATCATTCTCGCTGAGTGGTTGAATGTACAGTACACAATCCAATTCTGGGCATCGATTCCCGAAGTTAGTCGCTCCGTGATGTGATGTGACCGGCTGCCATGACGTCATGATCGTATACGATAGGGATAAGTTCAAGTTTGCATTCCCGAATCGTGGACAAACTTTATGCGCTAACCAATTACAGACAAGAATTGAACTGTCATTTGTCAGTTTTGTATTTTGTTTTGTTTTTGCATTATGGATACTGCTATTAATAACCAGAAAATCCTCGAACAATTCCATGTTTTATTTCACAGAAAATATGTGATTAGGGCACTGAATTACCTATATAGCAAAACAGCTGCAAGATCCGTTCTGTAGCTGCAACTGCGCATGACTTTCACGCAACGAGTGGTCTAGACCAGTCGTTGCGTTCGATCAACTTTTCGCTCGATGTGGTAGGTTCGAGAATGCAGTGACATTCACGTTCACATCAAGGTCAGTCGATGTGAACAAAGCACATCTTCGGGAATCGACGCCCAGTTCTCTCCGTTTAGCTGAAGTTATGGGAATATTTTAGAGCTATACCGGAAGGACCTCTTTTATATGGTCTGAAAAGCATTTACTTAAAGCAGTGGTCTCATCAGCGCAGGTGACCAGTAACCAGCCTGGTTTGAACGTTGAACCTAGGAAATGAAGACACACCGTTCGTCCTCCCAGGTTTGTGATGGTTTCAAAAATCTCCTGATGTGCTTTAAGCTGTTATGTAGTGAGGTTCACCGCCGGGTGCCCCCACTGTCGTCTCCCTGCGTTGGTGCTTGCTTGTCTGCTCAGAAACAAACCTAGGAAATTTATCCCTTTAAGAACTTTCGCTGCTTCTAAAAACCTTTGCAAACCCTAAAACCTCTAAACATTTCTGACATAATAGCCAATAAATGAGAGAAATTCGAAAGCTTTCTATGTCCTCAAATCAAAACGTGCCGAAAAAGCTTTCGAACGGACTTGGTAAACTCTGAAAAAGATTAAAAGACCTAAGAAACTGGAAACAGGTCCACATTGCTGTAGAAAACCTTTAAATAATCCATAAGCATTTAGAAAGCCCATGTTGTAGGTAGAGAGTTCGAAGTAATGAAAATCTACGCCTATGTTTTATATACCCCAATTTGAAAAAGGAAGTGGTTACGCTAACACACCATTCCACTCCGGGACGCGTCCGCGGCCACAGTTCACGTCGTACTTACGCAACGATCAAATTTCATACCAATTTACCTCTAAATACAAAAATGTGGCTAAAAAATTTCCTCAATCGCCTAATTCCAACAGTTAAGGCCGAAGACGAGGACCTCGTCGATCCACTGGACACGCTAAGGGTTAATAAAGAGAATCGCAATTACATAACCTGACCATTAACCGAATTTCTACTTTCAGGACAAGTGCAAGGCCACCTCGCACGTGAAGCACCTCGCCGAAAAGTTGGAGGAGTGTAATAATCGCGTGAACTCCAGATCGCGTACGGCGGAGACGTGCATCGAGGAAGTTATAGATTTCATGCACGCGCTCGACCATTGCGTCTCCAAAGATTTATTTGCGTATTTAAAGTGAATGATTAATTCATTGTAGATATTAATAAACGTTAGTTGCTTTCTGTTAGCTCAGTGCTTTATGAAATTCAACATTGCGTCGATCGAATTTTGTAAACAGTTTACCTACATATGTCAAATAGGGATGAGCAAGTTATAAAGAAAGTTTGAGAAAAGTGAAGTAGTTTTAAAGAAAGATTCAGCGTTCTCTTTCCTACAACTATTACAAGATTTTTGTGCACTGGGGGGGCCAATTATTCATTACCGTTTTGAGTTCTTCCAATTTTTCAGTTTTTTCAAATCCTAAAAAGCATTATGCAGGTCACTCTGTAATTGGGCACAAGCCTGTTGACGACCCAGAACAAGAAAAGGACAATAAATAAATAATTATTGTAGGCTCTCACTTCATCATACTTATCAAGATGTTAAAATTCAATCTCTTGAGGCTACTTTACATTCTTCAATATTGGAATTTATCTACTGTGTCGGTTTTCCCCTTTGGCATTCGCATTTCGTCCAATTCTTCAGAGTGTACACAACACCTTATAATTGCATTCTTCAGTTTCTTCGAATTTCTTCGTGTAAGACTTGTCATATTCTTGAAATTTAGTTTACAGATTTTTTTATCAGGTTATCAATAACTTTCTTCGAATTCCTCCAATTCTTCTCCAGATTTAGGATCTGTCATTCTACAGATTTTTTATTCTTGCGTTTCTTCGAATGCCTCCGTTTTTTAAAATCTTCGCCAATAAGATCCTTCATATTGTTCGAACTTTTTCTTCAGATATAAGATTCGTACTTACATATTCTGGAAATGTAGTTCCTGACGATTTTTTTAATTATTGCGTTTCTGTAATTCTAGCGATTTTTGAATTTTTTTAGATACTTCCGTTTCTTCGATTCCCCCCATTTTTAAAATTCTAAATCTCATATATTCTTCAAATTTAATTTCTGCCGATTTTCTTTATTATCAAGTTTCTGTGAATTCTTAATGTTTTTTCTAATTTTTTCAGAATCTTTTGTTTCTCTAATTCTTACAATTCTCAAGATTTAGTATCTTTCATACACTTGAAATTTAATTTTTACAGATTTTTTTATTATCAAAAGTACCAAAGTTTCTTTGAATTCTTAATTCAGAATCTTCCGTTTCCTCGAATTCATTTAAGATCCTTAATATTTTTGAAATTACATTTCTGACGGATTTTTTTTGATATTCAGACTATCAAGTTTCTTTAGCTCTTAATATTTTTCATTTTCTTCCGATTCTTATAATTCTTCAATATATCTTCGAATTCCTCTGACTTTTTTCGTATCGAAAATTCGGCATATTCTTAAAATTTTAGGTCCTGCCGATTTTTTTAATTATCAAATTTCTAATTTGATTCTTTGAAATTCATACTTTTGAAATTTTGGAAATTCATCAGTTTCTTTAAATTCCACCGACCTTTTCTTCGGTTCGAAGAGTCGTCATCATATTCTTGAAATTTAGTTCCTGTCTATCTTTATGATTACAAGTCTCTTTGAATTCTGAATATTTTTGAAACTTTTTCAATTTCTTCCTTTTTTTTAATCCCCCTATTTTTAAAACTCTTCATATCTTAGATCTTTCATATTCTGGATATTTAATTTCTGCCAATTTTTTTGATTTTCACAGTATAAAGTTTCTTTGAATTCTTAAGATTAATGGATTTTTTTAGATTATAATTTTTTAGAATCTTCCGTTTCTTCGAATTCCTCATATAAAATTGTCCAGATCTAGGATCCCTCAATAACTTCAAATTTAATTTCTGCCGATTTTTGATCAATGTTTTTTGAATTCTTCGGATTTTGAAATTTTTTCAGATTTTGTTGTAATTTCTCAGAATCTTCCGTTTCTTGGAATACCTTCAATTCCAATATTCTTGAAGTTTAATTTTGAATATCAGAGTATCAAGTTTCTTTGAAATTTTGAAGATTTTTTCAGTTGTTTATTATATTTAGATTTTTCGAACTCCTCCAATTTTTAAAATTCTTAACATTCTTGAAATTTATTTTTTTCCGATTTTTTTATTATAATATCATGTTTCTTTGAATTCTTAATATTTTTGACATTTTGTGAGTCATATAATTCTTCGGAACCTTCCGTTTCTTCAAATTCCTGCGACTTTTTATTCGGATTGAAAATTCGTCGTATTCTTCAAATTCCCGTGGATTGTTTTGATTATCAAGTTTCTTTGATCCCTACGATGTTTTCAAATTCTTCCATTTCTTCGAATGCTTCCGATTAAAAAAAATTTTTTTATTATCAATTTATTTGGATTCTTAAGATTTTTGATTTTTTTCAAACTGTTACTTATTCAGATTTTTCGAAATCCTTCAATTGTTCTTATTCTTGAAATTTTAGTTCCTGTTCATTCATATTTTTAACATGTTTTCAGAGTCTTATAGTTATTCTTCACTCTTCAGAATATTCTGTTTCTTCCAATTCCTCCGACTTTTTCTTTTGATAGAAGATTCGTCATATTCTTGAAATTTACTTCCTCTCAATTTTTTGATTATTTAGTTTCTTTGAATTCTTACAGTTTTTGAAATTTTTTCAGATTCTTCCGTTTCTTCGAATTTCTCCGATTTATAAAATCCTTCAGGTCCAAGATCCTTCATAATCTTGAAATTTAATTTCTACCCCGCGATTTTTTGATTCTCAGATTATTAAGTTTTTTAAATTCTGAATAGTTTTGAAATTTTTTTCAGATTCTTCGAATTCCTCCGACTTTTTCTTCGGATCGAAAATCATCCATTTTTTTTATCAAGTTTCTTTGAATTCTTGCGATTAGTAAAATTCTGTAAATCTAAGATCCTTCATATTCTTGAAATTTAATTTCTGTCGATTTTTTTAATTATCAGAGTACATATCAAGTTTCATTCATAAGATTTTCGAATTTTTTTCAGATTGTTATAATTCCTCGGAATCTTCCATTTCTTCAAATTCCTTAAATTTTTTTCTTCGAATCGAAAATTCGTCATATTCTTCAAATTCCTGTTTTGATTATCAAGATTTTTTAATTCTCAAGATTTTTTTAAAATTTTTTCGGGTTCTTCTCTTTCTTCAAATTCCTCCGATTCTTAAAACTCTTCAGATCTAAGATCCTTCATATTCTTGAAATTTAACTTCTGCCAGTTTTTTTAAATATCAGAGTATCTTGAATTCTTAATATTTTTTTCAGATTCTTAAAATTCTTAAGATCCAAAATCAAGTTTCTTTGGATTCTTAATGTTTATAAATTTTTTCAGATTCAGAATCTTCCGTTTCATTGAATTCCTCAAATCCTTCAGATGTAAGATTCTTTATATTCTTGAGATTTAGTTTCTGCCGATTTTTTTGTTATCAAGTTTCTTTGAATACTTATGATTTTTGAAATTTTTTTATTACGATTATTCTTCATATTTTTATTATGTCTATTTTTTTAATTTATGACACTATCGGTTTTTTTGAATTCTTGAGGTTTTTCTTTCACATTCTTCAGTTTCTTCCGATCCTAAACATTCTTCACATATTGTTCTGTAAAGTGCATCATGGGGACGTTTTATTTGGTAACAGCACCTGTATAATGTAAATCTTAATTTGGACAATTAAATTTTAGTTTGAGCACAAATTAGATCATGTTATTTAAATTCGAGGTCAATATTATTTTGTTTCAGATTTATTAGATGTTGATTTTGTTTAAATAATCGCATTGTTTGTTTAGAATGGTAAATTCAAACTACATGTTAATAGATTAAGTTTAATCATTTGGAAATAATTCCGTGTTGTTACTGTAAAATTTTATCTTCGGCCAGTATAAGAGTTCGATATATAATCAGTTTCGAGATAAGCAGATGTTTTTTCGCCGAAGTTTGTTTTGGAAAGACAGTCAGTCTTGCGGATAGTAAAGTCCGTTATAAAAGAAAGTTAGTTGGTGTTCTAAGAGTTATCAATTCGTTATAATTAAAAGTGTATGTTATAATTCAAGTCTAGCTCAAGCGTTGTTCACGCTTACGAAGAAAGCCTTTCTTAAAGTCTTCAATTTACCCATTAAAATGAATGTTTCTACAACCAAAAAAGTCTCAACAGAGAGGTTCCACCCTGTAGACACAACCTACGACGACGCACACATTTTTGAGAGCTGGCAACCACCCAATTTTTAGAAAGGGCAAAGTTCTCTGCGCCATCTGGAGAGCACCAGTGCGGGTTACGTTTGGCATCTTGCTCACGAAAGCATCGCTCCGTAAATGTTTGTTGTATTTTTGTGGTATTTAATGCAGGTAGTAATTTGTGTTTGGTATGTGGCATGTTATATTTTTTGTGATCTTTGATTTTGAAGAGTTAACCTGATTTAACCTTTTGTTAGAAATCGCGTTCATTTTGGGTGTAATGTTTGTTAAATTTTCGTTTCAATTACATAGCCTAAATTTATATTTTTGATCGTTCTTTTACACATGTGGAAATTATGGAATTGTAAACTAACATTTTCGCGATCGCGGGGGTGGCAAAAACTGTAACCAAATGAGTTACGACACTCAATACTGGGGCTGATCTCGACAATCAACTGTAGGCTCGAAACGACCGAACGAGGGGCTAGTTACATACTTCAGGGGCGAGATTATGCTAATAAAATAATGGGACACTTACATTTAATTTTAATTAGGTATTTAAAATTTGGGGATTTTGTTAAGATATAAAGGGCGGGGGCAATCAGTAATAGATAAAGCACTTTATTACAAGCTAATAATGCACATAATAATATATAATGGTACAAATATATATTTTGGAATGATTAAGGAAACAAACAATAAATCTCTCGACGATTTGTTATATAAAATTTGCAAATTGTAAAAAACGATGATACTTACAAAAAACGAAACGTGTTAACTGGCGCTCAAGCGGAGAACGTCGAAGCAAATCTTACAGACCCGTACCGGTTTGTTTTCGCCGAACTTTATTATCGGCACCTCCTGATCGGAGCACCTGCTGCACAGAATTCGTCCGCAATGTCTGCAGTGGTGCCTCCGTATCGTCATCGTGAAGTTTTTCCCGCACTCCTGGCACATGTCCGTCTGCGTCCAGGGCACCTGCTGCGATAGCTGATCGAGCAGTTTGTGCAGCAGCTGCTTGGTGGCGACCTGCCCGAAGACGCGTCACAATTGTCTTTCAAAACGTAGAGAGATACCGACCTGATAGTTGAAGATGGTGACGCGATCGTTATTCTCGGCGGCGAGACACGCGTTCGCCTTGACCAGGACGCGGCACAGGTTCCCGTTGCCCTTCATGTACGCCAGGAGCAGAGGGGTGTTGCCCTAAAAAGCGAAACGTGAGAGCTTCTCCGGACTCGTGGGGTGGAGATTTACGTCGACGTCCGACCGATTGATCGGATATTCGGGCATGCATTCGAGGAAGAACTCGCATATGGCGGCCGCGTTCTCCTTGCCGCACCGGCAGAGCTCGTGAAGTGGATTGCGGCCTTTCAGATTGACGTGCTCGGCGTCGATCTGCGATTCGGTCAGGAGCGCCTTGACGACGTTCAGATGACCTTCCCTAACCGCGATGTGCAAGGCGTTGTCGCCGTTGCTATTGCAGGCGTTGTAATCGATGTTGTTCTGTATCAACGCCGCTATCACTGATGCGTTGTTCGCCTCGGACGCCACGTGCAAGGCGGTGTTCCTAAAAAGTGACGCATTTACATACCGTAACCGAATGCACTAATTCGAATATCCGTAACTCACGTCCGACAACAAGTTTAGTCTAGAGCAAAAATTACACTCTTTGGTTTAAAGTCTTAAAATTTGGCAATTCAAACAAAAAAAAATTATGTTACAATCTGCATATTCAAATGCAATTCAAATCTTAAGATTTTTCTTAGAATTCTTCTGCTTAATCCTGATTATTCTTGGATTTCTATAAAGCTGTTAAAATATACCGCTTCATAGCGAACATGAAAAAACATACGTCTGGTGATAACAAGAAACGTATTGGGAAAAACGAGCACGGTTGCCACGATCTCTTCGAAGTACGGTGAGGTACGCTAAAGCTGAAATCCTAATAGAGTTACGAGCGTGAACCCATACCAAAATTGGATACGCTAGAAAAACTGTTTAGCAAAGTCTTTTATTTACAAGTGATAAAACATAGGCGAAGGAACAGTTTCGAATCGGAGAGCCGCCATTCGACTTACTTTTGGGCGTCCCGGTCTTCCACTCGCGCGCCTGCCAGTATCAAACTGCGCATGAGCGTTTCGTTACTGTAGCGAGCGGCGAGATGTATGGGCGGAGTCAAGGTGGAGTCCTGTATGCGCGAATTCACGTCGACGTGTATCGACAACAAGAACAGAAAACTCTCGATGTCGCCTTTCTTTATTGCCGTATGTAGGAAATTGTAACCTTTGCCGTCGAACTGAAATCGAAAACGTGAACGTTTCGCCACTTTCACCGAGGTCGACTTACCTGTTCGGCCGCGGTGGGTAACCTGTCGAGGATCGATTTCGCCGCCTTATTGTTTCGGTAGGTTAGCGCCGCGGCGAATGGGCTCAGTCCGGTTTTGTCGCGCAGTGTTAAATCGATGTTGGGTACTTGAAGTAGCAGGGAAATAATGTCGGCGTGTTGGTTTTCGATTGCGACATGAAGGGGCGTTTTTCTATCGGAGTCTTGACAATTTATATTCGCCTCGTGCTCGATTAAAGTCTGCGCGCAAAGGTAAATGCTTTACCACTTAATCAGACAGTGGAATAACCAAATTTGAGAGGTTTAGAACTCACCCGCACAACAACATCCAAGCCCCATTGACAGCACAAATGCAGCGGCGACGCCTTATCCTTAGCCTCGTCGCCCCCCTCACCGCTAGGTCCGGGCATTCTCGGCGAGTCCAAATCACAGCCAGCTTGAATTAGAAAAATCGCGATCGTCTCCTTGTTTTCGTCGATTGCTCTTAAACGACGACGTCATAATCAGTTCAGCAGAAAACGCGCAACCTCGCAACTTACTTGTGCAACAGCGTTTGTTGGCAACCTTCGGGCCCGGCGCCCCAACAATCCGTGTCGACACCGTGACGCACGAGTATGCTGCCGATGTTATCCTGACCCGAGTCGAGGGCCGCCCACAGCGGACAATTGCCCAACCTATCCAGGGCGGACATGTCGACGCCTCGCAAGCATAGAGCGTCGACAACTTCCGGCAATCGGCAGTGTATCGCCAGCTGTAGTGGGGATTCACCTTCTGCTGTCCTTTAAAATTTACGCCTTTATTTTTAAGTGGGCGGGGTTTCGGCCAAGGCTGCTCTACATTGGCGAAACAAACTGAAATACAACTAATACGAACACATCCTACATGTACCAATCAATTGAGTGGCCTGGTACCTTTAAATACTAAAAAAAAGTAATAAAGCACATTTTTTGTTTTACCGCTTTTGTTTTGACATCACCAATGGATATATTTCTTGCAGACGTTACAATCGCCCTTTGTGAGTACCCTCTTCCGACAATCCGTTCTTGAGGTATAAGAGAATATGTATACCCAATCACGATAAGAGGTCGAGGAGGGCTATGGTTGGTAGAAATTAATTCCTTTCGTTGAGACCTTTCATTAGAGTACCATGAAGGATAAAACTAGCTCAACTCCCCCCCCCCCCGTACTTTGGTAAGAGGACAGACAGAAGGGCAGTATAGTTGGTAGACAACGGTCCCTTTCGTTGAGACCTTTAATTAGAATACAATGAGAGATAAAATTAATTTCTGCCCCCCCCCCCCCTCAGGCCCCGTCGCTCACTCAACTCGAAAAAGAGTCGGACGGGAAAGTTATTTATTGGTTGTCGTATGTAAAAGTTATGCACGTTTTACTTTCAAAAACAACATCTCAGGAAATAATTCGTGAAGGGGGGGGGCCTTTCAAACAGCGAAATTTGATGGGCGTCTGACACACCTTTAAGGTATAGGCTACCTACTGCAAAAAAATTCCAAGACTCTAGGACCATTCCCCTAGAAGTAGTTCAAAACGATTGAAGTGGGTCCGGACGGACGGACGGACAAAACGCAAACAATAGCACATTTTTTTTAATTCTTAAAAAATGCGCTAAAAAATGAAAGAAAAGGAGGGAAGAAGGGAGCTGAGATTAAAGAATGAGGAGTGGTAAAGGATCTGGAAACTAAGAAGGAAGAATAAAGGCTAGAAATAAACAGAGTAGCCTAAAATGGGAGAAGGGGAAGAGATAAAACAGCAAATATTATGCAGACAGGAAAATGAATGAGGGAAATAGAGATGGGGCGAAAAAGAGGGTGAATCGGCGAAGGGGGAAGATATTGCATAAGGAAAGAAAGGGGAAAAAGGACAAAAAGATTAGGAAGACAGAAAATAAGAAAGACGAGGAAGAGGAGGAAGATGTGTAAATGAGAAAAATTAGGTTCATGGTTGAATAATACAAAGGTCCATAACAGGGAAATGGTTAGAAGAGAAAAAAGATAATAAAGACGAAGGCGAAAAAAGAGAGAAAGATATGGTAGAAATCTAGGAGAAAGGGAAATAAAAAAAAAGCGGTTAAAGTAGACGAGGGGTAAAGATGGAGATAATGAAGAAACAGAAGGAGAAGTAAAAGTGCAGATGAATAAGTAGATGAGAAAATGAAAAATAGATCAAGGTATGGACGGGAAGGAGAAGAAGAGAATAAGAAAAAGTCGGTCATGGTGAAAGAGGAAAAATGAAGAGGATAAGAAAAATAGAGAAGGAAATATGCAAGGGAGGGAAAGAAGGGGGGGGGGAAGAAAAAAGGCACACACGAAGGGAATTCGTTAGAGCAAAAGTAAAAAAAGGCAGAGCAGCGATATCCTGAGTAAAGGAGAAGATAGAGATCAGTAACGGGAAGTGGAAGAAGAGAGAACGATGAATAGAAAGAAAACAGGAAGGGGGAAAGGGGTAGAAGGTGAAAAACAAGGCAAAAAGGCGGATCTTATTTCAACGGCAATTTCATAAACAAAACAAAATGTGGGATAAGGAAGAAAAAAGGAACAATGAAGGAAAATAGTGTAATGGAAAAATAACGTTAGTAGAAAAAAAGGAAGGAACGTTAAAGAGGAAAATAAAAAAAAACCAGAGCAGCAATATCCTGAGTAAAGCAGAAGATAGAGATGAGTAACTGGAAGTTGAAGAAGAGAGAACGACGAATAGAAAGAAAATAGGAAGGGGAGAAAGGACAGAAGGTGAAAAAAAGAAGGTAAGAGGGCGGATCTTATTTAAACGGCATTTTCATAAACAAAGAGTGGGATAGGGAAGAAAAAAGGAACAATGAAGGAAGATGGGATAAGTGAAAAATAACGTTAGTAGAAAAAAGGGAGAACGTAAAAAAGCTAAATTTAAAAAAAGGCAAAGCAGCGATATCAAGAGTGAAGGAGAAGAGAGAACGGCGAAGAGAAAGAAAAAGGAAGGGGAGAAGATTGTGTGCTGAAGAAAATGAAGATGAGGCGGAAAAGGAAATAAGTGAGAAGTAGAAAGATGAGAAAAAAGAAGACGGGGGAGAAAGAAATGTGAGGGGGAAATCGATAAGAAAGATTATAAAGGTAGAGAATAAGAATTACGAAAAAGAGGAGAAAGAATAGCGGGCGATGAAGAAGAGGGGGAATACAATAATAACTGGATCAATCTGAAGCAGAAGAAAAAAAAAAGCTGCAGATAACGAAAAGAATAATCAGTAGAATCGAAATTGAGTGGAGCAGAAATGAAACGGAAGAGATACCAAAGACGGATGAAGAGGTAGAATAAAAAAAGGGATGAACCAGAAGAGAAGCAAATGAGGAAGTACAGTAAAAGAAAGAATGGTAGAGAGAGAAAAAGGCGACGAGTAGGTATGAGCATACCCTGAAGAAAAGAAGCTTGTAAGAAATAGAACTAACATAAAAGGAGGGGTACAAAAATAAGGGTTAGAGGAATCGTGCGTGAAATAGGTGTAAAAAACGTGAAATAGGAAGCAAAAAACTGGAACTAGAAAAAGAAACAAGGGCAAAGGAAGAAGAGAGGGTAGAAAGTCGTGAAAAGGAAAGGAAAATATACGTGGGGGAAAAATGAAAAGGTGAAGAAGATAGGAAAAAATTATTAAAAGAAGAAAATCGACAAAGTGAAAAAATATGTATGACAGAAAAATGAGAATTATGGTAAAATAATGCAATAAGAAGAAACATAAAAGATACATAGCGCGTGATGAGGAAGAACGTGAATATGATCTAAAGCGGGTCGGAAGGAGAGAATGAACAAGACGGAAAAGAGGAGAGTAGGAGTAAAGAGAAAGAACATCATGAAAATGAGTAGAGAATGAAGGAGAGGTACAAAATGGGAAGGTACAAGGGGTTAGAAGAAAGAAAAGAACAAGAAAGAAAGAGGAATAAAAAGAAAACAAAAAAGACGCAAAGTGATGAAAAAAGGGAAAAAGAGAGGCAAGACGGTGGTGAAGATGGTAAAAGGAGATGAAAGGGAATAGTGCAAAATGAATGAGATGTGGAAGATGAAACGGTAAAATCACGAGAGTAATTAATGTCAAAAAAGATGGGAAGTGGTAGACAAGGCGATGGAGAGATCACAATTCGAATGATAAAAGGAATAAGAGAATAGAGCGGATGAAGAATGCATAAAAGAACATGTAAGAAACAGTGAAAGAAAATAAGGAAGAAGATAAATACGAAAAAATAGGAAATGTGTCAAGAGATCGAAAATTGGAGACTAATAGGGGGGGAAAGATGGGGGAGAAGGGGGATAAATAAGGTGAGTAATAACATAACAGATTATAATAGCAGTAAGACAAAGAAAAGAAGTTGGTACATAAGGCCGAACCTGGACCAGTTCAAGTCGCTCGCCACCTGGTGGTGATCTTGGAAAGTAGATCAAGATAATGCTCAAAGGGCGGGCTTTGGTTACCGTATTTCATTTTATGGGGTGTCAAAGTACATTTCCAGCCTCCATTTTTTGTCGTGTCAATTTAAGGGGGATATACAAGGTGAGTAATAACATAATAGATTATAATAGCAGTAAAACAAAGAAAAAAAGTAGGTACATAAGGCCGAACCTGGATCAGTTCAAAGTCGCTCGCCACCTGGTGGTGACCTTGGAAAGTAGATCAAGATAAAGCTCAAAGGGCAAGCTTTGGTTACCGTATTTCATTTTATGGGGTGTCAAATTACATTTCCAGCCTCCATTTTTTGTCGTGTCAATTTACATGTTCAAGATCATCCAAATGGAAGTGAACGATAAAAATACGGTCTTGGATGACCTTGGAAATGAAGATCGGCACAAGAAAAATGATGCCATTGACCTTGTATAGCTTGCCACCACATGCAAATCGGCCCATGACCTTGACAGTATAATCTGCCATCCCAAAAAAAGGGTTCAGTGACCCTGAATGACCTTGAAGATGCAATTTGATATACCAAATGTATGGAAATGTATTTTGACACCCCAAAAAAATTAAATAAGATTGCCCCGTGAGCGTCACTTGGACCTACTTTCCAAAGTTAACGCCACGTTACCTTCATCGTGACCTACTTCCCAAGGTCACCACCAGGTGGCAATCGACCTTGAACTGGTCCAGGTTCGGCGTTGTATACCTACTAAAAGTAAAAATTACGATTAAAATCATAGTAGGCAAGCGAAAATTTTATATGTATTTCTAAGCGCTTTCTCATAATGTTCGTGTCACCATGCTGGCGACTTGGGACAGTATCTAATTTAATTGTTCTATACTCTAAAAACAGAAACCCCCCATCATTTGGCGCCCGAGCAAGAACTCGCTCACTTCAAAGGCAACGTACTATCCAAATTCCTGGTCAGCAGCCACATACAACATTTCCCCAATTGCAAACAACAAAATCGAGATGGCAAAAATTTATATACAGGATGTGTTGGTATTGGTCGTAACTTTTCAGTCTGCGTCGGTAACTTACTTCGCGTTCATATCCGCACCGTTATCCAACAGAAATATTGCAGTCCTCGAATCCTCCTTCAAAATCGCCTGGTGTAACAACGTAAAGTCTTTGGCATTCCTAACGTTAACGTCCGCCTTGCCCTCGGTCAGAACGGGTACCAAATCGTTGTAACCCTCGTTAAGCGCGAGGCTTAGCGGCGTCTCGCCGTCGATATCTTTCAGGTTAAAGTTGGCGGGTATTTTATTGCTCTCGGTCGGATCGAGCGATTCCAACTTTCGGTTGTAGTCGATGAACTCCTGAATGCAGCTCTTCGAGTCGCTCAAGACGGCGTAGTGCAGCGGAGTCTGGCGCAGCTCGTTGGTGAGGACGTTCGGCGAGGCGCCGAGGGCGAGCAGTTTTTCGACGAGCGTGCCGCATTTTTTGACGCACGCGGTGTGCAGGGCGGTCTCGCCGTCGATGTTTACGTGGCTGAGGTTTTGGATGTGGTCGCTTATGAATAGGGCGGCGTTGCGCGCCTCCGCCAAGATGAGCGTCTGCAGGAGGCTGTTGCAGGTTTGCGAGTAGACGGGGTTGGTTTGAATGTCTCTCTTTGACAGTAGCTGCGAGACGTAGCTGTGCTCGTCCGTGTCGCCCGCCTCGTATTTCAGCAGGGCGAAGTAAAGCGGGCTGTGTTCTTCGGCACTCTTTAGGTTGATCTCGAGGTTGGGCTGGGCCAGAAGTAGGCTGAAGATGGGTTCGTTGTTCGCCATTATAGCGATGTGCAGGGCGGTGCTGCAAAAGAGTGATTAGTGACCACAACGGATAAAAAACTGAGCGATCTGAATAATACTAAAGTCCCTAAAGGATTTGAACGGTTCTTGAGACACTTACAGTCCCTGACGATTCTGCGAGTTGACCCCGACGTTTTTATTGACCAGTTTCTCGGCCAACTTAATCGAATCCTCAATTCCGCTACTTCCGGCCAGCAGGTGGAGCGCCGAGTCGTTCTCGTTCCTAAAAATTGCAAATGAGCGGCGTTGCGCGTGGTTGATGCGTTGTTGCCTTACCGCGTCGTAAGGGTCGCGTCGCAGTTGCTCTCGAGTAGGTACAGCGCGGAAAAGGAATCGTCGCGTTTTATCGCGCGATGAAGCAGCGTCTCCCCTTGCATGTCGCGTATGTTGATATCGGCGTTGTGCTGAATTAACGTCGTCGCTATGCTCGAGTTGTTGCAGCGCAAGGCGATGTCGAGGGGCAGATCTCCGTTCGGGCCCCACACGTTGACAATGTCCGACAGCTGGAAGTGCATCAAACGTATTTAGTTATTTAAATTTCAACGAAATTACTGTTAATTGGTTCAGGCACCATAACCTGCTATTAAGACTAATTAATTAGCGTTAATTAATTAAAGTGCGCGGCTAATTATGAATAATGCATAATTTGGATTGTGTAATTTGCTCAAGTGAAACGAATGCTATTAATTAATTAGTCACAGGATTTAACTAACGATAATTAATCGAAGTTGACATGTAATTACGGCGATTTGTGATTTATAATTTAGACTCGGAAGCAACTAATTATTATTAATTACATATTGCTTAATTCGAGCCTTAATTGCAATTGAAGCAGAAACAGAGCCTCAGCGACGATTACGTACAGTAAATATAGAGAGGATAATTTTCTAAATTTCAACGCATTTGAATTACGTTAATTAATTAAAAGTGACTTGTAAATTTATGACAATTTGCGATAATTAGCAGTGCAAACTTGAAAGTACAGAAACGTTCAGTTAGAATATAAATTTCTAATTTGGGCACATATAATTACGGTACATTAAAAAAAATTGATAAGAATTGTGATACTCAAAATGCTACTTTTGTTTTATTTGAAAAAGCCGTTTGATTTGTTGTGCAAATTTTTCGCTACATAATTTGGATTGTGTAGTAATTAGTAATTTTCTAAAGGGAAACGAATGCTATTAATTAATTAGGCTGAGATATAATTACGATACGTTAAAATCAGACATAATGGCGTTCAGAATTTGAGAAATTTACAGGATTTCACTAACGATAATTAATTAAAGTTGACATGTAATTACGGCGATTTGTGATTTATAATTTAGACTCAGAAGCAACTAATTATTATTAATTACATATTGCTTAATTCGAGCCTTAATTGCAATTGAAGCAGAAATCAAGTTAAGTCGCAGGGAGGATTACGTACAGTAAATATGAAGAAGATAATTTTCTCAATTTCAACGGATTTGAATTACGTTAATTAATTAAAAGTGACTTGTAATTTATGACAATTTGCGATAATTAGCAGTGCAAACTTGAAAGTACGGAAACGTTCAGCTAGAATCTAAATTTCTAATTTGAGCACATATACTTACGGTAAATTAAACAAAAATTGATCAAAATTGTGCTACTCAAGATGCTACTTTTGTTTTATTTGAAAAATCTGTTTGATTTGTTGTGCTAATTTTGCCCTACATAATTTGGATTGTGTTGTAATTAGTAATTTTCTAAAGTGAAACGAATGCTATTAATTAATTAGGCTGAGATGTAATTACGATACGTTAAAACCAAACGTAATGGCGTTCAGAATTTGAGAAATTTACAGGATTTAACTAACGTTAATTAATTAAAGTTGACATGTAATTACGGCGATTAATGATTTATAATTTAGACTCGGAAGTAACTAATTATTATTAATTACATATTGCTTAATTCGAGCCTTAATTGCAATTGAATCAGAAACAGAACTAAGCCTCGGCGACGATTACGTACAGTAAATATAGAGAGGATAATTTTCTAAATTTCAACGCATTTGAATTACGTTAATTAATTAAAAGTGACTTGTAATTTATGACAATTTGAGATAATTAGCAGTGCAAACTTGAAAGTACGGAAACGTTCTGTTAGAATATAAATTTCTAATTTGGGCACATATAATTACGGTACATTAAAAAAAATTGATAAGAATTGTGCTACTCAAAATGCTACTTTTGTTTTATTTGAAAAAGTCGTTTGATTTGTTGTGCTAATTTTGCGCTACATAATTTGGATTGTGTAGTAATTAGTAATTTTCTAAAGTGAAACGAATGATATTAATTAATTAGTCTGAGATGTAATTACGATACGTTAAAATCAGACGTAATGGCGTTTAGAATTTGAGAAATTTACAGGATTTAACTAACGATAATTAATTAAAGTTGACATGTAATTACGGCGATTTATGATTTATAATTTAGACTCGGAAGCAACTAATTATTATTAATTACGTATTGCTTAATTCGAGCCTTAATTGCAATTGAAGCAGAAACACAGCCTCAGCGACGATTACGTACAGTAAATATAAAGAGGATAATTTTCTAAATTTCAACGCATTTGAATTACGTTAATTAATTAAAAGTGACTTGTAAATTTATGACAATTTGCGATAATTAGCAGTGCAAACTTGAAAGTACGGAAACGTTCTGCTAGAATATAAATTTCTAATTTGGGCACATATAATTACGGTACATTAAAAAAAAATTGATAAAAATTGTGCTACTCAAAATGCTACTTTTGTTTTATATGAAAAAGCCGTTTGATTTGTTGTGCAAATTTAATTTAATTTAACTAACGTTAATTAATTAAAGTTGACATGTAATTACGGCGATTTGTGATTTATAATTTAGAATCAGAAGCCACTAATTATTATTAATTTCATATTGCTTAATTCGAGCCTTAATTGCAATTGAAACAGAAACAGAGCTAAGCCTCGGCGACGATTACGTACAGTAAATATAAAGAGGATAATTTTCTAAATTTCAGCGCATTTGAATTACGTTAATTAATTAAAAGTGACTTGTAAATTTATGACAATTTGCGATAATTAGCAGTGCAAACTTGAAAGTACGGAAACGTTCAGCTAGAATATAAATTTCTAAATTTGGGCACATATAATTACGGTACATTAAAAAAAATTGATAAAAATTGTGCTACTCAAAATGCTACTTTTGTTTTATTTGAAAAAGCCGTTTGATTTGTTGTGCAAATTTTTCGCTACATAATTTGGATTGTGTAGTAATTAGTAATTTTCTAAAGGGAAACGAATGCAATTAATTAATTAGGCTGAGATGTAATTACGATACGTTAAAATCAGACGTAATGGAGTTCAGAATTTGAGAAATGTACAGGATTTAACTAACGTTGATAAATTAAAGTTGACATGTAATTACGGCGATTTGTGATTTATAATTTAGACTCAGAAGCTACGAATTATTATTAATTACATATTGCTTAATTCGAGCCTTAATTGCAATTGAAGCAGAAACCAAGCTAAGCCGCAGGGACGATTACGTACAGTAAATATGAAGAAGATAATTTTCTCAATTTCAACGGATTTGAATTACGTTAATTAATTAAAAGTGACTTGTAATTTATGACAATTTGAGATAATTAGCAGTGCAAACTTGAAAGTGCGGAAACGTTCAGTTAGAATATAAATTTCTAATTTGGGCACATATAATTACGGTACATTAAAAAAAATTGATAAAAATTGTGCTACTCAAAATGCTACTTTTGTTTTATTTGAAAAAGCTGTTTGATTTGTTGTGCAAATTTTTCGCTACATAATTTGGATTGTGTAGTAATTAGTAATTTTCTAAAGTGAAACGAATGCTATTAATTAATTAGGCTGAGATGTAATTACGATACGTTAAAATTAGACGTAATGGCGTTCAGAATTTGAGAAATTTACAGGATATCACTAACGATAATTAATTAAAGTTGACATGTAATTACGGCGATTTGTGATTTATAATTTAGACTCAGAAGCAACTAATTATTATTAATTACATATTACTTAATTCGAGCCTTAATTGCAATTGAAGCAGAAACCAAGCTAAGCCGCAGGGAGGATTACGTACAGTAAATATGAAGAAGATAATTTTCTCAATTTCGACGGATTTGAATTACGTTAATTAATTAAAAGTGACTTGTAATTTATGACAATTTGAGATAATTAGCAGTGCAAACTTGAAGTACGGAAACGTTCAACTAGAGTCTACATTTCTAATTTGAGCACATATAATTACGGTAAATTAAAAAAAAATTGATAAAAATTGTGCTACTCAAGATGCTACTTTTGTTTTATTTGAAAAAGCTGTTTGATTTGTTGTGCAAATTTTTCGCTACATAATTTGGATTGTGTAGTAATTAGTAATTTTCTAAAGGGAAACAAATGCTATTAATTAATTAGGCTGAGATGTAATTACGATACGTTAAAATCAGACATAATGGCGTTCAGAATTTGAGAAATTTACAGGATTTCACTAACGATAATTAATTAAAGTTGACATGTAATTACGGCGATTTGTGATTTATAATTTAGACTCAGAAGCAACTAATTATTATTAATTACATATTGCTTAATTCGAGCCTTAATTGCAATTGAAGCAGAAATCAAGTTAAGTCGCAGGGAGGATTACGTACAGTAAATATGAAGAAGATAATTTTCTCAATTTCAACGGATTTGAATTACGTTAATTAATTAAAAGTGACTTGTAATTTATGACAATTTGCGATAATTAGCAGTGCAAACTTGAAAGTACGGAAACGTTCAGCTAGAATCTAAATTTCTAATTTGAGCACATATACTTACGGTAAATTAAACAAAAATTGATCAAAATTGTGCTACTCAAGATGCTACTTTTGTTTTATTTGAAAAATCTGTTTGATTTGTTGTGCTAATTTTGCCCTACATAATTTGGATTGTGTTGTAATTAGTAATTTTCTAAAGTGAAACGAATGCTATTAATTAATTAGGCTGAGATGTAATTACGATACGTTAAAACCAAACGTAATGGCGTTCAGAATTTGAGAAATTTACAGGATTTAACTAACGTTAATTAATTAAAGTTGACATGTAATTACGGCGATTTATGATTTATAATTTAGACTCGGAAGTAACTAATTATTATTAATTACATATTGCTTAATTCGAGCCTTAATTGCAATTGAATCAGAAACAGAACTAAGCCTCGGCGACGATTACGTACAGTAAATATAGAGAGGATAATTTTCTAAATTCAACGCATTTGAATTACGTTAATTAATTAAAAGTGACTTGTAATTTATGACAATTTGCGATAATTAGCAGTGCAAACTTGAAAGTACGGAAACGTTCAGCTAGAATCTAAATTTCTAATTTGGGCACATATAATTACGGTAAATTAAAAAAAAATTGATAAAAATTGTGCTACTCAAGAGAAAAAGCTGTTTGATTCGTTGTGCAAATTTTTCGCTACATAATTTGGATTGTGTAGTAATTAGTAATTTTCTAAAGTGAAACGAATGCTATTAATTAATTAGGCTGAGATGTAATTACGATACGTTAAAATCAGATGTAATGGCGTTCAGATTTGAGAAATTTACAGGATTTAACTAACGTTGATTAATTAAAGTTGACATGCAATTACGGCGATTTGTGATTTATAATTTAGACTCGGAAGCTACGAATTATTATTAATTACATATTGCTGAATTCGAGCCTTAATTGCAATTGAAGCAGAAACAGAGCCTCAGCGACGATTACGTACAGTAAATATAGAGGATAATTTTCTAAATTTCAACGCATTTGAATTACGTTAATTAATTAAAAGTGACTTGTAAATTTATGACAATTTGCGATAATTAGCAGTGCAAACTTGAAAGTACGGAAACGTTCAGCTAGAATCTAAATTTCTAAATTTGAGCACATATAATTACGGCGAATTAAAAAAATTGATAAAATTAATAAATTAATTAATAAAATAAACACGAAATTGTCAATTTTGTGCTATTCGAGATTCTTTAATAAAAGGCCCAGCTGTTTTTGTGCTATTTTGTGTTTTTTTGCAGAAACAAGAATCAAGTGAACAAAACAAATCGCTCCTTTGTGCTACTCGAGATGCTTTTAGTGCTTTATCAAACCCGCTGTTTGGTTTTGTGCTAATTTTGTGCTACTACAGCCCTTTCAGGAAGAAAATGACTAGGATCAAGTGATATGCACAACGAAACCAATTGTTATAATCAACCACAAAATTGTCGATTATGTGCTACCGAAGCTTTAAGTGTTTGTGCTACTACAGCCTTTACAGAAAAACTGGCCATGGCCAAGTGATACGAACAACTAAACAAGTCACTATTACCATTGTATATAAGGTGTACATACAATGCTGTTACTCAACTACGACATTGCTAATTCTGTGCTACTGCAGCTGTGTGTTTTTCTGCTACTACACTTTTTACAGAAAAACTGACCAGAATCAAGTGATGTGCACAATGAAACCTCAACTACGAAATTGCTAAATTTGTGCTACTGAAGCTTTAATTGTGCTAATACACCTTTGACAGGAAAATTTTGCTCAATTACAAAATTGCTACTTTTGTGCTACGAGGGCTTAGAGCTAGTTTTTGGTTAGAATCCAGTTTACAGAACAAAATTAATAGAATCAAGAGATGTGCACAACGAAGCAAATTATTAATTTTCTGCTACTGGATTGAAATGGAAATGTGACGTGCACGATGCAACAAGTTGCTATTACTCCACTGCGAAATTGCTAATTATGTGCTACTGCAGCTTTGGGTTTTTGTGCTAGTATTGTGCTAATACACCTTTTACGGGAAAAGTATGCTATTACTCAATTACGAAATTACTAATTTTGTGCTACTGCACTTTTTATAGAAAAATGACCAGGATCAAGTGATGTGTACAACAACAAAGTTGCTATTACTCAATTACGAAATTGCTAATAGTGTACTACCGCTACTTCCTTTATTTTAAAAACCCGATATTTTTTGTGCTAATCTTGTGCTACTACATTTTACAAAAATGCTACGATTAAGTGCGATGCATTACGAAGCAAGCACGAGATTGTTAAGTTTGTGCTACTGGAGCTTTGGGTTTTTGTGCTAGTTTTGTGCTAATACACTGTTTAAGAGAAAATTATGCAATTACTCGATTATGAAACTACTAATTTTGTGCTAATTATGGGCCACTACACTTTTTATAGAAAAATGACCAGGAACAAGTGCTCAACATGAAAGTTGCTATTACTATTGCTTTATTTGAAAAACCCGCTGTTTGGCCTTTTGTGCTAATATTGTGCTACTACAAATTTTACAAAAAAAATACTAGGATTAAATTATGTGCATTACGAAGCAAGCACGAAATTGCTAAGTTTGTGCTACTGAAATTTTAGGTTTTTGTGCTAATGTTGTGCTACTATACCATCTACAGAAAAAATGACCAGGATCAACTGCACATCGAAACAAGTTGCTATTACTCAACTGCGAAATTGTTAATTTTGTGCTACTGACGCTTTGGGTATTGCGCTACTACAGCTTTGACAGAAAATCTGACGAAAATCAAGTGAACGAAAACAGTTGCTCAACTACGAAATTGCTACTGACCCTTAAATTTTTGTGCTTACCTTTTACAGAAAAATGTTGCTGTTACTCAATTATGAAATTGCTGATTTTGTGCTACCGAATCTTCGGGTTTTTGTGCTACTACAAATTTCACAGAAAGAAATGACGAGAATGAACAGACGTGTACATAATGAAATAAGTTGCTATTACTCAACCACGAAATTGTCACGCTACTGAAGCTTTCAGTTTTTGTGCTAATTTTGTGCTACTACACCTTTCACATAAAAAAAGACAATGATAAATTGATGTGCACAATAAAAACACTTGCTATTACTCCAAAATTGCTTATTTTGTACTGGGTTTTATGCTAGTTGTGTGCTACTACACCATTCACATAAAAATGACCAGCATCAAGTGATATGCACAACTAAAAAACATGCTGTTACGAAATTGTTAATTCTGTGCTACCGAAGGTTCGGGTTTTTGTGCTATTTTTGTGCTACTACACCTTTCACAGAAAAAAGAGACCGCGATCAATTTACGTGCACAATAAAAACACTTGCTACTACTCAATGACGAAATTGTGGTACCCAAACTTTGTGTTTTTGTGCTAGATTTGTGGTATTTCATCTTTTACAAAACAAAATGATCAGGATGCGGTGATGTCCACAACGAAAAAAGTTACGACTCAACCACGAACTTGCTAATTTTCTTCAACTGAAGCTTTCGGTTTTGTCCTAGTTTTGAGCTACCGCACCGTTTACAGATAGAATCACCACGATTAAGTGATGTGCACAACGAAACAAGTTGCTGTACGCAACTACGAAATTGCTAATTTTGTGCTACTGGCTATTGGAAAAACTCGCAATTTGTTTTTTTGTGCTACTGGAGCTTTGAACTGTTGTGCTAGGTTTGTGCTGGAATGTAATTTACAGAAAAAAATTATCAGGATGAAGTGGTGTGCACAGCGAAAAAAATTCGAAAGTATACGAAATTGCTAATTTTGTGCTACTAGTGCTGCCTTTATTTGATAAATCCGCCGTCTTTTTTTTTGTGCTAACCTTGTGCTACTAGACATTTTACAAAAAAGACCATGCGCACTACGACGCAAGGACGAAATAGCTAATTTGGTGCTACTGTAGCTTTGGGTTCTGGAATACGTTTGTCATACTGTACCAAAGGGCCAGGATCAAGTGATGTGCACAACGAAACCAGTTGCTACACTACGAAATTACTAATTTTATGGTACTGAAAATGTAGGTTTTTGTGCTCGAATTGTGCTACTACACCTTTTACAAAAAAAAATTACGAGAATCAAGTGATGTGCGTGACAGCAGAAGTTGCTATTGCCCAACTACGAAATTGCTCATTTTGTGCTACTGAAGCTTTGGGTTTTTATGCTCGTTTTCTGCTACTACACTTTTTACAAAAAATGACTAGGATCAAGTTATGTGCACAACGAAACCAATTTCTACTACTCAAGTACGAAAGTGCTAATTTAGTGCTACTAAAGCTTTTGGCTTGTGTGCTAGTTTTGTGCTACTACACCTTTTAAAAAATGACCTGGATCAAGTGATATGCACAATGACACAAGTCAACTACGAAATTGTTAATGTTGTGCTCCCCGAAATGTTGCTTTTGTATTATTTGAAAGAGTGCTGTTTGATTTTTTGTGCTAGTTTTGTGCTACTATACCATTTACAGAAAAAATGACATCAAGTGATGTGTTGCTATACTCAACTACAGGATTGCTAATGTTTTGCTACTGGAGCTGCTACCATTGCTCTATTTGAAAAACGTCCGTTTGTGCTAATCTTGTGCTACTACACATTTTACAAAAAATTACTAGAATCGAGTGATGTGTTAGAACGAAACAAGTTGCTATGAAATGCTACTATTCCTTTACTTGAAAACCCCGCCGTTTGGTTTTTTTGTGTGTTATTAAACATCTTACACAAAACATGACTGGAATTGCGTGTAAATATTGTATAACAAATTGATTTCTATCCTTTCGGTTCGCTGGCGGCGTCGCATCATTGAACGAGAGGCGCGCATCTTTGGCGCCTCCAAACTAATCAGCAGTAATCACCCTCACTTCGGGATGAAACTACGTGCGCTGGATCGATTCTTTCTATCCGACTAAAAAATTGATTAGCATATGTGAAGGGGGCGAGACGTCAACCCTTTTCGCTTCCCGTCGGCCACGTGCAGGCGTCCCGAAAAAATCAAAGGCAGATGTTTTTCTCCGGACTTCCTGGCTGATTCATTCAATACTTTGCGGAATTCGCTGAGCAAACAAACAACGACTTATTAAACCATGGGCGTAATTCTAATTATGTTGTTAACCCCCGCGCCTCCCGCTCCACTTCGCGTTTTATCGCCTCATAAATAAATAAAAGCAGTAGGCCACGCGAACCGATTAATAAACGGCGAGTTTCGCCGAATCGGGCGATTCACGCGATGAATATTTAAGTCCCGTAAGCCGCGTTTTAGGAGCTCAGTCGAGTTGGTGACGTTGGCAAGGTTCGTGTGAGTAGTTAATGCGAAATGTAAAGTTAACGTGATCGATAACGTGCCAGCGGTAAAACAAAAGAGGGATGCGAACTTAACAAATTAGTTAATAAAATGCCTTCACTAATTAACGAAGTCCTCGCTGTGATATTTTTAATTAATTCATGTAAGCATAAATTAATTTTACATTAATTGGTCAAAGTGTCCTCGGAAAATCGCTTATTGCATTTTTTTTTCTAAAGGGATACCTACCCCCGCCCCCAATTCAAATTACGATTAAATGAATAAATTTCACCGAGTGGGAGTTTAAGGAAACTGTCCTTACTTTAATTAATTACGACAATTACATGAACTTTCCACAATTTTGTGGCTTTCACTCATTCCCAAAAGTGTCATTTAATAAAAATGCGAAAAATTCGTTCTAATGGGTAATAAATTGTAGGTGGCGTACCCTTATTATGAAATCTAAGGTTACCACGACGCCAAAAAAATGTATTACGCTGCAGGGAACGCGTAACGAGTAATAAATTGCATACATTATAATGAAGTGTTAAAGAAAAACATCACGGGATACTAAAAAGGGCCTTTTTTGGGTCACGGTATTTTGTTTAGTTCACCTTATTTCTCACCAGAGTCCTTTTTGGCACCAACGTCGACTTCAATTCCTTTAATTTTTCGAGAAGTTCTTTTTTTTGACCTTTTTTGGAGCCGACCGTCCAGCTCACATAATTTCCCCCCCCATGACCATTTTTTGTGCCAACGCCGTCCTTGGTGCCTTTAATTTTTCAATAAGTTCTTTTGGTGACCATGGTCGATTTTAATGTCCCTACTTTTCGACACCAGAACTTTTTTTGGGCGGCAGTCGACCGTCTAGTTCCTTTTTTGGTGACCATCGTCGATTTTCCTTTCCCACTTTTCTACCAGGACCTTTTTTGGAGCCACAGTTGACCGTCTAGTTCACAAATCCCCCCCCCATGGCCATTTTTTTGTGCCAACGTCGTCGTCCTCGGCTCCTTCAATTTTTCATTTTCTTTTTTTTGGTGACCATTGTCGATTTTGATTCCCCCACTTTTCCACCAGGACCTTTTTTGGAGCCACAGCCGACCGTCCAGTTCACATAATTTCCCCCCCACGGCCATTTTTTTTGTGTGGGCCAACGTCGTCCTTAGTTCCTTTAATTTTTCATTTTCTTTTTTTGGTGACCATTGTCGATTTTGATTCCCCTACTTTTCCACCAGGACCTTTTTTGGAGCCACAGCCGACCGTCCAGTTCGCATAATTTCCCCCCACGGCCATTTTTTTTTTGTGTGCCAACGTCGTCCTCAGTTCCTCTAATTTTTCATTTTCTTTTTTTGGTGACCATTGTCGATTTTGATTCCCCTACTTTTCCACCAGGACCTTTTTTGGAGCCACAGCCGACCGTCCAGTTCGCATAATTTCCCCCCACGGCCATTTTTTTTTTGTGTGCCAACGTCGTCCTCAGTTCCTCTAATTTTTCATTTTCTTTTTTTGGTGACCATTGTCGATTTTGATTCCCCTACTTTTCCACCAGGACCTTTTTTGGAGCCACAGCCGACCGTCCAGTTCGCATAATTTCCCCCCACGGCCATTTTTTTTTTGTGTGCCAACGTCGTCCTCAGTTCCTCTAATTTTTCATTTTCTTTTTTTGGTGACCATTGCCGACTTTGATTCCCCTACTTTTCCACCAGGACCTTTTTTGGAGCCACAGTCAAGTTCACATAATTTCTCACCAGGGCCATTTTTTTTGGCGCCAACGTCGACCTAAAGGTTTTTTTGTGGCCGTCGCCGATTTTGCTATCTACAGTTTTCCACCAGGACCTTTTCTTGGGGCCACAGCCTTTCGTGTAGTCTCACCAAGGCCATTTTTGGCTCCAAAGTCGACTGTAATTCCTTTAAGATTCCAAGTTGTTTTTTGGTGGCCCTCGTCGCTGTTAGTGTCTATAGTTTTTCTGCAGGGCCTTTTTTGGGACCACAACCTTTGGTTTGGTTCACATAATTTCTGGCCAGCGCCATTTTTTGGCACCGTCGTCTTCAGTTCCTTTAGTTTTCCGAGACGTTTTTTTTTTGGTGGTCGTTGTCGAATTTAGTGTCTGTAGTATACCATCAGGGCCTTTTTTTTGGGGCCACAGTGTTTTGTTTAGTTTCAATAATTTTTCACCAAAGCCATTTTATGGCAGCAACGTCGTCTGCAGTTCCTTTAATTTTCCGAGAAGTTCATTTTTTGGTAGCCGTTGTCGAATTTATTGTCTGTAGTATACCATCAGGGCCTTTTTTTGGGACCAGTCTTCTGTTTAGTTCATTAATTTCTCACCAGGGCCATTTTTTTGACGCCAAAGTCGATTTAACCGTTTCAATTTTCCTAGAAGTTCATGTTTTGGCGACCGTCGTCGATTTATGTCTACTTTTTTTCCATCAGGGCCTTTTTTGGGGCCACAATCTTTTACTTAGTAGACATCATTTCTCACCAGAGTCATTTTTTGGCACCAACGTCGTCTTCAGCTCCTTTCATTTTCCGAGAAGTTCTTTTTTTGGTGGCCGTCGTCCCTTTTAGTGTCTATAGTTTTTCTGCAGGGCCTTTTTTGGGACCACAGCCTTTTTTTTTGGCTCACATAATTTCTCACCAGGACCATTTTTTGGCGCCAACGGCGACTTTAATTCCTATAATTTTCCTGCAAATTCTTTTTTTGGTGGTCGTCGTCGATTTTAGTGTTTATAGTTTTTCTGCAGCGCCTTTTTTGGGGCCACAGCCTTTGGTTTGGTTTACATTATTTCTCACCAGGGCCCTTTTTGGCGCCAAAGTCGACTTTAACTCCTTTAATTTTCCTACAAATTCTTTTTGGGTATCCGTGGTCGATTTATGTCTATAGCTTGCCATCAGGGCCTTTTTTTGAGACCATAGTTCACATAATTTCTCACCAGGGCTATTTTTTGGCGCCTAACTCCTTTCATTTCCTCTCGATTTTCCTAGAAGTTCATTTTTTGGTGACCGTCATCGATTTACGAGTCGATTTTTGTCTACAGTTCTCCGTCAGGGCTTTTTTTTGGGGCCAAAACCGATTTAACCCCTTTAATTTCCCTAGAAGCTCATTTTTTGGTGACCGTCGTCAATTTATGTCTATAGTTTTCCATAAGGGCCTTTTTTTGGGGCCACAGTCATTTGTTTAGTTCACATAATTTGTCGCCAGCGCCATTTTTTGGCGCTCCAGTCAACTATAACTCCTTTAATTTTCCTACAAAATTCTTTTTTGGGTAACCGTCATCGACTTACCATCAGGGTCTTTTTTTGGGGCAAATTTATTTATTTGACATAATTCAACTTTATTTTTGTATATGGCCCGCAAAAAATGCATTTTTTTATTAGGAATACGACGAGTACGGCAGACAAAAAAACACAAGTTGGAAACTTCTGGTTTTAACAGGACGGTGCACCCGCGCACAACGACCTAGTCGTGCGAGAATACCTATCGAACAAATTTTCCATTTTCCATTTTCCAGAAAATTTGTTTTTGAAGTCACCACTGACTGCAGTTTCTCCCATTTTTTCACGGTCGAATTTTTTAATGGGGTTACCTTGACATTTTAATTAGAAATAAAACGGGTACTTTCAACATAACGTGAAATGCTATAAAATAAAAATGTCACAATTTGGGTCCCGTTTGCAAATTAATACGGAACTTTTTTTATTGGTCGAGCAAGACTGACAGAAACCTAAAAAAACGGGCGAAAATCAAAAAAGTTTAGCGGGGAGGAAATTTGAAAAAAATTTCACGCTCTACTTACTTTCGATTGTGCCAAAGTAATTTGCTTATTATTGCAATCTGGAACCGATGAATTAGTCAAGGTAAGAAAATGCTGACGTAACTTTAACGGCAGTCTCGACCTGCATTGCATAAACCGATTGCAAAAATCTATCAAAAATATGGCACCGTGAAAGGAGACCGTTTTTTCAAGAGCGTAGTCATTGACCCAGAACTTTCCATGAGTAATTTCCATTATCGTGCAGGCGTCGTCGTTTCCCCCAAATGATAACGCATTAGTAATCGTCTTTGAATTAATCGGGCGACGACGACGTTGACATTTCCAGTAGAGCACTTTCACCTTTTGTGCCGTTCAACGTGCACACCGCTCTTCGAGCATTGGGGGATCACCTGCGCGCAATGAAGAATGTCGCTCTCGGTGACTCACTTCGCCAGAATTTTGCCAGATCTTTAGAATGATTCATTTCGTAGGGGGTGTTCATGTTTAATTTAAACAAAAATACAAGGCAGTATCAGTAACACCGTTACAGCGACCCTACCTTTAATCGTTAGCGTTGTCACCTAAAAGTAGTCAATTTCAGACTAGTTCCTGCTGTAACTCGATATTAAAAAATATCACATGTCCGTTCCGGGCTTTCGTAGATTACTGATAACAGCAAATTGGCGTTATCTCTCGGTCTCGACTGGTAATCCTTCCAACCTTGCATTCCTCGAGCGTCATCAAAACGGGTTAAATAGTACAGTCGTTTTAGATTATGATGAAACAGAATTTCTATCGATGAAAAAATCACTGAGAAGTAGAAAAACTCCTGTTTAACATATCAAAAAATGTATCTCCGAAAATGTCTGGTAAATTAATTAAAAACGATTGATTAGCGTCAGCGGATTTGCGTTGATGCAAAGATAACTGGACGCTCATTGGCTCATTTAAATAAATTCAAATCGAGGCGGCGGCGGCGTGCGCATCAGCTGACGCTTTGGCGTAATCGGTACTCTGTTTAGAACCTGGAACATAGCTTCGGCTCCGGCGTCGCCTCGCCCCAAGACGTAGACCGGTTCTCTTAACCCCCTCACAGGCACGTAGCCAGGGGGTGACCGGGTGGGAGCTCAGCCCCACCTAGAACGTGGTCTTGCCTCCACTGGAAATTACGGTTGATGGCCCCTTTACAAGAATTACTGGAGAAGTCTTTATCAAAAACTTCTTAAGTCCCACCTGGAAAAATTCTGGTCACCCCTGCTACTTCATTCTGGCTACGGGCCTGCTCTCTCATTGGTCCAAAAGTGAACCATTTTTGTTAAATCTACTGTGACTGACTTGTGCTCTAATTGCGCTATTATGCTCACAACCTGGGCTGTATGTGAAGGTTATCCCCCCCCCCTCCCCTCCAACCCCATTTTTCCCATATAACAATGTAGGAATACCTGTAGTGTATAGGATACGTGTTGACTATTTTCAAAATATTTAGATTAGAAAAGATACACTTAAGAGGATTGTGATACCATCCCCCATTTCAATATACAAAAAATTAATTGGGGGGGGGGGGCTAACCGAAAGCAGTGGTGTCTGCGGCGCCTCACCTCACTCAATACCTAGGCGTCTCGCTCGAAGACGTTTGCAAAATAGCTTATTACTTAAGGGGTACAGTACACAAAGGACATACCTTCGGCTTCGGCGGCTGATCATTTTCAAGCTAAGTTTCGGTTTAGTACTTTGGGAACATAGGCTCGGTTTTGGCGGCCTCCACTACTGTCCCAATATTGGATATCTAGGTATCCCCTCGGTCGAAAAAATCTTCACTATATGTTTCAGTTAGGGGACATAGCTTCGGCGTCGGCGGCTGCGCCGCCTCGCCTCGCCCGATATTAAATATCTGGGCGTCTTGCTCAAACACGTTTAAAGAATAACTCCGGCCTCAGCTTCAGCTGTGGTGATCATACTGACCTTTCCACTGTGTTTTGGATGAGTACTTCATGGATACAGTGACAGCGACTGCGCCGCCTCGCCTCGCTGCAGCACACTTGAAGCCATGTTAATCACAAACATTTTCAGACAATCTTTCGGTTTAGTACTTATGGGACATAGCTTAGGCTTGTCCGGCTGCGCCGCCTCGCCTCGCCCCATATTAAATATCGAGGCGTCTCGCTCGAAGAAGTAGCTTCAGCTATCACAAAAGTCTTCTCACTGTGCTTAGGTTTAGTACTTAGGGGATCAACTTTGAGTGGCTGCGCCCTCTCGCCTCGCTCCGGCACACTTAAGACTAGCTTCGGCAATGGTGATCACAACAATTTTCTAAGTTTCTTTTTTGTACATAGAAGACATAGCTTCGGCTTCGGCGGCTGCGCCGCCTCGCCTCGCCCAATGTCTAGGTAACGTTTGAAGAACAGCTTCAGCTACGTAATTATAAAAATCTTCCCATCGTGTTTCGGTTTAGTACTTAGGAGATGTAGTTTTAGCTACTGCGCCGCCTCGCCTCGCTCCAACGCACTTGAAGCATAGCATCAACAATGATCATAAACATTTTCAAGCTACTTTAGTACTTTGGGGACATAGCCTCGGTTTCGGCGGCTGCACCTCCTCCAATATTACCAGAATATTCGATATCTAAGTATCCCTCTCCCCGCCTCGCTTCGCGCTAACACAGTGGAAGAATAGCGTCAGCTATGGTAATGGCAAAAATTTTCACAAAATGTTTCTACTTAGTACACAAGGGACATAGCTTCGGCCTCCGCGGCTGCGCCGCCTCGCCTCGCACTATATTAAATATCTATACGCATGCCTCGCTTCACTCCAACACGGTTGAAGGTGATAATCGCGAAAATCTTTACAAAATCATTCAGTTTAGTATACCGGGGGCATAACTGGAGTTTTGGCGGCTACGCCGTCTCATTTAGAGGATAGTTTCGGCTTTAGTAATTACAGCGGTCTTCCCACTGTTCACAATTTCGGTGGCAGCGCCCCCTCGCCTCGCTCCGGCACACTTAAAGCATAGCTTCAGCAATGGCGATCACAAAAATTTTCAGACTTCAGTACTTAGGGGACATAGCTTCGGCTCCGGCGGCTGCGCCGCCTCGCCTCGCCCAATGTCTACGCAGCGTGTGGAGAACAGCTTCAGCTATCGTGATCACAAAAATCTTCTCATTGTGTTTTGGTTTAATACTTAGGAGATATAGTTTCAACGACTGCGCCGCCTCGCCTCTCTAACACGATTGGAGAATAGCTTCAGCTTTGGTAATTACAGCGATCTTCCCACTGAGTTTCGGTTTAGTACTTAGGGAATACAATTTCAGTGGCAGCGCCCCCTCGCCTCGCTCCGGCACACTTAAAGCATAGCTTCAGCAATGGCGATCACAAAAATTTTCAGACTTCAGTACTTAGGGAACATAGCTTCGGCTTCGGCGGCTGCGCCGCCTCGCCTCCCCCAATGTCTAGGCGACGTTTGAAGAATAGCTTCAACTAACGTGATTAAAAAACTCTTCCTACTGTATTTCGGTTTAGTACTTAGGGGATTTACTTTCAGTGACTGCGCCGTCTCGCCTCGCTTCAACATACCTGAAGAATAGCTTCAACAATGTCCAAAAATGGGCCAAAAGTGTCAAAAATTATGGAATTTATTGAATCATTTTAATTTGTAAAAATTACCCACATTTTTTTCCGGTATTCTTCTTTTAAAGATTTTCCACAAACTCTACAGTATTCTTAATGGCTTAAATATCTTGCAAGAATAATTCGACAGGAATAGATTCATAATAGATTACCAAGGGGGCTCCCCAAGGATACATACTAGGCCTCATACTTTTCCGAAAATCAGTCGGGATTATCTTGAACTCAAAGCAAGGGTTTTCGACAAAATTTTCGTTATCAGTTTCACAAAAAAAATAATACAGAGAATTCGCAATCGGTTACCTACAATGGAAACCGCAACATCCTTGCCATAGGACGTTTTAAAACCTCTTCCTACCTTAGATTGTGAATTTCGCCGATTACTTATCGGAAACGCCTACAATTCGCTTTATTTTTGCAGGTTTACCTCCAACGAAAGGTGTACTATGTTACAAATGCACAATCGTCGCCCCGCCCGCCCACGTCAACGTCACCAAGCGGCTCTGTTCGGACTTCGACGCATCCGATAAGTTCATCGTCGACTGCCCCTACTCGACATTTTGCGTGAAGAAGACGTACACCGTCGACCTTAACTCGGGTAAGTTTCCGACGACTCGCGACCTCAATCGATCATCTCCCTTACTTGCAGTGCTAGTAAATGGAACGTCGCGCGATTGCGCCCAACAAATGAACGTCGTTCAGGAATACAAAAACAACAGATGGGAGAGGAGAATCCTAATCGAGGAGCCTTACACGGAGGGGTGCGCGGAAACCGACGATAAAGGACAACGTTCCTCGGACAGCAAGCATTGCTACTGCAAGGGAAACCTGTGCAATTTGGCGACGAGAGGAGGACTGAGTATAATTCCTGTGATCATCTCCTGCTTTCTTTTTCTACTGATAGATGGCGCTAGATGATATTTTCATATCGCTTTGTACATTTTTGTAAAGTTATTTGTAATTTAGAATAAATACTTTTGTGATTTTTTTGAACGGATCGTCCTTCTAGAAAATTAAAAGTTTAAAAAAATTAGAATTTTATCACGTTTTTATGTAAGGATTTTGATTCATATTCGTAATCATTTTAAGCTGAATTCAAAAGAAAAAATTCCAGAAATAATTTGAATTCTATCACTTTTTTTTAAAAGATTTTTTTAATTCGATTTTTTTTGAAAAATTGATGGGTTGGTGCGTTTACCGTTTACGGTGTCAATACCGCATCCCCTGATTTATACGTAATCATTTTCAGTTGAATTCAAAACCAAAAGTTTTAAAAAATTCGAATTCTATCACTTTTTTACTTCAAGATTTTTTGAAAATGTGATTAATTGTTGCGTTTACCGTTTGCGGTGCCAATCTCACTACCTTTGATGCAACGTAATCGTTTTCAGTTAAATTCAAAACTAAAGGTTTTGAAAAAATCGAATTTTATCCCTTTTTTTATTTAAAGATTTTTTGAAAAATTGATTCATTGTTGAGTTTACTGTTTACGGTGTCAATGTCGCTACCTCTGATGCAACGTAATCATTTTCAATTGAATTCAAAACCAAAAGTTTTAAAAAATTCAAATTCTATCACTTTTTTACTTCAAGATTTTTTGAAAATGTGATTAATTGTTGCGTTTACCGTTTGCGGTGCCAATCTCACTACCTTTGATGCAACGTAATCGTTTTCAGTTAAATTCAAAACTAAAGGTTTTGAAAAAATCGAATTTTATCCCTTTTTTTATTTAAAGATTTTTTGAAAAATTGAATAATTGTTTGCGTTTACTGTTTACGGTGTCAATGTCGCTATATACCTCTGATGCAACATAATCGTTTTCAGTTGAATTCAAAACCAAAAGTTTTAAAAAATTCGAATTTTATCCTTTTTTTATTTAAAGATTTTTTGAAAAATTGATTCATTGTTGAGTTTACTGTTTACGGTGTCAATGTCGCTACCTCTGATGCAACGTAATCATTTTCAATTGAATTCAAAACCAAAAGTTTTAAAAAATTCAAATTCTATCACTTTTTTACTCCAAGATTTTTTGAAAAATTGATTAATTGTTGCGTTTACCTTTTACGGTGTCAATATCGCTACCTCTGATGCAACGTAATCGTTTTCAGTTGAATTCAAAACCAAAAGTTTTAAAAAATTCGAATTTTATCACTTTTTTTATTTAAAGACTTTTTGAAAAAGTGAATAATTGTTGCGTTTACTGTTTACGGTGTCAATGTCGCTATATACCTCTGATGCAACATAATCGTTTTCAGTTGAATTCAAAACCAAAAGTTTTAAAAAATTCGAATTTTATCCTTTTTTATTTCAAGATTTTTTGAAAAATTGATTAGTTGTTGAGTTTACGGTGTCAATGTCGCTACCTCTGATGCAACGTAATCGTTTTCAGTTGAATTCAAAACCAAAAGTTTTAAAAAATTCGAATTTTATCACTTTTTTTATTTAAAGACTTTTTGAAAAAGTGAATAATTGTTGCGTTTACTGTTTACGGTGTCAATGTCGCTATATACCTCTGATGCAACATAATCGTTTTCAGTTGAATTCAAAACCAAAAGTTTTAAAAAATTCGAATTTTATCCTTTTTTTATTTAAAGATTTCTGAAAAATTGATTCATTGTTGAGTTTACTGTTTACGGTGTCAATGTCGCTACCTCTGATGCAACGTAATCATTTTCAATTGAATTCAAAACCAAAAGTTTAAAAAAATTCAAATTCTATCACTTTTTTACTCCAAGATTTTTTGAAAAATTGATTAATTGTTGCGTTTACCTTTTCCGGTGTCAATATCGCTATATACCTCTGATGCAACATAATCGTTTTCAGTTGAATTCAAAACCAAAAGTTTTAAAAAATTCGAATTTTATCCTTTTTTTATTTCAAGATTTTTTGAAAAATTGATTAGTTGTTGAGTTTACGGTGTCAATGTCGCTACCTCTGATGCAACGTAATCATTTTCAATTGAATTCAAAACCAAAAGTTTTAAAAAATTCAAATTCTATCACTTTTTTACTCCAAGATTTTTTGAAAAATTGATTAATTGTTGCGTTTACCTTTTACGGTGTCAATATCGCTACCTCTGATGCAACGTAATCGTTTTCAGTTGAATTCAAAACCAAAAGTTTTAAAAAATTCGAATTTTATCACTTTTTTTAATTTAAAGATTTGTTCAAAAAGTGAATAATTGTTGCGTTTACTGTTTACGATGTCAATGTCGCTGCCTCTGATGCAACGTAATCATTTTCAATTGAATTCAAAATCAAAAGTTTTAAAAAATTCAAATTCTATCACTTTTTTACTTCAAGATTTTTTGAAATTGTGATTAATTGTTGCGTTTACCGTTTGCGGTGCCAATATCACTACCTCTGATGCAACGTAATCGTTTTCAGTTAAATTCAAAACTAAAGGTTTTGAAAAATTCGAATTTTTTATCACTTTTTATTGCAAAATGTTTAAAAAAATTGAATAATCACTTTTTGATTAAAGATCTAAAAGAGGTTAATTGTTGCGTTTACCGTTTACGGTGTCAATATCGCTACCTCTGATGCAACATGACCATTTTCGGTTGAATTCAAAAGTTTTAAAAAATTCGAATTTTTTATCACTTTTTTTATTGCCAAATGTTTAAAAAAATTGATTGATTGTTGCGTTTACCGTTTACGGTGTCAATATCGCTACGTCCGATGCAAAGTAATCATTTGCATTTGAATTCAAAGCTAAAGGTTTTGAAAAAATCGAATTTTATCCCTTTTTTTATTTAAAGATTTTTTGAAAAAGTCATTAAGTGTTGAGTTTACGGTTCACGGTGCCAGTATCGCTACCTCTAATGCAACGTAATCATTTTCAGTTGAATTCAAAACTAAAAGTTTTAAAAAATTCGAATTTTATCCTTTTTTTATTTCAAGATTTTTTGAAAAATTGATTAATTGTTGAACTTACTGTTTACGGTGTCAATGTCGCTACCTCTGATGCAACGTAATCATTTTCAATTGAATTCAAAACCAAAAGTTTTAAAAAATTCAAATTCTATCACTTTTTATATTTCAAGATTTTTTGAAAAATTGATTAATTGTTGCGTTTACCTTTTACGGTGTCAATATCGCTACCTCTGATGCAACGTAATCGTTTTTAGTTGAATTCAAAACCAAAAGTTTTAAAAAATTCGAATTCTATCCCTTTTTTTATTTCAAGATTTTTTGAAAATGTGATTAATTGTTGCATGTACTGTTTACGGTGTCAATGTCGCTACCTCTGATGCAACGTAATCATTTTCAATTGAATTCAAAACCAAAAGTTTTAAAAAATCAAATTCTATCACATTTTTACTTCAAGATTTTTTAAAAAATTGATCACTTTTTTTATTTAATCATTTTTTGAAAATTGATTAGTGGTATGGTCAGATTCTTGGAATGCCACCCATAGATCATTGAAAAAACCCAGATCAAAAGGCAAGCTGCGCATGCGCAAGGCAACTTTTTCGAATAATGAACCGTCATGCGCAAAAGCAATTTTTGTTGTATGTCTGATTTTTATGAAATCGTAACAGGCATAATAGAAAAACGGTTTTGTTATTATCAACCCCTACTAATCAAAAGAAATTCCATCAAACGCTCATTATCTCTAGAAGTTGACCTTTGGGTCATGTCATCCAATTAAAAACCGAATAATTAAACATAATTAATTAGTAGAAGGCGATTGTTTTCTATAATTAAACTAATGCGGCTTATGAACCAATTTTCCCACACTTACCCTGGACGAATTCTCGACTAGACACAGAAAGACGACGTCCTCGCGTTGCAGCCGCACCGCCGCGTGCAGAGGCAGCTGCGTTTTACTCTTGAGCATGTTGTACAGCAGCGGCCCGGACATGTGCTCGAAATCGGACGAGTTCAGGTCGTCCCAATGCGTCGATATCAGCGACGAGCAGTACTCGCGCAAGTTGTTCGCATTAATCTCCTCGGCGACCGAGTAGAATTTCACACATGTTCGGACGTTAACGTTCGAGATCAAGGCGTGCTCGCACGCCGCGAGCAGATCTAGCAGTTTAAACTCGTGTGCGACCTGTATCACTTTGAGGGTTACGTCGTCCGAGCTCAGCTTGATCTTGTCGGTGTAAAGCCAGACGAGCACGGCCTCGCCCACGTCGTTATTCATATCGGACCAATCGAGCAGCTCCTTGTTCGCGAGCAGTTCCTTGCCCCATTTCGCCGATCTCGCGCTGAGGACCAACTTGTGAGCGTTCAGGGTGCGATCCGACAGTTTAATTTTGATGTCGCTGTAGGTTTCCGAATTGTACAAACCGCCGACTAGTTGCAGTAGGGAGGCGGCGAACGAGTTCTCGTTCGTGCCGGACGATGCTAAGACGCTGTACTTTCCGGTGATCTCGTTGTACTTGTCTTGCAACTTTGCGTATTCCTGCTTTAGCAGCGCGAGGTGTTGCTGCAGTTTGTCCACTTCGGAGAGAGCTGAAATTTAAGGGTGTCCATTTGGAAAGGTGGGCAGAAATTGGAGACCTTACCCATTTTCGCGATTTTAATTCGTTAAACGTTCAGTAGATCATGCTTAATTGCACGTAATTAACGAAAATACACCGCCCCACAAATTTTTTTAGTTGAATTGGAACATAACCTCAAATTAAATTAGTGACATTTAAACCGGCGCCAGGATGCGTATTTCGAAACTTCTCGTCGCCTTGAAAAGCGCGGGAAAGAACGTAGAAAAATGCTGTTATACTCTCGAAAGGCGCCCAAAAGCACAGCCGTCCTTGATCTGGACACCCTCCTAATAGTCGTAACGGAATTCGCATTTTTCTAGACAATTCAACCACAGAGCTTTCTAGTACTTTTTCGGGGTTCTCTTATTTAGTCCTGGAAATAAGTATCTAGAAAGCTCTGCAATGGTCTCGTAGGACTCTCGAAAACTCTAGTTCTTTGGAGAGACTGGAAATAGCTCAAGGACAAAAAAAAGGTATTCGAGCGTTCTTCACGTGCGATCCACGTGTCTCTGGAATTCTAGGAAACGCTTAAAAACAAAACCCTAAAAAGCTTATTTACCCCCTTCCACCTGCAATTGTAAACCCTCCTGAGACCGAGGCGGGTGGCGCAATGGTTGCGCTCACCGGTTATTCGGGAGGTTGCGGGTTCGAATCCCGTTGCCAACTGCTCTGTCTGGGGTTTTGTCAGGGATTTTTCCTCAGACATTCGTAGCTTCGCATAATGCTAGCATTATGTTGAAATCTACGAGGCGAATGCAGGACTCTTGGAGCAGTACCCTCCTCCAGAACCTGGATCGAGCGTTCTAAAAAAACCGCTCGAGCGCTTTAATTTTCTCAAAGATGCTCGCGAGCATCGAGTTGTTTTGCAATGCCAAACCGCTTGCGAGTTCGGAGCACTCCTAAAAGTGCTCGGCAGCGGAAAAAACGCTATCGAGCGGCGCTTAATCCTTCAACGCTTGAGGGCGGTTAAAAGCGCTCACGAGCCCAAAAACCGCTCGTGCGCCGAGCACTTTAAGTAGACGTTCGAGTATCGAGCATCAAGCGGCCGCTCCAAAAAGTGCTGGCGAGCGGAGTTTCGCAAGTTCGAAAAAGAGCATTCTAGACCTTAGATTTTTATGAATTTTTTGAAACGTTTTAGAGCCCTTTTAAAAACATTCTACAGCTTTCCATTGCAATTGAATGTCCCCCTAGAAAAAATCTGAAGCGCACTGGAAAGCTTTTTGATTAATTTCCATGGTTTTATAGATACATACAGGGTGTCCTATTTTCAATACTTTTATAGAGTATCTCCGTAAATATTAGTGCTACCAAAAAAAGAAATATAGGCGTCATGTACTCTTTTTGGGGGCGAAATCCAAATTTAAAAATATTCTCTCGTCTTGTATATTTTAATGTATAAAGATAACATATTACATTCACTTTTCAAAAATATAACACTTATTAAAAAAAATTCAAGTGATTAAAAAAGATCAGAATAAGATTTAACATAAGTTCAAAAGATTCAATCAAATTTTAAAAAGATTTTTGAATTTTTGAAACATTTCATGATTTTTTGAATTTTGTAATTGTATTTTTTAAAAGAAAATTTAGTATCCTATTATATTATATGAATTTAGTTATTTTGTTGTTTATTTTTATGTTGTGTTATTTATTTTTATGAATTTTTTGAAACGTTTTAGAGCGTTCAAAAATGTTATTAAAAAAAATTCAAGTGATTCAAAAAGATCAGAATAAGATTTAACATAGGTTCAAAAGATTCAATCAAATTTTAAAGATTTTTGAATTTTTGAAACATTTCATGATTTTTTGAATTTTATAAATTGTATTTTTTTTAAAGAAAATTTAGTATCCTATTATATTATATGAATTTAATTATTTTGTTGTTGTTTAGTTATGTTAAGATTTTGAGTTTTTGTTGTTTCTTTCTTTTTCTTTTTTCTTATTACACTAAATAATTGCGCGTTAACTATTAAATATGTATTGTCCTGTAATTGGAATGTTCTACGGGGTGTTCCGTTAAAAAATGAGGTTAGGTCCGATACCTTTTTTTTACCTAACTCCGTACACGTATTTTCATTCTGAAATTGATAATTTCTTTATTTTTCTTCGTATCTCTCTTAAGCGGGATATTTTCAAATTTAGATTTTACCATTTGTTTGACCCAAAAAGACAACACATGACGCCTATATTACTTTTTTGATGGCACTAACAATCAAAGTTATTTTCTGTAAAAAGTGTCGAAAATGAGACACCCTGTAGGGATGTCTTAGTTCATTCCACTTACCCTTTCAACGTTTTGATGCATTTTCTGAGTGTCTTGTCGCTTTCTAATATTTTACTAGCACTCTTTCCTTCTCTAAGCTTAAAACGCTCCGTACAAATCTATTATAAGTTCTGTCTACAGCTATAAAAAACAAGAAAACAACTTATCAAAATGGCGGATTTTGAGATATTGACATCAACTTTCTTATTTTAAATGGATACCATATTGGATTTTTACGTCACTCGATAGAGAAAAAAATTAAACCAGTGTGTTTCCTTTTTTGCTGCCATCACTTGTGTAGTTCTTCTATTAGATACCAGAGGCGTCACAATCAATTGCATAGTTCCTGTTTTGCCACCAGAGCTGTCTTCGGCAATGTGCCTCAGAATAAAGACGACTAAAAACTGCCTCATATTTTTTTTATTTCTTTACATGGTAAAGTAACAAAAAAAAAAGTTAAATGTACATAATAAATATATGCACAGAGTTACGGTGAAATGATAAAACAAATCGGAGAAGGGAGACGGGGGTAAAAAATTTCCTAAGTATATACAATTGTTGTTACTTCACATAAAATGACTAAAAAGGCAAATAAATACTGTTAGCATTATTTAGCGTTTACATAAATCTATCCATTTATAATATAGAATTAAATTTAAAACCATAACAAAATTTACAGTTTTTATACAAAAACCTTAAAATACTGGGGCACAAAAAAAGGCATGCCCGGGTAAATGGAGTAAGACAGTTTTTGTTAAAAAATGCAATCGTACGGATACCATGATTTACCTACTTGTAATTTCTACTATACATTTCTTGCATAATTTTAAGCGTAAATACCAAATATTGTTTTTGGTATATGTTAGTCTTTTTGAATGTTTTTTTTTTGTTTCGCTAACTAATTGATATTATATGATAGAGGTTGAGGTTTTTTTAATTTTATAATTAAAACACTTACGAGGTCAAATGACTAATTAATAAAAATATTATTAACAGCTATGATGCAACATAGTTTAATAAAATATATGAGTTGACTAAAAACAAAAATAATGAGAAAATCAAAAATTATACCTAACAATAAATCGACAGGGTTTTCGATATACATACAATGAATGCTTAATTATTTACATAAAACAAAAAGGCCTTTTGACAGAGGTTCCACAGTAATATAATTGTATATATTTGTCTAAGAAACAAATACCGATTACACTTCGTTAATTTTCGCCAAATTTACAGCATTAACAACTAATACAATTATCAAGCGCTTCTTAAATATACATACATACCTACCGGAAATTAGATAATACGTTCTACGGTTAAAATATCAATTTCGTTTATCAATCGGCACTTTGTTAAATGAGTGATTAAATGCGTATTCGATTTTGAACCTCTGACAAAAGGGGAGGAAGTTGTTGAGTGGGAAGGGGAGGTCGGGGATTGGGCAGTTTAAAAAAGCGTACTATTTAAATAGAACCCGGAGGAAAACTAGTTGAACTGTTGGAATGAGCAAGACTTAACATGGAACCCGATAGTGACCTATCGTCGTCGTGGTAGTTTTCGCGTGTCGCTTCGGCGATCGCTAAAACGCTGCAAAAGAAATGGCACAATTTAGTTCTGTTCTGTTCATAATAAACGGTGAGAGGTTTCCTTATGCATAAATAATTTTGACTGATTTTTCGTCTTTTTTCATAGTTTATCGGTATGCTACTTTTGCACTTTGAAACCCAAGGTCAGGAGCATAATGATACACGTTGCTTAAACACGCCCTTGATTTTCGAAGCTTGTAGTAAATGATAAAAGAAGCATATCCGTTGCCCTACACATGAAACATATTGGATTGAGATGCATACCCATTACCATTTATCATTTATCGCGCGATTTTCGCCAACTCATCAAAACCCTAATCTCGCGTTCCAGCTTCTCGTGTAGGAGTCGCACAGCGATACATGTTTGTCGTAAGCACGCACTAGATTTTCTTAATCCTAAACACCTCCTTGGCTACTCCAACTATCAAAAAATATCTGCCCGTTTTGTTTGGGACCGAAGCAGTTTTCTATCTGAAACCCAACCATAGCAATGCATATTGTATAAACACGCCCTTGACTTGTTCAAGACAGTAAGTGATAAAGGAAGCTTATCCATTACCCTACACATGTAACATATTGGATCAGTAACAGGAGCACAGCGATAGACATTTCGTGAACACGCCCTAGATTTGAATGGTGACACTTTTTGAACACCTCCTCTGTTACTAAAACTGTCACAAACTATCTCCCCATTTTGCCTAAGATCGAAGTACTTTTATACTTTGCAACCCACAACAATACGTTCAAAACATTTTTATAAATAATTATGAAATATCTTTGAAGACTAAAAAATGATATTTTGAATACTTCAACCATACAAAAATATCTCCCAGTATTGTTTAAGAACAAAGCATTTTTGTATCCGGAACCCAGTGTCAGGAGCACAGCGATACATGTTGCGTAAACACGTCCTTGAATGTTTCGAGATACAGTAAGTGATAAAATAAGCTTATCCGTTACCCTACACCTGTAACATATTGGATCAGTAACAGGAGCACAGCGATAGATATTTCGTAAACACGCCCTAGATTTGAATGGTGACACTTTTTGAACACCTCCTCTGTTACTAAAACTGTCAAAAACTATCTCTCCATTTTGCCTAAGATTGAAGTACTTTTGTACTTTGAAACCCACAATGATACGTGATTTTTCGATTCTTAACCAAAATATTTTTGAAGAGTAAAAATGATATTTTGAATACTCCATACAAAAATATCTCCCAGTTTTATTTAAGGGCGAAGCATTTTTGTATCCGAAACACAGTGTCAGGAGCACAGCGATACATGTTGCGTAAAACTTTGAGTTTCTAGAGACTTACAGTAAGTGATAAAAGAAGCTTATCCATTGCTCTACATATGTAACATATTGGATTGAGCCGCCATTGTAGACCTTTCGTCAACTCACTGAAACCCAGTGTCAGGAGCACAGCGATACATGTTGCGTAAACACGCCCTGAGTTTTTCGAGATACAGTGATAAAAAAAGCTCATCCATTGCCCTACACATGCAACATATTGGATTGAGCCGCCATTGTAGACCTTTCGTCTACTCACTGAAACCCAGTTTATTTAAGGGCGAAGCATTTTTGTATCCGAAACACAGTGTCAGGAGCACAGCGATACATGTTGCGTAAAACTTTGAGTTTCTAGAGACTTACAGTAAGTGATAAAAGAAGCTTATCCATTGCTCTACATATGTAACATATTGGATTGAGCCGCCATTGTAGACCTTTCGTCAACTCACTGAAACCCAGTGTCAGGAGCACAGCGATACATGTTGCGTAAACACGCCCTGAGTTTTTCGAGATACAGTGATAAAAAAAGCTCATCCATTGCCCTACACATGCAACATATTGGATTGAGCCGCCATTGTAGACCTTTCGTCTACTCACTGAAACCCAGTGTCAGGAGCACAGCGATACATGTTGCGTAAAAACGCCCTTGAGTTTCTAGAGATACAGTAAGTGATAAAAGAAGCTTATCCATTGCCCTACGCATGCAACATATTGGATTGAGCCGCCATTGTAGACCTTTCGTCTACTCACTGAAACCCAGTGTTAGGAGCACATCGATACATGTTGCGTAAACACGCCCTGAGTTTTTCGAGATACAGTAAGTGATAAAAAAAGCTTATCCATTGCCCTACACATGCAACATATTGGATTGAGCCGCCATTGTAGACCTTTCGTCTACTCACTGAAACCCAGTGTCAGGAGCACAGCGATACATGTTGCGTAAAAACGCCCTTGAGTTTCTAGAGATACAGTAAGTGATAAAAGAAGCTTATCCATTGCCCTACGCATGCAACATATTGGATTGAGCCGCCATTGTAGACCTTTCGTCTACTCACTGAAACCCAGTGTTAGGAGCACATCGATACATGTTGCGTAAACACGCCCTGAGTTTTTCGAGATACAGTAAGTGATAAAAAAAGCTTATCCATTGCCCTACATATGCAACATATTGGATTGAGCCGCCATTGTAGACCTTTCGTCAACTCACTGAAACCCAGTGTCAGGAGCACAGCGATACATGTTGCGTAAACACGCCCTGAGTTTTTCGAGATACAGTGATAAAAAAAGCTCATCCATTGCCCTACACATGCAACATATTGGATTGAGCCGCCATTGTAGACCTTTCGTCTACTCACTGAAACCCAGTGTCAGGAGCACAGCGATACATGTTGCGTAAAAACGCCCTTGAGTTTCTAGAGATACAGTAAGTGATAAAAGAAGCTTATCCATTGCCCTACGCATGCAACATATTGGATTGAGCCGCCATTGTAGACCTTTCGTCTACTCACTGAAACCCAGTGTTAGGAGCACATCGATACATGTTGCGTAAACACGCCCTGAGTTTTTCGAGATACAGTAAGTGATAAAAAAAGCTTATCCATTGCCCTACACATGCAACATATTGGATTGAGCCGCCATTGTAGACCTTTCGTCTACTCACTGAAACCCAGTGTCAGGAGCACAGCGATACATGTTGCGTAAAAACGCCCTTGAGTTTCTAGAGATACAGTAAGTGATAAAAGAAGCTTATCCATTGCCCTACGCATGCAACATATTGGATTGAGCCGCCATTGTAGACCTTTCGTCTACTCACTGAAACCCAGTGTTAGGAGCACATCGATACATGTTGCGTAAACACGCCCTGAGTTTTTCGAGATACAGTAAGTGATAAAAAAAGCTTATCCATTGCCCTACACATGCAACATATTGGATTGAGCCGCCATTGTAGACCTTTCGTCAACTCACTGAAACTCAGTGTCAGGAGCACAGCGATACATGTTGCGTAAACACGCCCTTGAGTTTCTAGAGATACAGTAAGTGATAAAAGAAGCTTATGCATTGCCCTACACATGTAACATATTGGATTGAGACGCCATTGTAGACCTTTCGCCAACTCACTGAAACCCAGTATTAGGAGCACATCAATGATACATGTTGCATATAAATACGCCCCTGACTTTCGAAGCTTACAGAAAGCAATATAAGAAGCATATCCATTGCCCTAAACATGTAGCATATTGGATTGAGATGCATACCCCTTACCATTTATCATTTATCGCGCCACCTTACGCCAAAACGCTAATCTGGCGGACTTATAAAAAAATTTCGCTCCGTTTTGTTTTAGATTGAAATACTTATGTATTTTGAAACTCTGTATCGGGAGCACAGAAATATTATTTTGTGAAACTCAATAACAGGAGCACAGCGATACATGTTGTCTACACACGCCCTTGATTTTCTAAAGACTCAGTAAGCGATAAATGAAGCTTATCCGTTACCATACACAGGTAACACATTGGATTGAGATGCATATCCCTTGCCATTGTTTCACAGACCTTTCGCCAACTCACCTAAACCCTTATCTGGCGGACTTACCAAAAAATATCGCTCGATTTTGTTGAAGATTGAAATACTTATGTATTTTGAAACTCTGTATCGGGAGCACAGAAATATTATTTTGTGGAACTCAATAACAGGAGCACAGCGATACATGTTGTGTACACACGCTCTTAATTTTCTCAAGACTCGGTAAGCGATAAATGAAGCTTATCCGTTGCCATACATATGTAACTTATTGGATAGAAATGTATATCCCTTGCCATTGTTTAACAGACCTTTCGTCAACTCACCTAAACCGTAATCTGGTGGACTTATCAAAAAATATCGCTTCGTTTTGTTTTAGATTGAAATACTTATGTATTTTGAAACTGTATCGGGAGCTCAGAAATATTTTGTGGAACTCAATAACAGGAGCACAGCGATACATGTGTACCCACGCGCTTGATTTTCTCAAGACTCAGTACGCGATAAATGAAGCTTATCCGTTACCATACACATGTAACATTGGATTGAGATGCATATCCCTTGCCATTGTTTAAGAGATCTTTCGCCAACTCACCTAAACCCTAATCTGGCGGACTCCTCATCAAACTCTTCTAGCTCGCGTTCTTGCTTCTCGTGTAGCAGTCGTATCCGTTCCGAACGCTCTTCTAAAAACCTCTGAGTCTCGGAGGTCATCTGCAAGCTCACGTTTTATAATCGACTCGCGCCCCAAACCCCGACTCTTACCTTCTGCTCTAGAAGCGCTCGCCTAACGGACACCCGCTCCTCCAATTCCCTACGTTCCCTATCCCTCTGCGCTTGCGCCTGCATCTTATTCTTACTCTGATAGGCCATCAGGATCTCGAGCTCGTAGTGCAACCGCTCCTTCATCTGCTGCGCCTCGATCTGCAACTTTAATGATAACCGCCGCACTTTCGTTAGCGACGCGCCTACCTCCTGACTTTCGTCCAAACGTATGCACTGCTTTTGCAGCATCTCGGCGATGCTCTGCTCGTACTGGTCCCCTAAAAGCGCCAACTTGCGACGCTGCTCCTCTTTCAGCTTCTTGATCACCGCCTTTTGGTCCTCCTTCGGCGTGTTCTGAAGGATCTGCGTCTTGAGCGCCTTGTACTGCTTCGTTTGCACTTTGCACGTTTCCCGAAATTGTTTTCGCACCATCATTTCCTTTTGCTACAAGGGAAAGGATGAGTGGAAGAGGGCGAGACGGGGAGGGCTTACCTTAAGCGACTTCGGCTGCTGCTTTATCTCTAACGCGTGCTTTTTTCGTAACTCCCGCTGCGACCTAAGCATGTACTCCTCTTGATTCGCCAGTTCAGTACTGTGTTGGCGTTGCACCTGCGCACATCGCACTCAGTACGAGCACCAATTAAGGATTGTTATTACCTGTTCCTCTCTGAGCGCGTGCACGGTTTTCTGTTGCCGATACTCCAACTCTTGCGTTTTGTCATGATGGCGCAAGAGCATCGAGTGGGCCTGCTCGAGCTGCTGTTGACGTTTATTGAGCTCCTAAAACAAAGCGTTAAGAGAATTTCGCGTTGTGCCAGATTACCTCGCGCAGCAGCTCCTGCTCCAAGTTGTGGAAGCCGAGTAATTTTTTTCTTCTAAATTTCCTAACCTCAATTTCTATATACTCCTTTTGCGATCGTAACAGTCGTTGTTCCTCCTGCGCCTCGACCAGCTTAAGGTTATCCTTTTGAGTCTGTAAGGTGGCGTCGCGTTGCCGTTTCGGAGTCGAGTCGTCTTGCGACAGCTCCCTTTTCCACCTCTCCTTGTTCGCTTTATACTCTTTCTTTCTATGCGCATCGAAGGCCTTCCTATCGAGCTCCTGACGACTAGAGATGTCTTTCCCCAACTTCTTCTCGCCGATTTGGTTCTGCTTGAGCTTCCGCTCGAGCTCCTGCTGATGTCGAACTTGCAACTTCTCCAAATCCCGACTGAACGTCTGCAACAGCATCTCGTACTCCTTGTCCAACTGGTTCTTGTGACTTTCCATTTCCATTTTGCACTTCTCCTCCAGTTTCATTAAGGCGCTTTGATGCTCGCGTCGCATTCGCTTATAACCCGACATTTGCTCGTGCATTTCTTCCTAACGGACACGGTTGTGTAAACGCGATTGGCGCATTTTGCTTAGGCTTACCTGCATGTGCTCCTTTTGCTGCTTCGTTACAATACTGGTCGTTCGAATTGTTGCGAAATTGTTAGTGCCGTGATCGGAAACGATGGCCGCCGCCGCGTGGTTGATGTTCGCGCGGTGTCTCCTCGACAAGCCGTCAGCGTCGCCCCCTGCGCAAAAATCGGTCAATGCCTAATTCAAGGTTTCAATCGAGCGAAAAACTTTTTCCCCGACTCAGAGAACCCAGAAAACTGACATAACCTCACATACCTGCTGGAAGACTGTTGGTACTACTCGACTGACTACTGGCCGAAACACCGACCGAATGTATACTGTGCTCCGACGTAATGGAGTTGCTCTTGGAACTATCCCCGCCCGTGTGCTCGTCGGGCGTATCGTCGACGTCCTCTAAAATAAACAAACGACGCCGATAACCCTTCCCCAGTCCCCTAAAGGATATTTACCTATCGTACTTTCAGTCTCGCAACTTTCGACCATTAGTATCTTCTTCATTTTTCTATAATTTAAATTATCTAAATCTCTTACGGCTGCTTTGGTACGTTGTATGAGGTCGGTTAGGACGTTCGTTTGCATCGGTCTCGCGACGAACGGATGCGACAACAATTTCGTCGAGGTCGGACGTTCTCCTGGTAATTTCTGTACGGAAATGTATGTCAATGTCTTTTTTTGAATTTCTCAATTTTGACATTTAGAATGTTCGCCATTTTGTTTTTGAAATTTTGTCTTTAAATTTTTCAACTTACAGTTAAGGCGATTCGCATTTTTAATAATGCAAGCAGACACATTGTATAGCTTGTTTTTTGAATTTTTTAATTTGAGTAATTTTTGATTTTTCAAATTCGCGATTTTGGTGTAGTCAAGTTTTTTTATTGCCCTTTTAATCCGAAGTGTTTTACTTAATTTTGATTTTTTTAAATATTCTAACCTTGGTCCTGAGAAATGAAGATTTTGGTTTGGAAATCTGATATTCTGCGATTTTTCAAATTTCATTTTTTTGGAATTGTAAGTCAAGAGTTATTTATTCAAAATTGAAACTATTGAAGATCGCTTTCCAAAAAACCAAAAAATTCACATTACTTCTCCGACAGTGATCGAAATACCCACCTGCAAGCAAGACTTAACGAAATATTTAAAACAATCCGTCCATTCCGAAGACTGAAGAGAAGGTGACTCGTTTTGAGCAATGTGATAAAGAGCGGACATCGCGTTCATATTAAAATAGGGTGGTTTTCGTTCAGCCAATTCAATACAAGTAATACCTGCAAGAATTACCTTGGGTAAAAACAACGTACACGTCGTACCTCGACTTACCTAGCGACCACACGTCGACCTTCCCATCGTACTGCCCCTCGTCCATGGCCAGTATAACCTCGGGCGCCATCCAATAAGGCGTACCGACGAACGAGTTCGCCGGACACTTTATGGAAGCGCTCCCAAAATCGGCCAGCTTCACTGTACCGTTCTCGGTAAGCAGAATGTTGCCCGCCTTCACGTCCCGGTGTATCCGCCCGAGACTGTGCAGATAACTGAGACCGTTCAGAACGCCATCGCAGATCGCGGCGATCTCCTCCTCGCGCAGCGCGCACTTGTGCACCTCGATGATGTCGGACGCCGACCCGAGACAGTACTCCATCACGAGCCATGCCGTGTGATCGCGCAGGTAGCAGCCCTTGTGCTCGACGGTGTTGGGATGTTTCAGCTGGCGTAGAAACCTTGAAACGTTAATCAATTTACGTCATTTTCTCAAATCAAATGCGAGGGGTTGACCACTCGAATAACTCGAAATCATCTTTCTCTTTTCAATTTTCTTATGAACCCTTAGGAATCATAGAAATTTTACTTGAAACAGCACGGCGCCATATTTACATTTTGTCCAAAAACAATTTGATATATTCAGTACACGACCAACTGCAGAAGTCATTTCCTGTGACGAAAGATATTATCACCGCCAGAATTCCTTGAAAACACAAAAAAGTGCACACTAATTTCGAAAAAATAATACAAAAAACATCGTGCCGAATACCTCAATTTTGAATTTCTTGAAAAACCTATACAAGATTTTGTTGAAGAATATCTTTGAGGACCCCCTCCAATAATTTTTAAAAAATCGTTTGTAGAATATTTAGGAAAATATTATAAAAGGGATTTCTTGAAAAAAGAAACGATACTCTCAAAAATTAGGTCCGTTAATTACCGACTAATCGATTTTAGTTTTCTAATGGTATACGAAAATCCAGCATTAAACCGGCAAGGTCATGTGATAACAGATTATGCCGCTTGGTCTCACATTCCAAAGAACATTGCTGCACTGCCGAATTTGGAGATTTCACTCCGACTATTTGGATAAGTATAATTAACCATAATTACTTGAATGGGTTACAGATAACAACCGCCGATTAAGTCGAGATTACATCCGTTAGGTGCGCTCTTAAAAATCTTGAAGTTTGACACCGATCCCATATGTTTTCGATGGCGGGGAAATGCGTAATTAGTAGGTTAATTTATTGAACTAATTTTTGCAACCGTACCGTATTTCAATCATCAACTTTTGCTTTTCCGTGTTTTAACAGTTTTTAAATCATTTTGTCTTTCGCCAGTTACCTTTCTTTGCACCCGTCGCGTCGGGGGCAACCACATTCCCTTTGCCTTTTTAAAAATTTTTGGATTTTTACTCAATCAATTCAAAGAAATTATAAAAACAATCTTTATAATATAAACTTCAAAAATCATTATAAAGAAAGGTTTGTACTAACAATTTTTCAGAGCGGGCTTTCTGTGCCCTTTACAAAACTTTTTGGGACATTCCCTTTTCATTCTAGACCTTAGATTTATATGTATTAATGCAAAAGGGTTCAATTCAAAGAAGTTTTAAAACCATCTTTGAATTTTTAAAACTTCAAAAATCATTATAAAGAAAGGTTTGTAGTCACAATTTTTTAGAGCGGGCTTTTTGTGCCCTTTACAAAACTGTTTGGGCCATTCCCTTTTTCATTCTAGACCTTAGATTTATATGATTGATGCAAAAGGGTACAATTCAAAGAAATTTAAAAGATTTTTGAACTTTTAAAACTTCAAAAAATTTTATAAAGAAAGGTTTGTAGTAACAATTTTTCAGAGCGGACTTTCTGTGCCCTTTAAAAAACTTTTTGGGACATTCCCTATCATTCTAGACTTTAGATTTATATGTATTAATGCAAAGGGGTTCAATTCAAAGAAATTTTATAACCATTTTTGAATTTTTAAAACTTCAAAAATCGTTATAGATTTATATGTATAAATGCAAAAGGGTTCAATTCAAAGAAATTTAAAAAAGATTTTTGAATTTTTAAAACTTCAAAAATCATTATAAAGAAAGGTTTGTACTAACAATTTTTCAGAGCGGCTTCCTGTGCCCTTTAGAAAACTTTTTGCCCATTCCCATTTTCATTCTAGACCTTAGATTTACATGTATGAATGCAAAAGGGTTCAATACAAAGAAATTTAAAAAAGATTTTTGAATTTTTAAAACTTCAAAAATCATTATGAATTATATGTATAATTAAAAATTCAGAGCGAGCTTTCTATTGCCTTTACAAAACGTTGTGGGCCATTTCCTTTGTTATTGTAAACCTTAGATTTATATGCATGAATGCATAAAGGTTCAATTCCAAGAAATTCAAAAATTTTTAAAATTTCAAAAATCATTACAAAGAAAGATTTGTACTAACAATTTTTCAGAGCGGGATTTCTGTGCCCTTTACAGAACTGTTTGAGCCATTCCCTTTTTCATTCCAGACCTTAGATTTATATGTATTAATGCAAAAGGGTTCAATTCAAAAAAATTTAAAAATTTTTTTTGAATTTTTAAAACTTCAAAAATCATTATAAAGAAAGGTTTGTACTAACAATTTTTCAGAGCGGCTTCCTGTGCCCTTTAGAAAACTTTTTGTCCATTCCCATTTTCATTCCAGACCTTAGATTTTATATGTATTATGTAATGCAAAAGGGTTCAATACAAAGAAATTTTAAAAAGATTTTTGCATTTTTAAAACTTCAAAAGTCATTATAAATTATATATATAATTAAAAATTCAGAGCGAGCCTTCTATTGCCTTTACAAATTGTGGGCCATTTCCTTTGTTATTGTAAACCTTAGATTTATATGCATGAATGCATAAAGGTTCAATTACAAGAAATTCAAAAATTTTTGAATTTTTAAAACTTCAAAAATCATTACAAAGAAAGATTTGTACTAACAATTTTTCAGAGCGGGCTTTCTGTGCCCTTTACAAAACTGTTTGGGCCATTCCCTTTTTCATTCTAGACCTTAGATTTATATGCATTAATGCAAAAGGGTTCAATTCAAGGAAATTAAAAAAAATTTTTTGAATTTTTAAAACTTCAAAAATCATTATAAAGAAAGGTTTTGCCATTTCCTTTTCTATTCTAGACCTTAGATTTATACGCATTTTTTTCGAACCTTCAAGCACCCTTTTGAGCATACTAAATAAAGCTTTCGACTGCAATCAAATGTTTGGCAGGTCCTCCACGGTTTTTTCAGAACAATAGCAACGTGACCCTCGCCCAAAAGCATTTACCTCTAAAGGCCTATAAGGAGTCCTAGAAAAGTCTGACCCGCACTGGAAAGTCACTGATTTCCATGGCTTTATAAGTACAGGGTGTCCCATTGTCCATACTTTTCTACGGTATCTCCGTAATGTGATATCAAAAAAAAGTAATATAGGCGCCATGAACTCTTTTTTGGGTCAAAAATCCAGGAAATACGAGGGAAAATCAGAAACATCTAAATTTCAAAATGACCCTAAAATTTTTTAGTTAAAATGATACAGAACAAGGTTTATTACAAAACTTTCTCTGTTAAATAATTTGCCGTTTTCAAAATAAGTATACGGGGTCAGACAAAAAAGTTATTGAACCTTTTTTAAAAATAGAGCTCCCTGTATATTTTAATCTAAAAAATAGTATATTAAATTCTCTTTTCAAAAATATAACGCGCAAGGGATGTTATTAAAAAAAGTTTCAAGTCATTCAAAAAGGCCAAAATAAGATCTAACAGGGATTCAAATGATTCAAACAAATATTTGAATTTTTTCAATTTTGAAAATTTTTTTTTTATCTTTTTGAATCAATATTGAATTTTTTTGCGTTGTATTTTTGGAAAGAAAATTTAATATGCTACCTTTTTAGATTAAAATATACAGGGTGCTCTATTTAAAAAATGAGGTTAGATAGCTTGAAATGTGTTAGCAAAACAAAAAAATAACTTACTTTCTTATTGGTGAAAATTTTACTGTCACCTTTTTTTAATTAGAGGCAATTAAGCGCTTAGATCATACAAGAAGGGGGGAGGGAACAGAATTTCAAATGTGAAACTTTCGAAAACAGAGTGTCGGAAGAGGCTACTTACCAAGAGAAAATGATACCATGTCGACAAAACGCATCCTTCGGCGGAGTGAAAACTTCAAATGCGAATATCTCACAAACTGGGTTGGCAGAAGAGGGTAGGTACTTACCAGTGAAAGTGATAAATGTCGACAAACTGACAAACTGTGAATCGTCGGAAGAGGGTATTTACAGTGGGAAAATGATTGTATCATTATTGCCAACTTCATAAGAAATATGCACAATCTTGGCTAAGTTCACATGGATCTGTCATGGCAATATGAAAATGCAACAGAATATTATTCAGTGCATATTCTGATGAAGTTTGCAGTTAATTTATCATAAAATAAAAAATAAAAACAAAAACAAACTTTAATAATAATGTTTTCACGGTACCCAGCTCGAGTAGCAGTATCATGAAACACTTTTTCAATATTTCCTGAAAACCTTCAAAAATCTGCAGAAGTTTTTTTCTTGAAAATCTTATAGGAATGTTTGTAAATTTCTCCGGTCATTGTTGATCACCCTGTACATGTGCATTAAATAGAGATTAAAGAAACAGCTGAAGTATTCCGGAAGATACACTGTTTAATGGTACGTCATAACGAGTAATAGTGCGAAAAAGTGGTTAACCCCTCGTCGACATCCAACGACCGACCTACCTGATCTCCTTCAAAATATCCTGCCACTTCTCCAAACTCTGCTTGCCCAAATACGACATTTTCTTAATCGCGACGATCTCCTGCGTGAGCAGACATCGCGCGTAGTAGACCGCGCCGAACGAGCCATGTCCGATTTCGCGCAGATCCTCGAAGATCTTCTCCGGATCGTGCTTGTAGAAGAGGTCCGCGATGTCGGGATCCTTGAGACTGCCTGGCCTCGGCACAGGGGCCATGCTCTCTCGTCGAATGTTATCCCCTCATGTCAACTCACATTGATCTGTAAAAATCGGTGCGATTTACAAACGATTCGCCTACCTCGTAACTAATTAAACGATAAGTGTCAGTTAGGGAATACTTACAGAATTGACTGAAAATAAATTGTCGAGCGTACGCGTTAAATTTAAATTAGAATTGCAGCGCAAAAATTTAGAAAAAAAGAGCTTTGTGAAGGAAGTTTCAGGAAAAGACCCTCCCCAATACTGCACGGTAGTGTTTTCTTCTTACGTTACAGGCGGGAGGGAGGCGGAAATATTTTTAAACAATTCAATTGGAGTTTGTAAAAACGTACGGATAATTAAAAAGCGATCTATTAATAACACAAAATAAGGTTTTTAAAAAACTTACAAAAAAGATTAGGTTGACGACTCAAAATGGCGATAACACTTAAGATACTTCCAATTTACACTGCACTTTCGTTCGTTCCTTTTAATCTAGACATGTTTGCGATTAATTGAATTAATTAAATATTAATTGACTAACTTTGATTTAACGCATTATAAAAAAAAATATTAAATTAATATCAAAAATATACATAAAACACTGTTATGAATCACTATAAAGGTTAAAACCAAAGAGGATAAACTACAAATTTAGTAAAAGTCACCAGGAAAATGGTTGGCAGCCGTGGAAGGGGCGCCCTCTTTGGCAAATTGTTGTACCTTTAAGCGACAATTTCAAATTTGCACTTTCAGGATGCGAATTAACAAATGCGTGACAACCTTTTCAACGGAAGAAGAAAATTGAGTGGAGCCCGAGGTGGAGAATAACTTGCAATAAAGTTACGAGAGGCGTATGAGAAAATGGGGACATTTTTAAAAGGATTCCCGGGGAAACTCGTGCATAGTTCGCACAGATCAATACTTATTCCTTCTTTCTTTCATAGTCTAAGGGATCCTAATGATTCTACACAGTCCTCAAAAAGTGTTAGTATGGTCTTACACAGCTCTGAAAGGAACTGGACCGTTCTAGGTGGAATGCCGCGGGTTAGCATTATAAAGCTCTGACTGGGCATAATAAGAACCTCTTGAAAGAACAAGCAAATAAGCCTCGAAATATTCCAGAAAGTTTAAGTATGGCCTTGAAAAGCCCTCTAGAAGGTTACAGAAAAAAAGCATTACAGTAATGCCATTATGGAATATTGGAATCTCTGTTTCAGGGACATAGCAATAGAAACAAGTGGCATTAAAAGTATAGCAGCTGAAAGAGGAATAGAACTACTGTGTAAAACCGTATACCTCCCATACGATCATCTTCCGAGCCACCCACGTACAAAGAGTGTAAAGAATTGGTGGACAATTGCACGGTAAGAAAATAGAAGGTCATGATCGTCAGAGGCGATGCAAATGCAAAAGATTGCATAATTGTGGCCTTCGTAGTCAGAAACAGCAGAGAACCTTAAAAAAAGTGACCATGAGTCGCACGAGGTGCTCACTTGGATGCGGACAGGAACTGGGACTAGGAAGTTTTAATTGTAATTTGGCCAAAAAAACATCTGCCGCATAATACAACAGAGCCAGAAGGCAAAGTGGGAAACATGGAGGAATTACGGCGAGCACTGAAGCGGCATACGACTCCAAAGGGTTCTTTCAACGTAACATGAATGGAAAGCAGAAAATTTCCAAAAAAGTAGTGGGAACTACATGGAAACCGATCAGCGTTTTTTTAAACACACTTATTTCGGAGTCTCCCTCGTAGACCTAAAGAAAATGGGGACCATTCAAACCTGCCTATTCCGCGTGGGAAACCGATATCAAAGCGCCATCAAGTCGCCATCAAGGCGATAAGGAATAAAATATAAAATGCCTGATTGGAAACTTCTCTAGAAGTTTTTTGTTTGCATTTAAGCAAATTGAATTATGGTGGAATGATGAGTGTCGAAGTAATAAATAGTGAAAGCCGCGCTCGTGATATAAATTTACGCGCGAATACCAGTAAGTGAAAATAACTGTTATTTAAAGACCGTTTTAATTTAGTTTCTCGTTGTTAGTCTTATTTCCGGTGAATTTTAATAATTAATTGTGCATAAATAAATCATAATTTGAATATGTGGAGCAGAATGTTTTCATGCTAAAGCAAAAACTTCGGTCTACCGGCGCTTATAATTTAAAAACGGAGCGTAAGCGAATCGATTGTCACCCCGATGAAGAAGATTAAAGCAGTTTGAATTTTCACACGTACGAATGCGTGAAATTCAATCTTAAAATATTTATTGATTACGGTGCCCCTTCGACCCGACTCGGCACCCACCACTGACCTGATTCAGAGATAGTGACGTTGCAAATGTGCCATGTGGCTTTTGATGATAAACGAAAAGTAGTACCGATCGAAATTAGTACCGCGGCATTAACTATCTACAATATAAACGTGCAGTTTACCTGAATAATTTCGTTGGCCCATTTGAGGTGTACGGTACCCTTTTTGTTAACGTAATAGTGTTATTTACAGTTATCAAAATGTCGGCGTAGGAATACGCTCCCCACTATCTCCCTTTGGAGCAGCCATCTTGGGTGTTTCAACATTCGAAGTGGCAGGCACCGAAACACAAATACGATATTCTTGTTTTTTAATTTTATTTTAATTAAAATAAACCGAATTTGTTTAAAACCATTGTTGAAGATTGAAGTTAATTAATAAAAACGGCAACATGTCGCAGCAACTGTTGCCGATTCGTTTCCAGGAACATCTGCAGGTAATCCGCCCCTAAATATCTGATTACTTTTTGTTTTCTCTTTAAAGGGGGTGTAAAGCGCCCCCCTCTTCGAAAACGGGCGAAACCGGCTAATTTCGCGTTCTGCTTTAGCTTACCAACGTCGGAATTAATGTTGCGAACATATCCTTTGCCACGCTCACGATGGAGAGCGATAAGTTTATATGCGTACGGGAGAAGGTCGGCGAAACGTCGCAGGTGGTTATTATCGATATGGCCGACTCGGGGAATCCAATACGAAGGCCTATCACGGCGGAAAGTGCCATTATGAATCCGGCATCGAAGGTTATTGCGCTTAAGGGTAAAGCCGGAATCGAAGGTAAGTGTAGACTTGGGTTTCCGCGCGTGAACAATTGTTGTTTTTAGCACAAAAGACCTTGCAAATATTCAATATCGAAATGAAGTCTAAAATGAAAGCCCATACGATGACCGAGGATGTCGTCTTCTGGAAGTGGATATCTCTAAACACGCTAGCGTTAGTCACTGAAGCCTCGGTCTTTCACTGGTCGATGGAGGGCGACTCGACACCTGTCAAAATGTTCGATCGGTAAGTCCCAAAGAAAGTGTGAGCGTATCTAACCGTTAATTGTAGACACTCGTCACTGAACGGTTGCCAAATTATTAACTATCGCACCGATCCGAAGCAAAACTGGCTACTGTTGGTCGGAATAAGTGCCCAGCAAAGTCGAGTCGTCGGCGCCATGCAATTATATTCGGTCGAACGGAAGTGCTCGCAACCGATCGAGGGCCACGCCGCCTCGTTCGCGACATTCAAACAGGAGGGAAATCCGGAACCGTCGACTCTCTTTTGTTTTGCCGTGCGATCTATGCAAGGAGGCAAACTGCACATCATCGAGGTAAGTCACGCGTGCGAAGTAGGCAGTACCTAATGTGTCGTATCCTAAATTTTCTTTTTGACATTTTGTACTGGGAAGTGGCTAGTGCACATCAATAGATGACAATCACTTGCGGCGCAGATGTAAATATACTCTAGATAGCTCTTGGCATACGGGTATCGGAACACGTAAATGTTTACTCTTGTAGCTAGCGCAACTAAAATGTTGGCATTTAATCATTTTAATTGTGGGGTTTAGGTTTGGCCCTGAGAGAGGCAATGTACAGGGTGACCCATTTAATCAATAACAACATACCATAGATAGTGTGAGTTGCGAATATTTCAACTGAATTTTGCAATATTTCCAAAAATAATTGCCTTGGTAAAGAACCAATATTCACACATCAGAAATTGAAGTGAATATTTACCATAAATCAGCAGATATAAAATTTTAAGATCCGCACAATGGAATTTTCTGCGTTGTTGTGAAGGTTTTGAACTCTCATTTGTATTTTTGAGTTTTGTTTTGTAGGTGTCGTATTTGGACTGAACGTTTTTTGGTTTTTTATGTTTGTTAAATAAACAATTTACAACTCAGATGCGTTTTATTGTTTTTTAAATTAACATAAGATTGACTCGGTCTTTGGTGTATTGTAATTAGTATAGAATAGTATAGTATATTTTGTAAAATATGAATATTACCGAAAATTCCTGAATAGTAGTGTTTAAAAAAAATTCAGAGAAGGTTCAAAAAATGAAATTTGAATTTTTTTAATGTTATATTCTTGAAAGAGAATTGAATATGCTATCTTTTTAGATTAAAATCTACAGGGTGTTCCATTTAAAAACGTGAGGTTAGGTTTAATAATTTTTGTTACTTGATCTCATTCTCTTATTCTGTAAATGGGGTCAGATAAAACTTGCCTGACTTAACATATCATGGATGATATCTCGGATGATATTGAAATAAAGGTTCAAGAGATGCAAAAAATCCAAAAGTGATTTTTGAATTTTGTGGATGTTATATTTTTGAAAGAGAATTTGATATGCTATCTTTTTAGATTTAAATCTACAGGGTGTTCCATTTAAAAAAATGAGGTTAGGTCTAATAATTTTTGTTACTTGATCTCATTCACTTATTTTGTAAATGGGGTCAGATAAAACTTGCCTGACTTAACATATCATGGATGATATTGAAAAAAAGGTTCAAGAGATTCAAAAAATCCAAAAGTGATTTTTGAATTTTGTGTATGTTATATTTTTGAAAGACAATTTGATATGCTATCTTTTTAGATTTAAATCTACAGGGTGCTCCGAAATGAGATTAGGTCCAATAATTTTTTTATCCAGTCGCATTTACGTATTTTGTACTTAAATGGGATCAGGTAAAGAAGTTATCGCACCTAACCAAATTTGTTTAAACGGGACAACACCCTGCATATTTAATATCGAAAAAGATAGCGTATTAATTTCTTTTTATTAACTTAATGTATCATGGATGATATTAAAGAAAAATTCAAGTGACGCAAATACAACAATTAAAAAAAATTCAAAAAAGGTTCAAGTGATTCAAAAAATCCAAAAGTGATTTTTGAATTTTATGTTTGTTATATTTTCCAAAAAGAATTTAATATTCTTAAAATGAGGTTAGGTTCAAGAATTTTTTTTCGTGGACCCATTTACTTATTTTGTAAACAGGGTTAGTTATCGTACCTAAAAAAATATTGTAATGAAACCCTTGCATATTTTAATTCAAGAGATAATATATTGATTTCTCTTTTCAGTAACTTAACATATGGATGTTTAAAAAAAGTTATTTTTGAATTTTGTGTTAAATTTTTGAAAGATTATTTAATATGCTATCTTTGTTTGATTAAAATCTACAGGGTGTTCCATTTAAAAAAATTAGGTAAGGTCCAATAATTTTTTTACCTGGTCGCATTTACTTATTCTTTAACTTCTTTTAACTGGAACACCCTGTAGATTTTAATTCAAGAGATAGTCTATTCACTTCCCTTTTCAATAACTTAATATATGGATATGTAAAAACAAATTCAAGTAATTTTTGAATTGTGTGTTATATTTTTGAAAGAGAATTTAGTAAGGTTATCTTTTTAGATAAAAATCTACAGGGTGTTCCATTTACAAAAATGAGGTTAGGTCCAATAATTTTTGTTACTTGATCTCATTCACTTATTATGTAAATGGGGTCAGATAAAACTTGCCTGACATAACATATGGATGATATTCAAAAAAATTCTAAAAAAAGTTCGAGAGATTCCAAAAATTCAAAAGTGATTTTGTGTGTTATATTTTTGAAAGAGAATTTGATAATGCTATCTTTTTAGATTTAAATCTACAGGGTGTTCCATTAAAAAAAATTAAGTTAGGTTCAATAATTTTTTTGGTCCCATTTACTTATTCTGTAAATGGGGTCCGGTAAGCAGTTATTGGACCTAATTTCTCTTTTCAACAACTTAGGATATTAAAAAAAAATCAAAAAGTGATTTTTGAATGTTGTGTTATGTTTTTGAAAGATTATTTAATATGCTATCTTTGTTTTATTAAAATCTACAGGGTGTTCCATTAAAAAAAAAATGAGGTTAAGTCCAATAATTTGTTTACCTGATCGCATTTACTTATTCTTTAAACGGGCCCAGGTGAAAACTATCGGATCTAACCAAACTTTTTAAATTGGAACACTGTAGATTTTAATTCAAGAGATAGTCTATTCACTTCCCTTTTCAATAACTTAATATATGGATATTTAAAAAAATTCAAGTGATTCAAAAAATCAAAAAGTGATTTTTGAATGTTGTGTTATATTTTTGAAAGAGAATTTAATATGCTATCTTTTTTAGATTAAAATTTACAGGGTGTTCCATTTAAAAAAATGAGGTTAGGTCCAATAATTTTTTACCTGGTCGCATTTACTTATTCTTTAAACGGGGCCAGGTGAAAACTATCGGACCTAACCAAATTTTTTTAATTGGAACACCCTGTAGATTTTACTCTAAAAGATAGCATATTAAATTCTCTTTTCAATAACGTAACATACCATGGATGATATTAAAAGATTCAAGAAAAATCTTTACAATTAATGTGCGCATGCGCAAAAGTCCTTATAGAGGTATATTTTCTCTATGTCTGCTATATCTGGAGTTCATTTACATCTGTGATGGTACTAATACACTGGAATGTATTTGTCCCTCGCGCAGATGGTGACGGATTTACGAACAACGCACTTTTTAGGTTGGACAAAGCCCCGCCGGCAATCAACCGTTCCCCAAGAAAACTGTCGACGTCTTCTTCCCGCCCGAGGCGCAAAACGACTTCCCGGTCGCGATGCAAATCTCGGTAAAATACGATGTAATCTACCTAATAACGAAGTACGGCTACATCCACATGTACGACATCGAAAGCGGAACCTGCATATACATGAACCGCATCTCGAGCGAGACGATCTTCGTGACGGCGACGCACGAGTCGACCGGCGGAATTATAGGCGTAAATCGGAGGGGTCAAGTTTTGTCGGTAACCGTCGACGAGGATAACATAATAAGATATGTAAACACGGTACTGCACAACGCCGACTTGGCGTTGAGGCTGGCCGTACGTAATAATCTTGCCGGCGCCGAGGAGCTTTTCGTTAGCAAGTTCCAGTTGCTTTTCCAAAATGGCCAGTATACGGAGGCGGCGAAAGTTGCCGCCAACGCGCCCAAGGGTATCCTGCGGACGCCCGCCACGATTCAAATGTTTCAGCAGGTTCCGACACCTGCGGGACAAAACAGTCCCTTGCTTCAATATTTCGGAATTCTTCTCGATCAAGGACAACTAAACAGGTTTGTAATTCACTTCACCTGCATTTTGTTTTGCACCCTCGTAAGTAGTGAAATCACCCATCACTTAATTCTATTAAATTAAACTGTTAAGTTACGCATGCTCAAAACAAATTTTTTGTACCAGCTTTGGTTTTACTTTTATTCAAAGTGTCTTATACATTGCATGAAAAAAGCAGGTGCCAAATTCTGGACAGAACAGCTGTCTAGCTCAAACCAGATATTAAAAAAAAGTTCTGACGTCCTAATGTACACTGTACTTCGTACGTTGCACTGCTGTGCCCCACGTTGGGCGCTAAATAAATAATGTGGCCCCACGTTGGGCGCGATTGTTGTAACGCTGTGTGCAATGGTATCCACCTGTCCAGCTCGCTTACAGGTTATAATAGAAACTTAGAATTGTTTTAATCCCTCCTTGTACACTTCCCGCATTGATTAATAATAATAAAAAGGTATTCCAAAACACATTAGATGGAAATTAACAAAACATTGCAAAGCTTGTTTTTACACGGTACCCCGTACGCGGCCGGCGATAATTAAAAATAAGAAAATGTTAAAATTACTTAGTTTTTTTTTTCTCTTTTAAACTAAAATCTGGTCGTGAACAGGTTTGGGATAAACTGGCCCACTTCAAAAACACTCGCTGTCAGACTTAAGAAATGGATGAGAGTGAAATTTAATTAAAACGCTAAAAACATTTCAAATTCTACGAGAGTAGCTCTAGGGTCTTCATTGGTAACGAAGGAAAAAGAGCTACTGAAAACCTAAGAAATGTACTCGCTTACTTTATTACTGTTGCCTGTACGACAACATCAGGGGAATAAGATATTTAAAATATTGTGCCACCATTTTTCACGGAAATGAATTACCAAGGCCGTTATGTACTGGAGTCCGTAGTACATAGATTGGTAGCAAACTTTTTATAATTTTGGATACCATAAAAAGCTTCTTTAAAAAATGTTGTTTTGAAGATATATTTAGTGTTCCAGACCAAATTTTAACCCTGTATATCATTTGTGTGTGGTTAGAGCTCAGTCGATTTAGTGGCAACCTTACCCGTGGAGGCCTGAGAGTTTACCCTGTTTATTTTGACTCAAAACCCAATTATGCCATCTTTCAACAAATGCATCGTTAATAAAGGATTATGGCAATTCAAAAACAAATTCCACAAATATTTTACGCTCCCACATAAAACAAACAAACAATTCCCACTCATCGCACAAGCCGATAACAAAAATCGTACTTGAATTTTGAAGTCACCTTTCTGTGAATTGACAATGTGGAAAATACGCTACAAATTTTAGACCAGTTGGTTGCCGCGTGTACTATTCACTTTCAAAAAAAGCATCAAGAAATAATTCATTCAAAAAATGTGCTCCTGTTTGCGTTTTGGCCGGCCGTCTGGATCTACTTCTGCGGTTTTGAACTACTTTTAGGGGAATTTTCCTAGAGTCGTGGAAGTCCTACATGTTCGGGTTCGCTTTCTCGTTAACGTTCCGGTTCGCGTTTACGCTTTGGGTTCGATTCGCCCTTCGGTAGGATTGGTCGCCGTTTAAAGTTCAAAGTTTGCTCGCTGTTGAAAGTCCAAAAGTTGGTCGCCTTTCAAAGTTAAAAGTTTGGTCGCCATTCAAGGCCCAATTAGTGCCAGTGTAACCCATTACACTCCAATCCATTGAATCAGAGTTCGTGGTAGTGGTGTGGACAGTCCAATCTGCAATTAAAAGATTATTTTCTCTGTTTGCTCAATACGCAATACACGCCGATCACATTTTCATGTTTTCAAGTACTACAAGTTGAATTAATGTTCTCTCTCACTTTCTCCAAGAAGGTATACTTGTTTTCTAGTATCCTTTTCGGACGCCATTGAACTAGTTGAAAGCAATTGGCATATTTTAAGAAACTGATTACCATTTCGTCAATATGCAGGGTCATCGTAAAGAGTGAATCCGATTTTAATTCATAATTGTAAAAGTGTTAATGGAGGGATTTCAGTGAAACTAACGACATAATACAGACAAAACGTTGCAAGTTTTATTGTCGTCTGGCCTTGAAGTTGCAAGTGTTGCGTACAACCTTAATCGATTGTAGACCAGAGCAAACTTTGGACTTGGCGACCAACACTTGGATTTTAAATGCCAAGTAACCTTTGAACTTTGCACCAACCTTTGAACTTTAAACGGCGAGCAAACTTTGAACTTTAAACTTTACACTAATTTAATTTCGAAATTCACCTATAACTATAACGTCATCGGAATTTCACCTACATGGACATTTCTATATGACTATCCTTTGTTTGACTATGACATTATTAGCATTATCCGATGTGCTGGGGGATTAATGATTGCTACTCCTCCCCAAAGTTCAAACTTCTTGCAATGGCATCACACACACCCTCCACCTCCATCCCTCCGATAAATCGTTAGGACTTTTATTTGTTTGGGTAGTCAACCTTTAGAACTCTATTTAGTTTTTAACGTCACTTTCAAATGGCATTGACACTAGCAAAGCACCTTATGGGACTTTACATGGAGTTGAGTTAGAATCGGCCTTATATGGCTTACACAAATTGAGTATTGCTCTTGACTACAAAAAAGGAGTCATTAAACTCGAAAATGAAATATGGCACCACCATTCACCTTTCATGAGCTAAATAAGGAAATATGATACCGCAAGAAATAAGGTAATTGAACTTTGTTGACATTGAAAATGAAATATGACATCACAAAACTGGGTCGTTGTCCCCTGGTAACCTTAAAAATGAAATATGACACCACAAAATGGGGTCTTGAATGGCGATCAACCTTTGCACTTTGAACGGCGACCAAACTTTGGACTTTGAATGTCGAGCAAACTTTGGACTTTGAATGTCGACCAACCTTTGAATTTTGAACGGCGACCAATCTTGCTAAAACGCGAATCGAACCCAAAACATGAACGCTAATCCAAACGTTAACGCAAACTTGAACGATAACCCGAACGTATTATTCCACTTTTCAATGTTATGTGTTATGGGTGAAATGGATTTTATCTGTCATTGTATTCTAATTGAAGGTCCCAATAAAAGGAACTGTTCTCTACCAACTGCCGCCCTTTTTTTTGATTACCCTTCAGGGGAGACTTGGTTTTATCCTTCGTGGTACTCTAATGAAAGGAATTTTTACCAACCATAGTCCTTCTCCTCGGCCCCTTATCGTGATCGGTTATAATTCCTTATATCTCAAGAGCGTATTGTCGGAAGCAGGGTACTCACAAAGGGCAAAGAGGCGTCTCGAAGAATTATATTCATTGGTGATGGCAAAACTTTGAGGCCGCATATCTCGAAAACGGTTTGTCAAAGGCAAAATGATTGTCTGAAGAAGACATATCTATTGCTGAACTCGAAGCGAATATCTTGAAAGCGAAGTGTCGGAAGAGGGTATTCATAAAGGGGAAATAGAACGTCTACTGGCGATGTTGGAGGAAGGTAAAATGTAATATTTCTGAGAATTTCTCTAAGGTCTTGATTCTTCTTGCATATCGTAGATTTTGAATGTATGCCAGGCGGCCTTCAGGTCCCCTCTCCCACAATAAATTATTTTTTTCAATGACATCAAATCTGTCAAATAGACCTGTCAAATGACATAATAATGTTGTGTAAACAACGTCATTTAGACGTTATTTCGGTCTACACACCAAAAATAATAACGGGCCACCCCGTATATGACAATATTTTAATTTATTAAGTAAATCAGGTGGACTTATTTCCGAAATAAGCACAGAGTTGGGGCGTTTCATTTGAATTTGTATTTCCGCATTTGTTTTTCTTTTTAGAATTGTTGGTAAATGCGTAATTTTTGTTTAAAATTCGATCGCTTTTGTAATTTATTCAATTTGGATAAGCTGTTACAGGTAAGACACATCTGGTCGTTTGCGATAAGAAGTTTTATCAGGCGAAAATTGATTAACGCACGTGTTTTGTCGCTGATAACGCATTGGAAGGTGCTTTACGTCGTTGATTGGTGATTTATTTGAAAATGCTTAAAGAAGAAAGAAGTGGTTTTTGCCTTAAATAAATAAATTAAGAAAAAAAACTAAATAATTTTAATATTGCGTATTTTATTTGTCGACCGCTTGCGTGCGGGGTAATATGTCCAAACAAGTCCGAGGATGGTAGTAACCGAAATCGGTAATTTTTAGAAACATAAATGCATATATTAGCAACCACTGCAAGGTAAGTTTTTTCGAATTGTTCTCTTATCGAATTGTATCTCACATGTTCAGGTTTATACAAAAATCTTAGCAAAAGAGCACCTGCAGATTTCATACAATTTAAATGTTTTATCAAATTAAATGAATGGTCCACATTATTCTAATCAAGGATGAAATCGTCTGCGGCGTGACCCACTTCTTCTTTCATGCTGGCACACTCATTCGTTCATAATCGAATACGCGTCTAAAAAAAGAGGGTTGATTTTATTGTTTTAAAGGTATGAGTCTTTGGAACTCTGCAAGCCCGTACTTTTGCAAGGGCGCAAACAGCTTTTGGAAAAATGGTTAAAAGAGGACAAGCTGGAGTGTTCCGAAGAATTGGGCGACCTTGTGAAACAGTGCGATCCGACTTTAGCTTTATCCGTGTATCTGAGGGCGAACGTCCCTGCCAAGGTCATCCAGTCCTTTGCCGAAACCGGTCAGTTTCAAAAGATCGTGCTGTACACGAAGAAAGTGCCGTACACGCCCGACTACATTTACCTACTTCGTACGGTGATGCGAACGAATCCCGATCAGGGCGCCACCTTTGCAGCTATGTTGGTGGGGGACGAGGAGCCCCTGGCCGATATCAATCAGATTGTCGACATTTTTATGGAACAGAACATGGTGCAGCAGTGCACCGCCTTTCTGCTGGACGCTCTCAAGCAGAATCGCCCGACCGAGGGACACCTGCAGACGCGACTTCTCGAAATCAACCTAATGTCGGCGCCGCAGGTTGCCGACGCCATCTTGGGCAACAACATGTTCACGCACTACGATCGCCCGCACATCGCGCAGCTCTGCGAGAAGGCCGGCCTACTGCAGAGAGCCCTCGAACACTACACCGACCTGTACGATATAAAACGCGCGGTCGTCCACACCCACCTCCTACCCGCCGACTGGCTGATCGGCTTCTTCGGCACGTTGAGCGTCGAAGACAGTTTGGAATGCCTGAAGGCGATGCTCACCGCCAACATTCGCCAAAACCTGCAGATCTGCGTGCAAATAGCGACGAAGTATCACGAGCAGTTGACGACGAAGGCACTGATCGACCTATTCGAGAGCTTCAAAAGTTACGAGGGACTATTCTACTTCCTCGGTTCGATCGTGAACTTCAGTCAGGACGAAGAGGTCCACTTCAAGTACATCCAGGCCGCCTGCAAGACCGGCCAGATTAAGGAGGTCGAGCGTATCTGTCGCGAGAGCAACTGCTACAATCCGGAGCGCGTGAAGAACTTCCTTAAGGAGGCGAAACTCACCGATCAGTTGCCCTTGATTATCGTGTGCGATCGTTTCGATTTCGTGCACGATCTAGTTTTATATTTGTATCGCAACTCGTTGCAGAAGTACATCGAGATTTATGTTCAAAAAGTGAATCCCAGCCGATTGCCGGTTGTCGTTGGAGGTTTATTAGACGTAGATTGTTCCGAAGATATAATAAAAAATTTAATTCTCGTCGTTCGCGGCCAGTTCTCCACCGACGAGCTGGTCGAGGAGGTCGAAAAACGCAACCGACTGAAACTTCTGCTGCCTTGGCTCGAGAGTCGCGTTCACGAGGGCTGCGTCGAGCCCGCCACTCACAACGCGCTCGCGAAAATTTACATAGACTCGAACAACAACGCCGAGCGCTTCCTGAAGGAGAACCAGTGGTACGACTCGCGCGTCGTCGGCCGCTACTGCGAGAAGCGCGATCCGCATCTCGCGTGCGTCGCATACGAGCGGGGGCTGTGCGATCGCGAGTTGATCGCCGTCTGCAACGAAAATTCGCTTTTCAAGTCGGAGGCGCGCTATCTCGTTAAAAGACGCGAGGGCGAACTCTGGGCGGAGGTCCTGAACGAGGAGAACCCCTACCGTCGACAGCTCATCGATCAAGTCGTACAGACCGCCCTGAACGAGACTCAAGATCCCGAAGACATCTCCGTAACGGTCAAGGCGTTCATGACGGCCGATCTGCCGAACGAATTAATCGAACTGTTGGAGAAGATCGTTTTGGATAGTTCCGTATTCTCCGATCATCGCAATCTTCAAAACTTGCTAATTCTTACAGGTAAGTTTTTTTTTTCATTTTATTAATTCTTTTTAAATTTTCAAAAATAAGTTCGGTTTTGTTATTTTCATTTTCAAAAATACGGAATAATTAGAAATCTTCTCTTTTTTCGTTGCCAAATTGAGATTTTTTGTTTTTGAAAAATTGAAGTCAAATTTGGTTTTTGAAAATTTAAAAAAATTTTGAAAAATCATTAGATTTCAAAATATTTCTTTGAAAATAAAAATCGAATCGAATTTTGATTTTTAAACGTTCAAAATAATCATTAACTGGGCAACACAAGAACCTTTTCTAATTATTATTTTTGAAAATAAAAATAACTAAAAGAAACTAACGTTAATTTCTAATTATTATTTTGAAAATAAAAATAGCAGCAGAGCTTGATTTTTTTTAATCAAAAAACAAAATTCTCATCTTGGCAAGTAACCTTTGAACTTTACACCAACCTTTGAATTTTAAACGTCGTGAACAGGTTTGGGATAAACTGGCCTACTTAACAAAAACACTCGCTGTCAGACCCAAGAAATGGATGGGAGTGAAATTTAATTAAAACGCTAAAAACATTTTAAATTCAAAATACAAACAAGAATTGCCCTCGCATTACCACGAGAGTAGCTCTAGGGTCTTCATTGGTAACGAAGGAAAAAGAGCCACTGAAAACCTAAGAAATGTACTTGCTTACTTTCGTACTGCTTTTAGCCTGTACAACATCAGGGGAATAAGATATTTAAAATATTGTGCCACCAAAAATCATTAGATTTCAAAATATTTCTTATTTTTGAAAATAAAAATAACGAAGTTAAGATTTTTTTTAATTTTCAAGAAACAAGTTTGGTTTTCTTATTTTAATTTTCAAAAATACGAGATGTTTAAAAATCGAACGATTTTTTCGTTGGCAAATTGAGACTTTGATTTTTAAAAATTAGTTTGAAAATGGAAATAACGAAAACAAACTTGTTTTTTGAACATTTAAAGAACATTGTCAAACAAAATCGTTAAATGTATTTTTCAAAATGAAATCAAATATCCCAAACTTGATTTTTGAAAATTTTAAAAAAATGCTTATTTTGACGCCGGAAAACCATTCGATTGTAAAATTTTCGTATTTTTGAAATTAAAAATAACGAAACGAAACTTGATTTTCAAAAATCAGAAAAAAATTTGCAAAAAATCCTTGAATTTTTAATTATTTCGGATTTCAAAACTTGTTAACGAAAAAAATCGAATTTCTAGTTCCGTATTTTTGAAAATTACAATAATACTTAATTTGGCAACAAAAAGTCATTAGATTTCTAAATTATTCCGTATTTTTAGAAATGAAAATATCCAAAACATACTTTTCGAAAATTTACAAAAATACTCATCTTGACAACGAAAAATAATTGGATTTTAAAATATTCCGTATTTTTGAAAATGGAAATAACGAAAACAAACTTGTTTTTTGAATATTTAAACAACTTTGTCAAAAAAATCGTTAAATGTATTTTTCAAAATGAAATAAAACTCAAACTTGATTTTTGAAAATGAAAAAAAATTCTCATCTTGACGCCGAAAAGCCATTCGATTGTAAAATTTTCGTATTTTCGAAATTAAAAATAACGAAACGAAACGAAAAATCAAAAAAATCCTTAACTTCGGAAAAAAAATCCTTGGATTATTAATTATTTCGTGTTTCAAAACTTGTTAACGAAAAAAAATCGTTAAATTTCTAGTTCGTATTTTTGAAAATTTTTATTTTTCGTATTGTATAAAATAACGAAAGGAAGAAGTTTTTAAACATTAAAAAATACTTAATTTGGCAATAAAAAGTCGTTAGATTTCTAATTATTCCGTATTTTTGGAAATGAAAATAAAGTATTTTGTATTTTTGGAAATTTTATTATTTTCAAAAATATGGAATAATTAAAAATCACGATTTTTTCGTTGTCAAATTGAAATATTTTTAAATGTCATTAACCAAGTTTATTTTCATTTTCAAAATTACGAAACTGGAAATTCACAATTTTTTCGTTAACTAAGTAAATGTTTTTTTGAATTTTCAAAAATCAAGTTTGTTTTCGATATTTTCATTTTGAACCATTTGAAATAATTCATCAACTCAAATTATTTCTCATTTTTGAAAATGAAGAACTTGGTTTTTGACAATATTAAAAAATGTCATCTTGACAACAAAAATCATTAATTTCAAATTATTTCGTATTTTTGAAAATGAAAATAACGTAAACCAAACTTGAGTTTTGAAAATTTAGAAAAATTCTTCAGCCGACAATGAAAAATTGCAGATTTAAAATTTAAAATCTCAATTTGACAACGAAAAGATCGTTAGATTTCTAATTATTCCATATTTTTGAAAATCAGAAAAACAAAACGGAAAACTATTTTCAAGAATACAAAATATTTTTAAATTAATGATTTTTCGTTGTCGAGAATTTTTTTAAAATGTTTGTTTTCATTATTTTCATTTTCAAAAATATGGAATAATAGTTTTTTGTTTTCAACTTGAAAATTTTTTAATTTCAAAAAACAAGTCCGATTTCGTTGTCATTTTTAAAAAATCTGGAATTAATGATTTTCAAAATTATGGAATGATTGAAATCTTCACGATCTTTTTGTTTGCAACTTCAGGATTTTTAAATTTATTTTAATTTTGAATACTTTTGGAATAATAAAAAAAATGTTTCCTCAGTTGAGATTTTTTTAATTTTCAAAAGCTTGGTTTTGTTATTTTAATTTTCAAAAATCCAAGAAATCCAACGATTTTTTCGTTGTTAAATTGAGACTTTGATTTTTAAAAATTAATTGATTCTTAATTATTCCGTATTTTTGAAAATGGAAACAACGAAAACAAACTTGTTTTTTGAATATTTAATTTTTAACAATAAAAAAAATCTTTAAGGTTTTGTTTTAAATGGGGAGGGGGGGGGACATGTGATACCTCATTTTGAAGGTCTTTTTAGGCGCCGTGCATCTTCCGCAGCGCCATTGCAGTGGAGACTCATGGACTGCGAATAAAAAGACCTTCAAAATAAGGTATCACATGATCCCCCTCTCCATTACAAAATTTACTAAACCATCTTGGAAGTGTCCATTTGACGTCAAGAAGTAGTGTTTTATAACCCCCTCTCCCTCCCCTCCTCGAATTCTAAATTAATACTTCAAACCGTTTGCAATGTGGGATATAATAGATATCTGTCGTCGTGGAGGTAGGAGGTTTGTGAGGGGGGGGGGGGGGGGCACGTGTCCACTTCCTTCAATTTTTGTGAATTTCATTTAATTTTTCATAATTCATACTAACTTCAGGAGAGTGCTAGGTACTTCATATAAACTTGCAGACCTCAACACACTTTTCCTTCCCTCAAGTCGTACAGCAACTGTTTTAAATTTGCAGCCATTAAAGCCGACGCGACCCGAGTAATGGACTACATCAACCGCCTAGACAACTACGACGCGCCCGATATAGCGAACATCGCAATCAACAATCACCTATACGAGGAGGCGTTCGCAATATTCAAAAAGTTCGACGTGAACACGTCCGCCATACAGGTCCTGATCGATCAGGTTAACAATCTCGATCGCGCCTACGAATTCGCCGAGCGGTGCAACGAGCCCGCCGTCTGGAGTCAGCTCGCGAAGGCGCAACTGAACCAGGGTCTGGTCAAGGAGGCGATCGACTCGTACATCAAGGCCGACGATCCGAGCGCTTACATGGACGTCGTCGAGACCGCGACCAAGACGAACTCTTGGGAGGACATGGTGAGATACCTGCAGATGGCGCGCAAGAAGGCGAGAGAGAGTTACATCGAGTCCGAACTTATTTACTCGTACGCGAAAACGGGCCGACTCGCCGATCTAGAGGAATTTATTAGCGGGCCCAATCACGCAGACATACAGAAGATCGGCGACCGGTGTTTCGATGATAAAATGTACGATGCCGCGAAATTGTTGTATAATAACGTTTCAAACTTTGCCCGTTTAGCTATTACGTTAGTTCACCTTAAGGAATTCCAAGTGAGTATGCCAAATTGCGAAGACGTTCATTCAGTAATCGGGTTTTAGGGCGCCGTCGATAGCGCGCGCAAGGCGAACAGCACGCGCACGTGGAAGGAGGTCTGTTTCGCTTGCGTCGACGCCGAGGAATTCCGATTGGCGCAAATGTGCGGAATGCACATCGTCGTGCACGCCGACGAACTGCAAGATCTCATTAATTACTATCAGGATCGCGGCTACTTCGAGGAGCTGATCGGGCTGCTGGAGGCCGCCTTGGGCTTGGAGCGCGCGCATATGGGCATGTTTACCGAGTTGGCGATTTTGTATTCGAAATATAAGCCGGCGAAGATGAAGGAGCATTTGGAGCTGTTCTGGTCGCGCGTTAATATACCGAAGGTAAAGTTGTCAAAATTGAAAGTTGAGGTGCCATTTTGGAATTGCATACAAACGGGGAACTGACAAATTAAGGGTGGCGTACAATTAGTGACGACCAATAGAGGTCGCCACTGACCAGCTACAAAGTTTTTTGAGAATGACTCAATTATTTTTTAATAGTACAAGATCCCGCATAAGCTCAAGATATAAAATTAGTGATTGACTTTTGGTTAAATTAATCAGTTTTAAAGATCAAACTGGTGGTTTTTGAAACGCAATGCCATACGAGTTAGTTGCATCAACAGTTGGCGCTACTATCAGCCACCAGGCAATGTTTCTCCAAAATCACCCCTTTGCTTTTCAGCGTTGCAAAATCTATGTACATTACTTGCGACATCGCAATGCCGTAGAGGTTAGTTGCATAAACACCTTTTTTAAATTTCCCTATCGATTTCTTTCTTTGAAACTCTTTGACAACTTTCTGAAAATTTGGTTTAGAATTTGTGTTTTGTTCAAGAAAATTTACACATGTACCGCTTTATAGCGAATGTGAACAAAATTATGTCCGGCAAAAAAAGTGATAACAGGAAACTACGGTAAGTACATTATTATTATTTATTATTATTTAAACATTTACATACAAGTTTTGACTTAATCGTCGACATTCTTCTTTGATATTTTGCTTTTCTATCGGTTGCTCCACCATAAGCAGCTGGATCTTACTTTGTGACAGGATTTATGATGTTCTTCGTTTTAAGAATAACATTCTTCTGAACCAATCTCCTGCGTACTTTACTCTCTTTTAAAGCCATATTTATTCGATCTAAATTCAACAATAACGCTGTAAGAAAGAAAAGCACACCGGGCTTGTACAGGGTTGCCAACTAAGAATGCGAGATACTGTATCTGAGAACCTCTGTAAAAAAAAGTTTTTACTAAAACGGCCACGAGAAAAACCTGGAAAATATTTTTAAGTTTCTGAAATGGCCGAACCAATGCATTTAATTTTTTTGAGAAAATTAACCATTTCTGTCGAATGTCGAAAAAAGCCCTCAAGCGGCAATATGTGAAACTAACAAAACTTCAAATATTATATTTGTAGCTGAAGAATAGCTCTTTTGAACTAACCCGAGTTTGTTAAAATCGGCTCAGCCGTTTCGAAGATACAGGGTGTTCTTTACGGAAACCTTTGAATACCCCCCACCACTTCATTTTTAGAGATGCAGCAATAATTGTCAAACAAAAAAGGTTCAGATGATCGTCGATTTCAAAGACCGGGCATTTTTTGTTAGGTTAATATAGCGGAATTCACAGAAACATCACTTTTAGATTCCAGATTGCAATTACGCCCCCTAGCGGCCATTTCAGAAACTTATAAATATTTTCCAGGTTTTTCTCGTGGCCGTTTTAGTAATAACTTTTTTACCGCAAGCCACTACGATGGACAGGTTCCCAGATACAGCACCCCGCATTCTTATTTGGTCACCCTGTATGTGCGGACTGTTTCAGGTGGGCTAAAAATTCATCACTTACATAGCTAAGATTCTTTTTGTATCGAAATGTTCATTTTTTAAGGGGTACTGCCTATACAACCTCACTCGATCTGCGACACCCTGCATATAAATTTTTCAAATACTTTAAGATTTCTACTTTTGGAATGGGAGGATACCAAAGACCACAAACTGTCAATTTTTGAGTAAAAATATTTACCAGGTTTTTCTCGTGGCCGTTTTAGTAATAACTTTTTTTACCGCAGCCTCTACGATGGACAGGTTCCCAGATACAGTACTTCGCATTCTTATTTGGCCACCCTGTACATAGCACCACGCACAAGCACTCAACTGAACAAACTAAATTTAAATAAAGTTTTAAGTACCCTAGGTGGAGTTTGACTTTACTTGAATCTGGATTTAGATGACACTGGCTTTGTTTGAATTACAGATGTGGTAGTGGCTCTTTGATGATGGAAAAACTCCCTTACGCGATCAACGCTCGATAAACGCAACACCTCGAACTTCACCTCTTTAATTCGACTTAAAGCTTCACTTTAAACGGCGTAATAAAAATCTATCTAACTTTCTTCTGTAACAAGAACCTTACGATTATAAAGACTGACTGTCTTTCAAAAATCAAATTCATTGACAGCTAACTGCCATATAGGCCCACCAAAAGCAACGATAAACGTCCACCACCAAAAAAGTCACTATTGATGTCCGTGTCTTCTATTTAAAAAATTCTCCCCTGTTCCGCCTCTGCTCCTTTATCAAAATTCAAGCGTCTCCGAATGAAAAGGTGCCCATCTGTGTTTTTTTACCGGCGAAACCTGCTTATCTTCCAAATTAATTAGCTTACGCAGCGATAATGAAACTTTATCGCGCTGATCCGCTATTTCCTTATTTAGACACACTCACAATCAGCGCTGGGAGCGTTCTAAAAAACCGCTCGAGCGACGAGCACTCCTAAAAGTGCTCGGGAAAAGTGCTCGTGAGCGGAAAAAAACGCTCAAGAGCGGAAAAAGCGCTCGGGAGCGGAAAAAATGCTCGCGAGCGGCGCTTGACCCTTCAGCGCTTGAGGGCGGTTAAAAGCGCTCACGAGCGAAAAACCGGAAAAAGTGCTCGGGGGCAGAAAAAACCGCTCGCGAGCGGATAAAGCACTCGCGAGCGAAAAAAGAGCTTGCGAGCGGGGAAAAAAAAACGCTCATGAGCGGAAAAACCGCTCGTCGGCAGAAAAAGTGCTCAAGCGCCGAGGACTTTAAACGCTCGAGGAGTATCGAGCACCAAACGGTTGCGTAAAGTGCTCGTCGCAAGCGCTTTTTCCGCTTGGAGCGCTTTAACGCTCGCGAGCAGTACCCAGCTCTGCTCACAATAAATAAAGCGATTATTTAAAAAAAAATGTTCCATGATTAAAGAAATCTTAACAAAAACAAACATACAGGGTGACCCAACATTAGTGTAGGTGCTGATACCAAATAAAACGTACGCAACAACACAACAATCATATATTTATAAGCGAGTTGTCGTGGCGTGGTGCATTGAGCAGAGGAACTACTGATTTTCACTTGGGACGTGATTTGTTACGGCTCGGTGGTTGTGGAAACTCAAATGCACTTACTTCTCCTTTATCCCACAAGGCGCTGCCCAAAGAGGTCACTCAACTTTAAGGTTAGCGATCCCAAAAAAACGGTGCCTATCACAATGAGTTTAATGTCAGTTTACGTTTTTATTTAAAAAGCGGTTCCCCGACTCGAAAATGTTCCCTTGCGTGTATTTTACCACTCGTAAATAAAAGGCTGTGCTAGGAATCAGGCTGCTAAAAAGTGTTTCGTACCTAAATGGTACGGGCTGGCTCGGCTTACGATCCTCGCTCTCCCACTTCTCTCGCTATTTTAATCTTTCCCGCTAGAAAAACCGAAACAGGCCTTTCTGAAATGACCTCGGCCGGTGTGCCCTAACAACCAATAGAAAACTCGCATTTCGACTTTTTTAGCTGGCTCAAACGGAACGAAGAGAGGGTCGAAGAGATAGATCGTGGCAACCGCGCACGTTTTCTCAAATACGTTTCTTGATATCGCCAGACATACTTTTGTTCACGTTCGCTAAGTAGTAATAAAAGATGCGGCGATCTCTCTGTTGCCCAACTTCATCAATATCATGCGCCTCCCTTAAAAGTCTTTTGGATATCATATAATCCCGTTTCAACATGGCAACCACAAGGGAGCTGCCTTCGATTGTTTGTCCGTCGTGTGGACTAAAGCGATTTTGTAGGTGCTACGCGCAGCCGAGCACGCGCACTTGTGGGCGGAACTGGTGTTCCTATTCGACAAATACGAGGAGTACGATAACGCCGTGCTCGCGATGATGGCGCACCCGACCGAGGCGTGGCGAGAAGGTCACTTCAAGGATATCATCACAAAGGTCGCCAACATCGAGCTCTACTACAAAGCGATACAGTTCTACTTGGATTACAAGCCGTTACTCCTAAACGATCTCCTCTTAGTCTTGGCGCCGCGAATGGATCACACCAGGTGGGTATTCCGCCTAGCGAGTCCGTATCACATTCTCGCGCTTTCAGAGCCGTCTCCTTTTTCGCGAAAACCGGCCACTTACAGCTGGTCAAATCGTACCTGCGCTCCGTTCAAAGTTTGAATAACAAGGCGATTAACGAGGCGCTCAACGCTCTTCTCATCGACGAGGAGGATTACCAAGTAATTATTCGTCGAGCCGCGATTTGGCGCGACTAATCGCGAGGTTTCAGGGTCTGCGCACGTCGATCGACGCCTTCGACAACTTCGATAACATCGGACTCGCGCAGAAGCTCGAAAAGCACGAGCTAACCGAATTTAGACGCATCGCCGCCTACCTGTACAAAGGGAACAACCGATGGAAACAGAGCGTCGAGCTGTGCAAGAAGGATAAGCTGTTCCGCGACGCGATGGAGTATACGGCGGAGTCGCGTCAGGGCGAGCTCGCGGAGGAGTTGCTCGCGTGGTTCCTCGAGAGGAAATCGTTCGATTGCTTCGCGGCGTGTCTATATCAGGTAATGTCCCTCTTGTTTTTTTTTGCTGTCATGTTTGCCGGCCCGTGTGGCGCAGTTCAGTTAAAGCTGAACTGTGGTGCTAAGGGTCCCTGGTTCGAATCCTGGTTCAGGCATGGATATATATAAATGTACAGTGGGGTTGGCAGCCTTGGCTGAAACCCCACCCACTCAAAAAAAAAAGAAAAAAATCCACGTCACGCCTCTTGTAGTGCTATGACCTTCTCAAACCTGACGTCATCTTGGAACTGGCGTGGAAACACAACATAATGGACTTCGCGATGCCGTACATGATTCAAGTGACCGGGAGTTGACGATGAAGGTCGAGCGATTGGAACAGTGCGAGGCGCAACGGGAGAGCGAGTCCGCCGAGGAGACGCATAAGCCCATGATGATCGCGGAACCGCAACTTATGTTGACGGCCGGACCAGGGATGGGTAGGTGCACTGAGACGGGGGTCGGCGAATTTAAGTCGACTTTTGCAGGCATTCCACCTCAGCAATACGTGCCGCCACAAGCTTACCCCACCCAAGCTGCCTACGCCCCCCAAATGCCATACCAAGGCTACGGTATGTAATGTAGATACTAAACTAATTTCCAGTTAATTTACGGATAGGATTGTAAATGACAATAGTCCTCAGTTAGCGTTGGTGCTATCTAATTTCAATTTTGTAACGATCAAAAAACCACATATTCCGCCTAATTTTACTTAGGATATAAAATATATTTGTTATCGTTAATATAAATCATTGTTTATGAAAATTTGTGTGTTATAAATATCAAATAACTATCGGCCGGTAGTTGGATAATTTTTATCTCCTCTCTCCTTTTAAGGTAAGTTGGTATATATAGCTTTATTATATAAAAGAGTATCGTTTAAATTTTTGTACCGATTATTTATGTCTGAACACTGTAGTAATTTAACTCGGTTTTGTAGATCTTAAGTGAAATTTTCCCGTAAAACTTGTAAATGTTCACTCGCTTATTAAGTGACCTGTAATATATTAGCACTTTTGAAATGAAGGTAGATGAAGTGTACGTACAATGTAATAAAAAACATGAAAAATCAAAACGGTTTGTTAGCTGCTACCTCGAAACTTGACCTTAACCTTAAGTTCGATTGCAGTCGCAGAATTACATGGCATTCGAAAGGAAATTCAACGTTAACGGATGTGAATCACAATTAGTTTGAAGAGATTCCACCCCTGGGATGAGTAACTTTGACCCTTGTGCGGGAATTTCAAGCCTACAGTTGAGATTCGAGAAACGGTCCCGGCATTAGGTGTCGTAACTAATGTGGTTACAGTTATTTGCCTCCCCAGTGACTGTCTTTTCAGGGCGAAAAGTACAGACGTTAAATTGACAACTTGTACAATTTAAGGGAATCGTCAATAATATAAATTTGGGCCAACAGCATGTAATCAAACAATCATAAATTGACCCGACATATATTGCTATATGAAAAGAAACCACTCGCATTAAGGCCTGTCCAACTAGCTTGTAGTGTACTTAACCCCCAGGTTCTACACTACAAGAACACGGAAATAAAGTCAACCCCGCAACATTTTAAAATGGCCACCCGAATGACTATTTCCTCCAAAACTAAACAAGATCCCGCTTAAATTTGAAAAGTGGCACGTGATCAAACATCTAAGGCAGGGCCCCCTTACGTTAGTTGTAAACAGCGCTGACCTGACCTGAAGCACAGTAGGGAAGGAACGTAAAATAAAACACTAAAAATGTGAACAGTTTGTTTAATAGTGATCGAAATTATTAAGATTGTGAAAGCTCGGAAATTAAGTCGAAATAAATTACATTGCAAAAATAAACTTTGAACATGGTAGTTCACCGAATCAAAATAGAAATAGGCTGGGAAAAAAAAGAACTTGCCAATAAAAAAAACCAGCCGTCAAATTAATATGAAATTGTGTAGTAAAATTAATTGTTTGTAATTATGTGAATGCGTAACATAAAATTATAACATCACAAAAGTAGCAGGTAAACTTCAAGAGGTGACCCATCTTTGGTGCAATAAAGTCCTTTTGTTAAAAGCAAGATGGAAAATTACATGGCCTTATAGGCAAATTTAACTAGAGACAAGATATGTGGAAATTAAGAATCGTAACTCATTTATCGCACATAGATTCTAAACTGAAGAGTTTTGATTAGCATAATCCCGCTCCGGCAAGATAGGTAACTCGCCCCTGGTTTCGGGGTTTCGAGCCTACAGTTGAATGTCGAAGACAATCACGGAATTAGGTGTCGTAGTTCAAATGTTACTTCAGGGACAAGACCAAGTAATCAACATCAATAAACATAAATTAAGCAAGAATTACACCAAAAACGTAAACGATTTGAAACAAAAGGATAACGGTATCAAATATGTGATTCTGCATTAAGGTTAAATCAAGTCAATTTCAAAACCAGAGATTGAAATTCAAAACAACAAAAATATAAAGTGTCATACAAAACACAAATACGATATAAAGAAATGCAAAAATTACTATCTGCATTAAATAACGCAAAATAACAACAAACATTTATGGAGCAACGCGTATATAACCTTGTTTTTGACCGAAAATGGACTACTCCAAACATTTTCGGGAAAAAACTTTTTCTAATAAATTTTGGTAGGTAGAATCCAAAATGATTCGTATTTTTTCGCTTATCCCTCTCAATCAAAAGTTATGGGCAAAAAACCAAATTCGAAAAAAAATTCCAAGGGACTGTAACTTTTGATCTAGTCGCCCAATCTTAAAACTGTTTGAAATTATGGATTCTACAGGCCAAAATCTATAAGAAAATGTTTTTTTCCCGGCCGATTTCAGACAATTCATTTTTTCGAACCAAAATCTAGGCAATAACGCAAAATAACAACAAACATTTATGGAGCAACGCGTATATAACCTTGTTTTTGACCGAAAATGGACTACTCCAAACATTTTCGGGAAAAAACTTTTTCTAATAAATTTTGGTAGGTAGAATCCAAAATGATTCGTATTTTTTCGCTTATCCCTCTCAATCAAAAGTTATGGGCAAAAAACCAAATTCGAAAAAAAATTCCAAGGGACTGTAACTTTTGATCTAGTCGCCCAATCTTAAAACTGTTTGAAATTATGGATTCTACAGGCCAAAATCTATAAGAAAATGTTTTTTTCCCGGCCGATTTCAGACAATTCATTTTTTCGAACCAAAATCTAGGCAAGTGTATAGCCTTGCTTTTGATCGAAAATGCACCACTCCAAAATTTCCCGTGAAAACACTTTTCATTATAAAAGTTGGTGCGTAGAATCCAAAACGATTCGTATTTTTTCGCTTAGACCTCTCAATCAAAAGTTATGGGCAAAAAACCAAATTCGAAAAAAATTTCAAGGGGTTGTAACTTTTGATCTAGTAGCCCAATCTTCAAACTGTTTGAAATTATGGATTCTACAGGCCGAAATCTATAAGAAAATGTTTTTTCCCCGTCGATTTCAGGCAATTCATTTTTTCGACCCAAAAATATCTTGCTTTTGATCGAAAATGGGAAAACACTTTTTCTTATAAATGTTGGTGCGTAGAATGATTCGTATTTTTTCACTTAGCAATCAAAAGATTATTTCTGTAACTTTTGATCTAGTAGCCCAATCTTCAAACTGTTTGAAAATTCTACAGGCCGAAATCTATAAGAAAATGTTTTTTCCCCGTCGATTTCAGGCAATTCATTTTTTGAACCAAAATATAAAGTGTATAGCCTTGTTTTTGATCGAAAATGCACCACTCCAAAAATTTTCGGGAAACACTTTTTCTATAAATTTTGGTGCGTAGAATCCAAAACGATTCGCATTTTTCGCTTAGACCTCTCAATCAAAAGTTATGGGCAAAAAACCAAATTCGAAAAAAATTTCAAGGGGCTGTAACTTTTGATCTAGTCGCCCAATCTTCAAACTTTTGAAATTATGGATTCTACAGGCCGAAATCTATAAGAAAATGTTTTTTTCGTCGATTTCAAGCAAAACACCCTGTATAGGGAAGTGTATAGCCTTGCTTTTGATCGAAAATGCATCACTCCAAAATTTCCCGGGAAAACACTTTTTCTTATAAATGTTGGTGCGTAGAATCCAAAACGATTCGTATTTTTTCACTTGGACCTCGCAATCAAAAGTTGTGGGCAAAAAACCAAATTCGAAAAAAATTTCAAGGGGTTGTAACTTTTGATCTAGTAGCCCAATCTTCAAACTGTTTGAAATTATGGATTCTACAGGCCGAAATCTATAAGAAAATGTTTTTTCCCCGTCGATTTCAGGCAATTCATTTTTTCGAACCAAAATATAGGCAAGTGTATAGCCTTGTTTTTGATCGAAAATGCACCACTCCAAAAATTTTCGGGATAACACTTTTTCTGATAAATTTTGGTGCGTAGAATCCAAAACGATTCGCATGTTTTCGCTTAGACCTCTCAATCCAAAGTTATGGGCAAAAAACCAAATTCGAAAAAAATTTTCAAGGGGCTGTAACTTTTGATCTAGTCGCCCAATCTTCAAACTATTTGAAATTATGGATTCTACAGGCCGAAATCTATAAGAAAATGTTTTTCCTCGTCGATTTCAAGCAATTCATTTTTTCGACCCAAAATATAGGGAAGTGTATAGCCTTGCTTTTGATCGAAAATGCACCACTCCAAAATTTCGCGGGAAAACACTTTTTCTTATAAATGTTGGTGCGTAGAATCCAAAACGATTCGTATTTTTTCGCTTGGACCTCTCAATCAAAAGTTATGGGCAAAAAACCAAATTCGAAAAAAATTTCAAGGGGTTGTAACTTTTGATCTAGTAGCCCAATCTTCAAACTGTTTGAAATTATGGATTCTACAGGCCGAAATCTATGAGAAAATGTTTTTTCCCCGTCGATTTCAGGCAATTCATTTTTTCGACCCAAAAATATAGGGCCTTGCTTTTGATCGAAAATGCACCACTCCAAAATTTCTCGGGAAAACACTTTTTCTTATAAATGTTGGTGCGTAGAATCAAAAACGATTCGTATTTTTTCACTTGGACCTCGCAATCAAAAGTTGTGGGCAAAAAACCAAATTCGAAAAAAATTTCAAGGGGCTGTAACTTTTGATCTAGTAGCCCAATCTTCAAACTGTTTGAAATTATGGATTCTACAGGCCGAAATCTATGCGAAAATGTTTTTTCCCCGTCGATTTCAGGCAATTCATTTTTTCGACCCAAAAATATAGGGAAGGGGAAAACACTTTTTCTTATAAATGTTGGTGCGTAGAATCCAAAACGATTCGTATTTTTTCACTTGGACCTCGCAATCAAAAGTTGTGGGCAAAAAACCAAATTCGAAAAAAATTTTCAAGGGGCTGTAACTTTTGATCTAGTCGCCCAATCTTCAAACTGTTTGAAATTATGGATTCTACAGGCCGAAATCTATGAGAAAATGTTTTTTCCCCGTCGATTTCAGGCAATTCATTTTTTCGACCCAAAAATATAGGGAAGTGTATAGCCTTGCTTTTGATCGAAAATGCACCACTCCAAAATTTCTCGGGAAAACACTTTTTCTTATAAATGTTGGTGCGTAGAATCCAAAACGATTCGTATTTTTTCGCTTGGACCTCGCAATCAAAAGTTATGGGCAAAAAACCAAATTCGAAAAAAATTTCAAGGGGCTGTAACTTTTGATCTAGTAGCCCAATCTTCAAACTGTTTGAAATTATGGATTCTACAGGCCGAAATCTATAAGAAAATGTTTTTTCCCCGTCGATTTCAGGCAATTCATTTTTTCGACCCAAAATATAGGGAAGTGTATAGCCTTGCTTTTGATCGAAAATGCACCACTCCAAAATTTCTCGGGAAAACACTTTTTCTTATAAATGTTGGTGCGTAGAATCCAAAACGATTCGTATTTTTTCGCTTAGACCTCGCAATCAAAAGTTATGGGCAAAAAACCAAATTCGAAAAAAATTTCAAGGGGCTGTAACTTTTGATCTAGTAGCCCAATCTTCAAACTGTTTGAAATTATGGATTCTACAGGCCGAAATCTATAAGAAAATGTTTTTTCCCCGTCGATTTCAGGCAATTCATTTTTTCGACCCAAAATATAGGGAAGTGTATAGCCTTGCTTTTGATCGAAAATGCACCACTCCAAAATTTTCGGGAAAACACTTTTTCTTATAAATGTTGGTGCGTAGAATCCAAAACGATTCGCATGTTTTCGCTTAGACCTCTCAATCCAAAGTTATGGGCAAAAAACCAAATTCGAAAAAAATTTCAAGGGGTTGTAACTTTTGATCTAGTAGCCCAATCTTCAAACTGTTTGAAATTATGGATTCTACAGGCCGAAATCTATGAGAAAATGTTTTTTCCCCGTCGATTTCAGGCAATTCATTTTTTCGACCCAAAAATATAGGGCCTTGCTTTTGATCGAAAATGCACCACTCCAAAATTTCTCTGGAAAACACTTTTTCTTATAAATGTTGGTGCGTAGAATCAAAAACGATTCGTATTTTTTCACTTGGACCTCGCAATCAAAAGTTGTGGGCAAAAAACCAAATTCGAAAAAAATTTCAAGGGGCTGTAACTTTTGATCTAGTAGCCCAATCTTCAAACTGTTTGAAATTATGGATTCTACAGGCCGAAATCTATGCGAAAATGTTTTTTCCCCGTCGATTTCAGGCAATTCATTTTTTCGACCCAAAAATATAGGGAAGGGGAAAACACTTTTTCTTATAAATGTTGGTGCGTAGAATCCAAAACGATTCGTATTTTTTCACTTGGACCTCGCAATCAAAAGTTGTGGGCAAAAAACCAAATTCGAAAAAAATTTCAAGGAGCTGTAACTTTTGATCTAGTAGCCCAATCTTCAAACTGTTTGAAATTATGGATTCTACCAGCCCAAATCAAAACTGCCACACAAAAATGCGCTGAAGTCCCTTCGATCTCACACGAGGCCTTTTCTGGTAACCTCAGACAATCACGCCGTATTCACATCTCACAGGCGCCTTACGTTTGCAAATGCATTTAAAAAGTCAGGACCGTATTTAAGCACTTAGGTACGTAATAATTCCGAGCCTGGTACTACTACTACTACTGTGCGTAAGAATCAAAACCCCTGGAAGTAGTTTTCGAGACGTCGGCGTCGCGACAATAACGCCCCTCGTAGTTTCATATGGTGTTAATCTTTTACTCAATACATCTGTTGTCGAGGTTGTTTGACAATCTTTGTCATATCATCAATCATCGTTTTATAATGCCATTAACAGATGCCTCCGAAATGTGATTTCCTTACCCAGGTTGAAATTGGACTTACATTAAATAAATTCACAACAAAATGATATTTAATAAACAAAACCCAATACATACAAAATTACAGTCGTCATAAAGGGGGTAATGAACGAGAAATGCGTACTTAACTACTAAGCAAAACGGTCTTAATAACAAGACCACTTCTGCAATTGATAAAACCATTTAAAAATGCTAAAAACAAGGCCCTATTGCGTCGGCGAAAAGCTGGTAGGATTTAATATTCGACAATGCATCTCGCGAATAAGTGGCACGGTGTACGCAACGCACTCGTCCCAGCCCGGCGAGCGCCACGCGCTTTCTCTCGTCTCCTTTCTTGCGTTCAAATTCTTATAACCTGCAAAACGTCGTCGGCTTAAAAAGTGAAAGGACCGGCGTCGAAAATACTTACACCAAATGTGATGGACGTTGTACAGTCGGCCGATCTGCGAGAAGAAGCCGGCGTAGGCCTCGGCGTTGTTCTGGCGGTAGTTAATGGCGCGCGCCCAGTTGTTGCCCCACTCGATCATCGTGCCCGGCTTGAGCGCGTACGAGCGTATCTCGTAGATGTGATTGCCGGGTCGCGGAACTATCGCCGGCCAGTAACTGAACGCGAGCAAATACTGAAGGTGCCGGGAACGAACCAGCTTGTTTTCGTCATTTATGAGCTTTTTGAAGTCCTACAATTCGAACGTATTACAGTTGAGTTTTCCAAAATTTGCACGCACGTCATCGTTACTGTCATTTTTTTTAAAATACAGAAGTGTGTTATTTTTACAAGAGAGATCAAAAACAATTGCAGCACATACAACTTATCATAAGTCCAGCCCATCCGCCATATTGGGGCTAACTTAAACAAGGCAGCATAGGAACAATAGGTGCGTTCGATTTTACGTTTCAGAGTATTCGCGAATGAGATTAACACTAGAGGCGCTGATGTAACCCCTTATTCCTATCCTACCTAAAAGGCCTTTTTCTTAAGAACTCGAGGCTAGCTTGCACACGCAATTAACTTCATTTTCTAATTACAAATGAAGATCACAATTTATCATTCAATTTCTAGCGCACTCGTACAACTCGCCGACATTCCCTTACGTTGATTATGCTTTAAAACAGCCTTACTATTCGCGGCACAGTTACACTGACCACAATTTAAACAATGTGTCGGGCTTTAATAAATTACGATTTACATTTTTCTTACTATTTGTGGAACACCTTGTGATAATCCACCCTTATGGTTAGAGGCACCACACCTTTACATCTGAAACAAATAATATGATATGCTCTGTATATAACCAATCGACCGTTTTGCGCAGATGCCGAATACTAGGGGATTTTAGTAACGAATCTAGGGGAAAAAAAGAGCGTGGCAGAAGAAAGAAGATGGCGACGGGGTCGACGAAAGGCACCACGCGTTCCCGGTTTTTATTCTTTCTTGTACTAGGTAGCTATTAATCATTGAATTTCTTGCCATAATTTGTTATTATTTACATTTTGCTATTTTGCATAAACTGCGATATCTGAATATAGCGTACTCCATGCTTTTGTTTTTGAGTACGGTTAGATGAATCGTGTTTGTTATACTGTACAGGTGGTGATTATTTTGCCATTATTTTGTTCTATTAAGTATTTATTCGTGTATTCACGAGGAGTTGATTATCCGTGCGATGTTGCTCTGTTCGATTGATTCGTATCTCTTCCGTGACGGAAGTACCTAATTCAGTTCAATCTTTCGCTGTATCTGCTGCCTACTCGTCTCGTGCGGATTGCAGTTCTTAGCATCTTAGCAATGCGAGATATTTAGGGGCCCTCTCATTAACACTTCTTCTATTTAAAATATGTTCTGCTTGCGCGATAATCGATTTTCACATGAATACTTGCTATTGGCATTCTCATATGTACCTTTCGTGTTAAATAAAATTATGTTAACTGAAGGCTGGAGTAGAGCCACGCCATTTACATGTTTCCTATGTACAGGGTGGCCAACTAAGAATGCGAGGTACTGTATCTGAGAATCCATCGTAAAGGCTTGCGGTAAAAAATTTATTACTAAAACGGCCACGAGCAAAACCTGGAAAATATTTTTAAGTTTCTGAAATGGCCGCTAGGGGGCGTAACTGCAATCTGGAATCTAAAAAAGTGATGTTTCTATGAATTCCGCTATATTAACCTAACAAAAAAATGTCCGGTCTTTGAAATTGACGATAATCTGAACAATTTTTGTTTGACAATTTTTCCTGTATGTCTAAGAATGAAGTGGTGGGGGGTATTCAAAGGTTTCCGTAAAGAACACCCTGTATCTTCGAAACGGCTGATCCGATTTCAACAAACTCAGGTTAGTTCAAAAGATCTATTCTTCAGCTACAACTATTATACTATTTGAAGTTTTGTTAGTTTCACATAACACCGCTTGAGAGCTTTTTTCGACATTCTGACAGAAATGGTTCATTTTCTCAAAAAAATTAAATGCATTGGTTCGATTTTTTTTCATGAAAAAGTGGCTAAATGATGCCTAAACAGGTTCACGAAAACAGCATCTCGATATTTTATATATATTTTTTTATATCGTGATGGCCAGCATTTCGAGCATTTACGGCGGCATTAAAAGCTTCCTTTTTTAAATCGATCCACCTTAGGGCAACAAATTATATAAGAAAAATAATTCCGGAAAAATTAGCTTAAAAAAATAAAATTTTGAGGGTATAAAATTTTCTTTGGCCTAAATTTTAGGTTAGGAACAAGATATCGAGATGCGCTTTTCGCGAGCTTGTTTAGGCATCATTTAGCTACTTTTTCATGGAAAAAAAATCAAACCAACGCATTTAATTTTTTTGAGAAAATTAACCATTTCTGTCGGAATGTCGAAAAAAGCCCTCAAGCGGCGATATGTGAAACTAACAAAACTTCAAATATTATAATATTTGTAGCTGAAGAATAACTCTTTTCAATTAACCCGAGTTTGTTAAAATCGGCTCAGTCGTTTCGAAGATACAGGGTGTTCTTTACGGAAACCTTTGAATACCCCCCACCACTTCATTTTTAGAGATACGGGAAAAATTGACAAACAAAAAAGGTTCAGATTATCGTCAACATCAAAGACCGGACATTTTTTTGTTAGGTTAATATGGCGGAATTCACAGAAAGATCACTTTTTTAGATTCCAGATTGCAGTTACGCCCCCTAGCGGCCATTGCAGAAACTTAAAAACATTCTCCAGGTTTTTCTCGTGGTCGTTTTAGTAATAAATTTTTTTACCGCAAGCCTCTACGATGGACAGGTTCCCAGATACAGTACCTCACATCCTTATTTGGCCACCCTGTACATGCAATTTATTATTTTACGAGTTGTGTTAGCTCAATTGATCGTACATGTATTTTGATGTGTTTTTGCACTGAATTAATTTATCAGGTTTTCCACTGCATTTATGATGTCTTGTCTATTTTGTTTTTATGAACTTGTTTAATTGCATTTGATTTGATTATCTGATTTTTATCATACAATTTGCGATGTTTTATTTATGTGTATTTTCTCTTGCATTTTATTGCTGTAGGTGATTTATTTCATGTATTTGTGTGGCCTATGCCGGGTTTTTGTCCCATAGAAGGTTTCCCTGGTATGGTCTTGTTGTGTGCGTAATATATTTATTTGTTCTTGTCATTCCTTACGCACAAAAGTTCTGTCTTTTATTTCATTCCCTTGCGGATTATATCTCACGTCCCAACACATACAAGAACCAATTACACAACGTAGGAGTTCATTCGTGCCACCCATATCGACCCGACTGCCATCCAAATTCAAAAATGCCGCGGAACGTCCATCGTTTCGAGTTGAAAGGTAGGTGGCTCTACTCGTAGTTTTTTCCCAGAGTTGCCAACGGTAAGACAACATTTTCAGTGTCGGCTTGATAGACCCCTAGGACCATTACAGCCTAATCGCACAAAGTGAACATAACATCCTTCAATGTGAATATGCTTACCGTGAGTAGCGCAATTACACTGTTCACAAATTAAATGTTTAAGAAGGTTATGTGTGGGTTAATAGGTGACGCTTTAAGCGAACCCTTAATTGTAGTGTAATTACACTGATAATCGAATCATTTATTCAAACTAGGTACCTACTTCTTGTTGTGTAATAGCACTGTTCACAATTAAAGACTTTGGAAACGTTACGAGTTAGACGAGGATTCTTGTAACTTGCACTGATCACATTTAAAATTCTTGAAAATGGCGGTCTCATCCCAACAATAGTAATTACAATGTGCTGCCACCAGAGGGCTCATTGTCAATCTGAATCGCGAATAACAAAGCATACGGTCACATGATCACTGGAGTAAATTAATAACTGTACAATAAACGAATGACATGAAGCGGATGGGGCGTTAATCTAACCTCTAAATTTTGTACATTTTGGGTGGTTAATACTAAATCATGGGAATCATTGCAGGTGCAAAGGATGTCCAAATTAACCTAATGAAACAAATCGCAAACCAAAATGGTCAATGGAAAAAGACACAAAAGCTGATTTTTAGTTTAAAATAGACGACCACGTAAATGTTAAAATTTAAACCAATTGAAGCGTATTTATAATCACAATTGAGCAACTTTTCGTATATTCACTTTAAACTCACCAAACTATATCTGTATATAGAACCGAATGTACAAACTCTATTCGAAAGTGTAGTAACTTAGCCCCAATATGGCCGCCAGAACCAAGGTCCAATCAAAAACGAGATACTCATTTGTCACCACAGTTATAAATTGAGTCACTGTAACAGCAGCTTTAACTTGTTTGAGCATCACAGAAACACCTATCCTATCCTACACAGCCTGGAGGCACTTCTAGGCCTAGGGCATACAGATATTGCAGGAGACATAAGAGGCAGATGATCTTGTAAAAACTTTACCTAGAATTTATCCCTTTTTTCATCACTATGTAATTTAAAAATAATAAAATGTTAACCGAAATCAATCTGGAACACCCTGTATATACATACAATTTGAACGATGACGTGTACGCGCAAACTTACGAAAATTCAAGTACAGCCTAACATCATACTTCGTCGTGTGCGAACAATTCGTTTGCGTTATCGATCGCCTCGAAACCGCCCGTGTACTTCCACAGGTGCAGGGCCTGATCCTGGTCGCCGACGCTCACGGTCCACGAGGCGCTCAACTCCAGCTTATCGGACAGCTGCGACTGTGCCTTTGTCCAATCGACCTTCCTTTTTCTACAAACAGACATTCGCTAACAGCCCCCCTCGCACCCCCGAACCGCTTACATGTTCGCTATGTACTCGTCGCGGGAGTCGGCACGAAAGTTGTGCGTTTGCAGTCCGTAGATGACTTCCTTGTCGCTTAGCATGCGACTGTGCGATTCTTTCGTCGGCTCGATTTTTCTCACCAGCAACTTCGACAGCCACGAATCCTTCGAGTCGTTCTGCTGGCGAGTCGTCGAGAATATCCTACATTTGTTTATATAATTCAATTGTTTGCGTAATCGCGGCCAGATGAGATTCCTTAAATTTAGCGATAATTACCTGGCATTTTGTGCGATTTTTAAATTTAAATGTCGCCAGCTACCAGCCATTATTGAATAATCGCAATTTAGAGCTATATTTAGTGCTCAAATGGTCAAAGTTTATTTTTATTTTTGCATTAGAACTAGAAGAGGTTATCCTTATCACAATATCTACTAATCGTGTAGTGCAAATTGCGAACAGTAGATGTCGCACTATCTTGGAAAGATTCTTGTGTACGAGGTCCATCCATTGACGCAGCAAGAATTTGAGCATTCCGAATAAACAAACCACTCCACCTTTCAGAGAGATGAGGGGCAAATAATGGAGGGAAGGGAAAAGGTTCGAGAAGGTTGGATGAGGAGGATAAGATGAATGGAAAGAAAAAAGGAAGGGAAATGGGAAAGGTAAGGTTGGGTGGTAGGAATACTATATGGAAAGAATGTGGAAGGATAGGAGATGGAAAGAAGATCATGAGATCAGGAATTAGAATACAGCCATCCGTAGGAAGAAGAATGGATGAACGCATGATTACAATGTAAGAAAATATAAAGTAGTAACGTCTAAATTTTATTTGTAAACATCCTATATTAGGTGTTGTAAAATTCCTCCGTTAGATGTCGCCTGTTGTCATTCCCATCATATGTCTCCATTCTTCGAAATGAAATCCCTTCTTATTTCCCCACTTGTTTTGTATCGCTCCTCGTCCCTATAAATGCATGAGGAGTTTGTAATTCAAAAGGACAGCTTCTATTATTATACTCCCAGCCGATTCTGCCGCGCAGCCCTCGCTGTGTAAAATGCGCCGGCTCCCACTTGACCGCCGAGTGTGTCAAACCAAGGGAGGAAAAAGCACCCATTGCGGAGGAGAACATTCCGCAAACAACAAAAGGGTGCGTGAAATTTCCGCGTCTTCCTTCAAGGTCTCACAGCCGCAACCGAGCCCGCCTAAGGGACGCATCCAAACCGCCGAAACTCGTCCCGATACCAGCTACGCGACGGCAACAAAGGATACGGCTCCGGAAGTACCCACCACCGCCAGCATCCCTACTGTCAGTCAGGCAGCGAACCCGGACGGCAAGTATCCAGTCGATTTTTAACCTCCTGGTCAAATTCGACGAATGTCAAGTCTTCTTCGGAACAGTTAGTGGATCATCCTCCAGCACGGTCAAGCAATCCTTAATCTGTACAGCCAGCCCCAGCGCAGAGGAAGGGAATGGGAAGAAAAGAAACACAAAATGGTACAAGTAGAAAGGAAAAAGGAACTGAAATAGTGAAGAGAAGCTTAAAAGGTGTGGCGAGACGGGAGTGGCATGGGAAGGAGAAGGGTGAAAAGAGTCAGGGTGGCAAAGAAAACAAAAGAAAGGTGGCAGGTGAAATGGACTAAAAAGGAGAGAGGAAAAAAGAAGAGAAATGAGGAAGGAAAAAGGCAATAGGTGAGGTAGGAAGGAAATGGAAAATGTCAAACAATGGCAAAGGAAAAAGAAAATGAACCGGAAGGGAACGGGGGCAAAGAATTAGAATTCAGAAGATGAATCTTAGTAAGCTGAACAACCATAGAGATAATTGAAAAAAATGTGCTGTGATGACGTCCCTCTACGGTTACTTATTACATAAGAAAGAAATTGTACTGTGATAAAAATACGAGACGCTCTATACAACAGTCTTGATAAGCCTTCTGCCCAGATGCCGAAGAATTTTGCGGATATCCTTGAAATAAGAGACTCTTCTAGGATGTTTCGTGATTTTTTCTAGAAACTTTCCGTTTGCTGTGTAAGTAAATTGAAGAGTGTTTAATGGCAGTTCCAATATCGATGCCGAAACGATTATTGTGTTACAACTTGTATAAAGTGATAAATAATAATTAACTGTAACAATATTATTTTATTAAGTATTTATTTGTGTATTCATATGTTGAATTGTATGAATGTGAGGCGCATATACGAGTATATAGCGCCTAAATACTGTTCTGTAGTATATATTTTCGCAAAGTATATTAGAGGAGAAAATTTGTTGTTGTAAGCCATGGGCGCATAATAATAATTATTATTTGCACCTGACTTTAAGTGAAACATACTGAAAGGTTCCACCCTGTATATACAACTTACGACGATACATACATTTTTGAGAGTTGGCAACCATGCAACTTCTAGGTGGGAAAAAAGCTGCCTGCGCCACCTAAGAACCACAAACGGGAGTTACGTTTGGCATCTTGTCTTGAATGGCGGTAGTGAACGCGTCGCTCCATAAATGTTTGTTGTTATTTTGTGTTATTTAATGCAGGTAGTAATTTTTGCATTTCTTTATATCGTATTTGTGTTTTGTATGCCACATTTTATATTTTTTGTGGATTGTTTTTGAAATTTACTTGGTTTAACCGCAATGCAGAATGACATGTTTAATACCGTTATCCTTTTGTTTGTAATCGTTTACGTTTTTGGTGTAATGTTTGCTTAATTTATGTTTATTGATGTTGATTACTTGGTCTTGTCCTTGAAGTTACATTCATATAAGTTTTCATTTTATTTTAATACTTATGTGGAAATTGCTGATTCGTTTGATGTATGTACTGACTTGTTGTATGTTACTAACAATTTTCTCCGTGAATGAAGCAGTCTCGGGAAGGTGGAAAAAGAAACTGTAGTCTATATTTATGTGTTAGGGCACCTAATTCCGTGCACTGTCTTCGACATCCAACTGTAGGTTCGAAACCCCGAAACCAGGGGCGGACTACCCATCTTGCAGGAGCGAGATTACGCTAATCAAAGCTCTTAAGTTTAGAATCTATGTGTGATTAATGAGTGGCGATTCAATAATTTCCACATATTTTGTTTTTAGTCAAATTTGCCTACAAGGCCATGTAGTTTTCCATCTTGCTTTCAACAAAAGGACTTTATTGCACCAAAGATGAGTCACATCCTGTACTTTTAACCCTTTCTCAGAATCTTGGTACCTGCTTCTACCTGACCCATTGTCCCCAAAAACTTGCTTTTAACCTTGAGTGTAACCATCCTTGTGTATATGCATTTACTATCTTTGTTAACTACTGCTTAAACTTTTACAAAATATTTTGTTAATTAACTTTTGGACTGTTTTAATCAAACTGCAAGGTTTTTCTTACGTCGTACTCTTTTTATCCTTGGCAGTGACTTTTGCGAGAGTACGACACCTTTTGGCTTTGTTTGTTTTGTTTATATTAATGTACATCAACTAAATTTCCGGGTTTTCACACATTAAACAAACTTCTCACAATTTCAGTGTTTTATTTAAAATTCCTTCCCTACTGTGCTTCAGGTCAAAGCGTTGTCTACAACTAACGTAAGGAGGCCCTGCCTTAGATGTTTTATCACGTGCCACTTTTCAAATTTAAGCGCGGGTACTTGTTTAGTTTTAGAGGGAATAGTCATTCGGGTGGCCATTTTTTAAAACGGTGCCGGGTTTATTTTATTTCCGTGTTCTTGTAGTGTGAAGTTAGCGTAGAACCTGGGGGTTAAGTACACTACAATACTAAAGTGGGAAAATAACAGTACATTGTTATTAGTACTATTACACAAAAGTTGAGGAGGAATTAATTGTTGCAATAGTGGGCGCATAATTGGAGCCTAATTACCGAGACTTGTGTCTATAAAGCGCGCTCTATAACTGCACAAGACAGATGCGTAGAATGAACTGTCGCAATACTGACAAAATGTGAGCGCATAATCTGCGCTTAATTATCATTAAAAGCATTTATTTTCGCGCGCAGAATTTTTTAAGACGCACAATTGGTAAATAGATACTTATAGATAAATAATAGATTGTACTATGGGTTACAAACTCCTTGAGATTGTGTTTCTGCTTCGTGTTTCGGAGACACAGTTTCCTTGGTGGCTTCGCCGCCTCGCCTGGCCCTGTGAAAAACTTTCGGCACTACTTTGCCTATAAAAGGTCTCTAAAAGCGTAGAAACTTTTTCTAAAGGTTTTACTTATATTTATTAAAAAGTTTTAAGAGTTTCCAAGGAATCCCAAGAGCCCCCATGAAGTCTCCACTCCCCTCCATTTAAAAGTTTCAACATTTTTGAATCGCCTTTGGAAGTAATTGGGAGTTCTTAAGAGCATTCCAAAGTCCTTAATATGATTTAAGAGAGCTTAAGACCCAATTGGTGAGCCCTTAGGAGAGTTGTGGGCGCTTAAGGATCTAACAGTTTCCAAAAGTACTTTTTTAGTGTCCGAATCTTGAAAAACCTTCATTTCCGAGCTCTATATGGGTCTTTAAAAAGCATTTCTAACAATCTCCAAGAAATCTCAAAAGAGAGTCTAAAGTCTTCTTAGATTTAAGTAAAAGTCTGCCATTGGACCTCCAAAAAGTCTTCATGAAGCGCTCAGTTCTTCTAGAGGTTTTGGAATAAGCCTCTAATGGTCTTACGGGCTCATTCAAAGAGTCTCTAGAAATCTTTCCAAGAATTAGTCTCCAAAATGAGTTTCCTTATTGAAGGTTCCACGGTCTTGCACACTATCAATTTAATCTGTTATCTTTATAAGAGCATTGTTTTCAAAAATGGATGGCGTAGAGTGGACGATTCTCTAATCACCACACGCTAACTGTGCTTTACTGATATGGGGTTTAACAAACATCCTCCTCCTTCATTTCTGGTGACCTTATGGACGTTGTGAATAAAAATTGCACTCTGCATTAACCAAAACGGTTCAATTGAGCATCAAAGCATGCTCTGGTTATGAAAAAATCAATTGCGCTTTCATTGATCCATTTTGAACTTTCTGTGCGTTTTTACCAATGAAATTAGTGTTCGCAAGTGATTTTTTTTGCCAAAAAGTAACGTCTCCGAATCTTGCAGCACCCAAATCAAATGATATCTCGCATTATTCTTCTCTGTCTAGCAGTTTGCTTGGTCCAAATCGTTCTGGCTAAGGGTAAGTCTCGACATATGCGATTTTGGTTTTTTTCGTTACGTTACATCTTATTTCCAGAATGCGGACAGAATGAGGAGTGGGTCGAGCACATGGGATGCGAACCGTTCTGTGGTAAACCCAAAGAGGGACCCTACTTCTTCTGTGCGCACAATAGTTTATGGGGTTGCAGATGTAAAAATGGATTTGTACGCAATCTCGCTGACAAACAATGTATAACAGAGGAGAAATGTCCGCCGAAAAAAGCATGAAATTCACATTGAATTTGTTGGTGTAGTTGTGCAGACTCCTTTCAAAAATAAATTTGTTAGATTAGGTTTTTTAACAAATCACCTTCCTTCAAGAGCTCCCCAATGGCCCCCTGAATGGCTTAGTGAATCGCTTCTCATGCCGCACATAAATTCTAAACCGAAGAGTTTTTGTGTTAGTGGAGTCTCGCCCCTGGGAAGGTAACATATGGGCCCTCGTGCGAGAATCCCTCAGTCTATAAATGACATTCGAGATCAGAATGACCAAAATTAGAGTCAGAACAATATGGTAGTCCCTTCACGGAATACACGGTTATAGTCGAATCGTACAGGCAACATCACACCGATAATAATACCTACCTACTACTACGAGAATAAATAAATTCCTAATAAAACAATATGAAAGCATAACTACCCGTACCGGCCTTGCTGAAGGAGATTCTCTCTCGTTCTCCGGACCAATTGAGTGGTTCTGGTCTTGGCCAAAGTAAAATGGGTTCTTGTCTCAGCTTAGTTTGATTCTTGTCTTGGCTAAAGTAAAATGGGTTTCTCTCATAGCTAATGTGAGATTTGCCCGGCGTGGGATTTCGACCCGCTTGTATCTCGCTCACGAGAAAAACTAAACGCAAATATGACCTCGACTGGTGTGCCCTAACAACCAATAGAGCACCCGCGTTTCCGTCAGGTGCTTGGGATTAAACGAAACCTTTACGTTTCAAGAGATCGCGGCAACCGCGCCCGCTTTCCATAATACGTTTCTTTTGTTATCACTGGACATACTTTCGTTCTAGTTAGCTATGAAGCGGTACATGTCGAAATTTCCCTATGTTGACCAAAAGACTCAACTCAAAACTAAATTTTTGAAAACGGTCCACCCTAACTCTCTATTCTATGGATACTTCAAATGGTTATTACAGAGAATTTAGAAGGGAAGGGATTAGGATCATAAATAGCATCAAATTTTCCTAGTATATATTTCGCTTTCGTACTGCAACTTACACCACACTCCCTTGCACATATTAATTAATCGAGTATCGAGCACAAAGTGCCCCTTCGCATTTACATACACATTATATATGATTTTCTTGGCCAACCTAAATTGGCCACGCTGAATTAGACTTAAGCTCAGGTACAATTTACACCTGGCCACGATACTTGGATCGTCGAGCCGTAACGCGAGCTTCATTTGATTCAACGAAATTTTACCAGCCATCGTCGCGCAGCTCGCAAAGTAGTCACCTAGGGCAGAGAACGCGCCGCCCAACGTCGACAACCACGATAACGTGTGATCGAGCTCGCAACGTTCGCGAACTAGGTACTCCAGCCTGTGATTCCTGCAATGTAACGTTTACAAATTGAACGGCGAGAACGTGAACTTACCACTTGTAATCGACGATCTCTCTTGCGGCCGGTACAAGTACGATTTGTAAATACGTCCCATGATGGTGGCTTGTAAACTGTTGCCTGTAAAAAGGTGCATGGTGTAGTTCTTTGAGGAGGTAGTGTGTGAAAACCCCGTCCAGGAAAATAACCGTTTTTGTTTCTGAATGATTTTCGAGGGAGCATCTCCTACAGCTGCTGGAGCCAACTAAAAAGCTGTCGTAAAGACTGCCGCTGTTAGAAATTTGTATGCAAACTAAATTATTTAACATACTTTTTGAGGTTATTAAATGTCAAAATGGCACCTTTATTAAAATCCCGTAAGAAATCGTCACAAGCGACACAGCCAGGTCGTAAAGGTTTCGAAAGGATCTCCAAGAGACCTTTAACCGGGTTAAATCATTACAACTTTTTTAATACTCTCTTGCCGTCCAAGATCCAACACTGCAATGACTGTATTTAGAATGTAGATCAAATGGTTTTCAGTTCTAATGGGTCACCCGGTATATAGTGTAGAAAGAGAATTGTAGTTCAAACGTTCAAGTGTAGTTCAATTGTGAGCTACTATTGAGGTTAAGTTTTCAATTTGTGATGGAATCAGGTAAATATTTAATTTATTTAATAACTAATTAATTAACCTTGTAGAATCTTCGAAACGTAATACTGCCAAAGACGACAAGAAGTCCTACCTTCTGAACTTCTTAAAGGAGAGCTTACCGAGCCGAACTCGAACTGAAATTAGCACTCTTAGCGATTGCAATTTTGCCTTTACCACAAGCGCCCCAAAAAAAGAGAAGACAGTACGAAAAAAGAAACAGTTCATCACGCGAAAGGAACGTAAGAAATTAAACATTCTCAAGTTGCCGAAGCAGGACTGGAATTATAAAGAGCTGGGCGTGATGAGAGACCTTTGGAAGCAGTACATGCGAAACAACTTAGCCCTGTATCCCAAGATACCCACCTGGGAGGACTCGAACTGGAACAATTTCAATATCACTTTGGCCAAGTCCGAATTTATCGGTGCCGAGCTGACCGTCGTGCGATCGAAGAACGTGAACCAGGTTGGGATGCGCGGTATAGTCGTTTTGGAAACGAAAGCGACCTATCAAATAGTCACCCCGAAAAATGAATTGAAAAGTGAGTATCCTGGACAGGTCGTCCATTTTCACTCTCCCTCTTTCTTGCAGTTCTCATAAAAAAGTCTTCGGTATTTAGCTTAGTTTTAGACGATATGAAATTTACAATCTTTGGGAAGTATACTGTAGTGAGGCCTAGTGAAAGGAGTATTAAGAAGGTTAAAACTCTGTTACTGCCAGATTTGTAGTTGTTGTAATAATTATATGTGTTCTATTAGTCCAATTCATTTCGAGTGCCAGAAATTTCATGGAGGCCAGGGGAACTGTGCTTGTTTTTTTTTTTAACAAAAATTATTTCGGACCTTTACTAAAAGGACCATCTTCCCTTTGTAAGGTGTAATCCCTAGCCCACAGGCTTCTGGCTTTATGCTAGAGATTGTGGTGTAAGTTGTAAGAGCATTAAATATCTTGAGGATGATAGAATAGGGAGTGTGGCCAGGAGGTATGGAATATAATGTTCATTTATCATCTTAATCCTTCATAAAATATATTACGTTCACAATCGCGAGCGAGGGAAACCTTCTTCGGGACAAAAACCCCGACATAGCCCACACAAATAAATCAACCACGGTAAAAAAATGCACAAATAAAGCATCTCAAATTGTACACCATTCAAATCAGGCACCTAATCGAATCAAATGCAGTTAGACAAATAATAATCACTTATTGTACAGTACAACCATAACACACATGACGGTATCTAAAACAAAAGCTTGAAGTACGCCACGTTTCAATTTCAGTATTTTATGCGAAATGTAAATAATAACAAATTGTGCCATGAAATTCAATTCAAATAGTTATAGTACAAGAAAGAATAAATAAATGTTACTTCGTTGGATAAATTCCCTGTTCTTCGGCAGCTGCGCAGAACTGTCAACGCAAAAGATTTCCTGGTTATTGTATACACAGAGCGTTTCGTATTTTTTCTATACTGCCATTCTTTTAAATGTGAGGTGTGTTGCCTAACCTTCACCACACCCCTCCTATAAAATATGTCGGAACAATTAAATCACAGTAAATAATCATTAAAACATTTTGGGTCACGATGAAGCGCCGTGGGGTCTGAGGGGTGTGAAATAATCGATTAAAAAAGTGTCACTGTGACGACCGTGCTGCGCGCTGCCTGCAGTGTCCTTTTCGAAGGCACATCACAGTAGATAACACATGGCCTCGCTCTACAGTCCATGACCGGAAGACCTGCCTCCGAACCCAGCTGAGAGACATCGCAGCACGTCAATGATATCCCACACGTCGCGTACCGCCAAATTTAAACTGTCTGCAGTTATTTTGAATCACCCGTTATATGGAAGGACTTTTTTATCAGATCGACATTTGTGCCCCTGTCTAAGTACGCCACTGGTTTTAGTTCAGATGACCTTAAATTCGGAATGGAATTAAAGACCCTGATAAAAAACACTAGCATGCGGAAATTTTTTGATTAATCATCGTAAATCCCCCATTATTGCTAATAATAGATAATTATCTTTCACAACGAAGTATCTCTTATCTGTGATTTTTAAAATTTAAACGCCCTGCATCATTCAACCTACTCCACGAATCAAAAATGGACGCAGGTTCGTACTTTCAGATTTCCATTTTTTTCTCCTTGTAACTTTGTACCAGTTCTCAGCAGGGAGCTCTTGGAAAAATACCGTACGTCGTTCAACTCCGACCCCAAGAACATCCTCGCCCAGAATGTGTGCACGAAGTACGATCCTTTTGAAGTGTGTCTGTCGCGAAGGCGGCTGCAGGAATCGCAGCACGTTTTCACTTACAAGGTGAGAGAGAGTGCTTATGTTGTCGTCTCCGCTGACGGCGACTCAATTTCAGATCGAAACCGAAGGCAAGCCGATAACCAATCAGAAAAGCTCGGGCCGCTGCTGGCTCTTCGCCGCGCTGAACGTCATGCGGGTGCCCTTCATGAAGGCGTTCAATCTCGACGAGTTCGAGTTCTCGCAGGGCCACCTGTTCTTTTGGGACAAGATCGAGCGGTGCAATTTCTTTTTGAACACGTTCGCCGCCGCCGTCAGACGAAAGGAACAGATCGAGGGCAGGTTGATCACGTTTCTGCTGAAGGTACGGTCAGGGCTTGTCGTTTCGATTGTAACTGTCACTTGTAGGATTTGATCGGCGACGGCGGTCAGTGGGATATGCTCGCTAACGTTATTAATAAATACGGGGTGATGCCTAAGTGTAAGTTTCCGGAGTCTTTCAGTTGCGATTCCAGCCTGAAAATGAATCAGATACTTCGAAGTAAGGTAAGCATCGAGGTTATTATTATTATTCATGTGCAGGTTAAGGCATTGTTCACCTCAACTAATTTTGAAAGGATCTGATGAATCCCCCAGGAGGCTTAGGTTCAATTCCCGGCGTGGGAAAGTATTTTTTGCACAAAAAAATTCTTATACCACCATTGATATTATAGTTGTCCTTGTTCCACCTAAGTGCTGCCACATCGTGTCGAATTGTGGTACTATTTGAGTATTCAATTGGTTTGTGTCTGCTCTAATTTAAATTTTAACCTCCTCCATAGCTCTTGTGCATATATACAGGGTGGAAATTCTGTTTGGAACACTAAATATATTTTCAAAACTCAAATTTTTGCAAATAAGTTTTTTATGGTAAGTATCAACAATTATATAAGTTTGCTACCAATCTGATTTGTCGTCACTGACTGAGATGGTACCTGAATATATGAATTACTGTGTATATAACAATTTGCAACCAATTACAGTGGACAAGTATGTTTTTCATTTTGTAATTTAAATTTAAACGAAGTTAGGCGCGCGATTCTGTTTAGGTTTGGCGGGTAAATTGTCTAATTTGCCTTTCTCTAACCAATCATTTATATTGTTAGGTCACACAGACGGCTGTTGATGCGACCTGAAAACGTCTGTGCCTAGGGAACGTCGCCCATACGATACAATACAATTGTTGCACGTAACGTATTAGAATATGCGTTCAAATGGTGAAGTGATTTAGATTAGATTTGTGTCAGTAGGAATTGATTATATTGTTTAAGTATAACGTTTGCATCATGTCGATGATGTATTGTCTGCATTTGACAATATTTATTGATTTGAAGATATAATTCAGGTGGCGTATCGATTTTTATTTTGATGGAATATTTAATATTGGCGATTTATCTAAGGACAACACTACAAGTTTTGACTTCACCAATAGGTATATTTCTTCCATACATAAAGAAGGGTTTGTCGTTTCGATTGTAACTGTCATTGGTAGGATTTAGTCGGCGACGGCGGTCAGTGGGATATGCTCGCTAACGTTATTAATAAATACGGGGTGATGCCTAAGTGTAAGTTTCCGGAGTCTTTCAGTTGCGATTCCAGCCTGAAAATGAATCAGATACTTCGAAGTAAGGTAAGGATCGAGGTTATTATTATTATTCATGTGCAGGTTAAGGCGTTGTTCACCTCAACTAATTTTGAAAGGATCTAATGAATCCCCCAGGAGGCTCACGTTCAATTCCCGGCGTGGGAAATTATTTTTTGCACAAAAAAATTCTTATACCACCATTCATATTATAGTTGTTTCTTGTTCCACCTAAGTGCTGCCACATCGTGTCGAATTGTGGTACTATTTGAGTATTCAATTGGTTTGTGTCTGCTCTAATTTAAATTTTAACCTCCTCCATAGCTCTTGTGCATATATACAGGGTGGAAATTGTGTTTGGAACACTACATATATATTTTCAAAACTCAAATTTTTGCAAATAAGTTTTTTATGGTAAGTATCAATAATTATATAAGTTTGCTACCAATCTGGTTTGTCGTCACTGACTGAGATACCTGAATATATGAATTACTGTGTATATAACAGTTTGCAACCAATTACAGTGGATAAGTATGTTTTTCATTTTGTAATTTAAATTTAAACGAAGTTAGGCGCGCGATTCTGTTTAGGTTTGGCGGGTAAATTGTCTAATTTGCCTTTCTCTAACCAATCATTTATATTGTTAGGTCACACAGACGGCTGTTGATGCGACCTGAAAACGTCTGCGCCTAGGGAACGTCGCCCATACGATACAATACAATTGTTGCACGTAACGTATTAGAATATTCGTTCAAATGGTGAAGTGATTTAGATTAGATTTTTGTCGGTAGGAATTGATTATATTGTTTAAGTATAACGTTTGCATCATGCCGATGATGTATTGCCTGCATTTGACAATTATTTATTGATTTGAAGATATAATTCAGGTGGCGTATCGATTTTTATTTTGATGGAATATTTAATATTGGCGATTTATCTAAGGACAACACTACAAGTTTTGACTTCACCAATAGGTATATTTCTTCCATACGTCCCTCCTTCGACAATCCGCTCTTGAGATATAAAGAATTATATCCGATTACGATAAGGGGTCGAGGAGGAAGACTATGGTTGGTAGAAATTAATTCCTTTTGTTGAGACTTGTCATTAGAGTACCATGAAGGATCAAACCAGTTCCGCCGCCTCCCCTATTTTGATAATAATTATAATAAATAATAATAATAATAATATATTAGATTAAAAGGAGACACACCAATTAATCAAGTCAGTCATAGAGCTTGCAATGAGTAACATATTCTTCTAGTGAATACGGGGTACAATCAATGAGCAAACGTCTCACAGCTTTTTTAAATAAATGATACGATGTAATCGTTTTGATGTTAGAGGGTAAAACATTGAATAAAGTAGTACCTTTATATAGAACACCTTTTTGATATAAGGCACTACTATGTTTTTGAACCTTAAGTAAACAGTTTCGTAAAGGGTATTTATGATTTGCAACGTCTGTTGTAAAGTAGCATCGATTACAGTAAGGGTAAGAAAGAAGGGCTGTAGTTGGTAGAAAACAGTTCTTTTTGTTGAGACCTTTAATTAGAGAACAGCTACATGATCCAGATTAAAAAAATATTGGATGTTTTTTCGTCACCAGGCGGAGAAGGGGGAGGGTGCCCGGTGGATATCTGGTATCAGGTGGATGTCACTAACGACGGAAACTATGGGATACAGAAAACTATCAGAGGATCGCCCGACTCTACTTTTGGCCAGGGATGTACAAAGATAGCTTATATCCGGAAATGCGGAGACTGCAAGGTCTCCAATAGAAAGCCAGAAGGACGGTTTCAGACCCCGGTAATGTTGTTTGAAGTCTTCGCCATGGATTTTTTTGGACTTCTAGCACAGATAGCCGAAGAATATCGATTGACGTTCATTATAGAAACCACCGCGGGCGCCAAGTACTCATTAATGAAGTGGACGAAGGAATAGAGATCTGAAGACACAATTATTCATCTTGCTTGAAAAACGATCATCGTCACTGACTATTTGAGAAGAGAGTGAGAACTTGGCGGTGGAAATCATTTCAAATTATTTGCTTGATTTATCGCCTTTGTAATTTACTCAATTTAGATAAGATGCTGGTTAAGTTTGCGCTATTTAAAAAAGGTTACATCTGGTCGTTTGCGATAAGGAGTTTTTATCGGACGAAATTTAATCAACGCACGTGTCGGCCGCCATGCCACGCTCATATTTTATTTAAAGATACTAAATATAGAAAGTAAAGTCACTAAATATAGAAAGTACCGCAATCCATTGGGCTCGTGTGTTAGAGAGAGAACGCATGATTTTTGCCCAAAAATGGCGGAAGTTGTAACTTTAATGTTAGGGATTGTTCCACCTGTTTGGAGATATCTGTATATATTTTTATAAAACATGACAGTAATATGAAGTTAGGTTATAAAAAATGACAGCTATTCAGATTTTGTCAATTTATTTAAGTTGGCAGCAAATTTGCCCAAAAATGGCGGATGATTGCGGTACTTTCTATATCTAGTGACTTTAATAGAAAGTACCGCAATCCATTGGGCTCGTGTGTTAGAGAGAGAACGCATGATTTTTGCCCAAAAATGGCGGAAGTTACCAGATCCTAGTAACTTTAATGTTAGGGATTGTTCCACCTGTTTGGAGATATCTGTATATATTTTTATAAAACATGACAGTACTATGAAGTTAGGTTATAAAAAATGAACAGCTATTCAGATTTTATTTGTAAATTTTTTTAAGTTGGCAGCAAATTTGTCCAAAAATGGCGGATGATTGCGGTACTTTCTATATCTAGTGACTTTAATTTTATTGTGAAGTTTGCGCCATCTGGCGCCAGTAAATTGTATGATAAGGTTTGAACGTAATACAAGAATTACTTCACCTAACACGCCCCCTCCTGGACTGTCGGTGGGATAACTATAAATGAATAAACAATGTGATTTCTCCGCCTGGTTTCTGGAATATCTTTAGATCATTTAAGTTTCGGTTGTATGTCCGTAGTCAGCCCCTAGTCTCCAAAATTGTTATAGCCGTCTTAAAAATGTGTATGCATTTCAGTTACGCGAATACGCTAGGGAAATAAACGAATTAGTATGCCGTGACGGATCTGACGCTGACGTACAGTCCTTAATTCAACAGCAAATGTCCACGATATTCCGGATCGTCGGCATATGCCTGGGAATACCCGACGAAACGTTCACGTGGACGTACTACGACAAAAACAAGGCGTTTCACTCCATCGGGCCGATTACGCCGAAGGAATTCTACGACGTACACTTGCGCCCTCTGTTCGACGTAAACGAGAAGGTAAAGGCCGGCGCTGTTCGGCGGAGAATAACGACCGCTCCGTTTAGGTTTGCCTAGTCACCGATCCGCGAGAGAGCAACAAATACGGAAGGCTGTACACCGTCGACTGTCTCGGAAACATGATTGACGGCCGCAAGTGCATTTACAATAATCAACCCGTCGAGCTTTTAATCAAATTGGCGGCGGATAGCATTAGGAACGGCGAACCCGTCTGGTTCGGCTGTGAGGTTTCCAAGCGGTTCGCCGCGAAACAAGGCCTGGAGGATTTGGAAGCGTAAGGCCGATGTTACTCTATTGCTTTTCTAACTCGAAAGTCTTTAGGCAAGATTTTTCCGTCCTCTTCGGAACAGATATTCAAACCACCATGCCGAAAGCGGATCGCCTGCTTTATAGCGAGAGCGCGATGACTCACGCCATGGCGTTCACCGGCGTCGCGACAGATGTAGGTAATTACATCCTGGGTGCACGCGTAATTGTGTGGTTTTCAGGAGAGCGGCGCCGTGACGAAGTTCCGCGTCGAAAATTCGTGGGGCGACGATAGAGGCGATAAGGGCTACTTGGTGATGACGACCGAGTGGTTTAAAGAGTTCGGTTTCGAGGTCGTCGTCGATAAGAAATTCGTACCGCAGGATGTTTTAAATGTGTTCGATCAGGATCCGATTGTCCTACCAGCTTGGGATCCAATGGGAACGCTTGCTTTGTAATGATGTGAATGTTAGGTTAAGCGTTTTTGGAGCTTTTTTTACCACTTGTATATAAACAATTTATACTAATGAATTTTAGAGTGGAAGTCGGACCGGTTTAGTTCAAATTGTGTATCTGTAATATAATAAATTCTCTATCCAATTAATAAATGAGGTTATGTTCATACAATCATACCCTTGACACCTTGTGCTGCTTTAAATGACTGATGGTTCAAAAACCTTCAGGCAGCATGGCCGAATACTCTGGGACGACGATGGAAAGGTCTGTTGTCGGAAAGCATGACGATGGATCTGCTTTCTTTGGATGTCTAACTGTTTCGACCGTGCAGAGGTAAATGATGGAGTGCTAAAAATTACTTAACATTTCAAAATACAACTTTTGTTTAAGGTTACCGTACCCAGGGCCTTGGATACCTTCTGGACTGGAGGAGGTCCGACTAATGTATTGCATGTACTTTATGTAAGAGACTTCGGAATGATATTTTTCACAAATGGAAAAGGAGTGGAGTTGCTTTGAGATCTATTTTAGCTGACCATCCTTTGACTTATCAAATCTGGAACTTCCATCTGGGACCTGTCACTACCTGGAATTTTATCTGGGACTATATGGAATACACAAACAATTTCAAAAGGATATCAAGGAGCTGGAAATCCTCAAAGTAGAATTAACGACCGTACTGTAGTGTACAGGGTGGCCAACTAAGAATGCGAGCTACTGTATCTGAGAATCTATCCATCGTAGAGGCTTGCGGTAAAAAAAATTTATTACTAAAACGGCCACGAGCAAAACCTGGAAAATATTTTTAAGTTTCTGAAATGACCGCTAGGAGGCCTAACTGCAATCTGGAATCTAAAAAAGTGATGTTTCTGTGAATTCCGCTATATTAACCTAACAAAAAAATGTCCGGTCTTTGAAGACGACGATAATCTGAACCTTTTTTGTTTGACAATTTTTCCTGTATCTCTAAAAATGAAGTGGTGGGGGGTATTCAAAGGTTTCCGTAAAGAACACCCTGTATCTTCGAAACGACTGAGCCGATTTTAACAAACTTGGGTTAGTTTAAAAGAGCTATTCTTCAGCTACAAATATTATACTATTTGAAGTTTTGTTAGTTTCACATGTCACCGCTTGAGGGCCTTTTTCGACATGCCGACAGAAATGGTTAATTTTCTCAAAAAAATTAAATGCATTAGTACGATTTTTTTTCATGAAAAAGTAGCTAAATGATGCCTAAACAAACTCGCGAAAACAGCATCTCGATATCTTGAGATATATGTACTATATACAGGGTGTTACACGACCGTTCGAAAAAAAAAAATCGGGTTGTAGAGGGCATCAAAACAAGCACTTTTTCCAAATAAACCGAGGGTCCAACGTGTTTCGTTTGGGAGCCACCCCCCAAAGAGTGTTGAAATCTGCATTTCTTCTTTAATTTTTTTCTCAGCAACCATAAGAGTTACAAAGTCGGGTGGCATGTCTTTGAATAGGTTTTTGGGTATGCTCTTTCCGATTTTGCAATTTTTTTTTCAAAATTCCTACCCCTAAAGGGCGCACCCCTAAACTAGGGTGCAAAAAAATTCTGATTTCGACGAAATTTGGTATCTGGGGTTTTTTAACATGAAAATCACGAATCTGAAATTAGTTTTTGAAAATTCGAAAAAAAAAGTTCCACTGCAATTCTTGGCGGGACAACGAAAATAGAGATAATTCCACGAAATTTGTTGTGTACATACTAAACGAGTTAAGGAACAAAACAGTTTTTTAAAATAACTTTTCAAACAAAAGTTATACTCATTTGAATGTTGGTCCTTCGGGTCGCGAAGTGTCCCAAGCCTACTAGTAAGCCATAATTTCGCATGTGTTGGTTGACAATGTCGCAAAAACAAAAGATTAACGGTTTGAGTCGATATTTTGTTATTTGGAATTAATTCGGTCATTAAATGATTAAAAAATTCGATGTATCGATTAAAACACCTACCAAGGTATCTTAAAGCGCTGATCGATTGTTTATTATCTAAATAAGGTAGGGGAAATTTGTCCTTAAAAGGAGCGTGTTCTTTTGGAAGTTATTTTTCAACCTAAGATTATGAAAATTTTTGATCATAGTGAAAAAGTATCATACGGAAAGTGATTTGACTTTTTCCCCTACCTTATTTAGATAATAAATAATGGGGTGGCTCCCAAACGAAACACGTTGGACCCTCGGTTTATTTGGAAAAAGTGCTTGTTTTGATGCCCTCTACAACCCGATTTTTTTTTTCGAACGGTCGTGTAACACCCTGTATATATACTTTTTTTATATGGTGATGGCCAGCATTTACGGCGGCATTAAAAGCTTCCTTTTTTAAATCGATCTACCTTAGGGCCACTTATTATATAATAAAAATAATTCCGGAAAAATTATCTTAAAAAAATAAAATTTTGAGGGTATAAAATTTTCTTTGGCCTAAATTTTAGGTTAGGAACAAGATATCGAGATGCGGTTTTCGCGAGCTTGTTTAGGCATCATTTAGCTACTTTTTCATATAAAAAAAATCGAACCAACGCATTTAATTTTTTTGAGAAAATTAACCATTTCTGTCGGAATGTCGAAAAAAGCCCTCAAGCGGCGATATGTGAAACTAACAAAACTTCAAATATTATAATATTTGTAGCCGAAGAATAACTCTTTTCAATTAACCCGAGTTTGTTAAAATCGGCTCAGTCGTTTCGAAGATACAGGGTGTTCTTTACGGAAACCTTTGAATACCCCCCCACTACTTCATTTATAGAGATACAGGAAAAATTGTCAAACAAAAAAGGTTCAGATTAGAAATTTGAGAAACAAAGGTTTGCTTACACCTCCCTCGCACGCCACAGCTATGTATGAAAGATCTTTTACCTACAACATCAGCAAATGGTATAATTCCCTAGCTATGGACATCAAAAGCATGCCTTACAAAACATTTAGATTAGCTACCATGTCGAGGTTATTGCACGAACAATCTTCTTCTCAATGATATTTGACAATTTAATTTGAGGTTTTTTTTTTTTGCTAGATATATTATTTTTATTTTTATTTTTTCTTCTTTGTATTTTCTGTTAATGAACGGAATCACATGGGTTAGATGGAAGAGCAGAAATTGTATGTACATATGTTTCATTCCATTACTGAATCTCGCCCTTTGTACACACTTCTATGTAATGTAACCTATAGGTACTATTAAAGACATTTATTATTATTATTATTATCGTCGTCTTCAAAGACCGGACATTTTTTTGTTAGGTTAATATAGCGGAATTCATAGATAAATCACTTTTTTAGATTCCAGATTGCAGTTACGCCCCCTAGCGGCCATTTCAGAAAATATTTTCCAGGTTTTTCTCGTGGCCGTTTTAGTAATAAATTTTTTTACCGCAAGCCTCTACGGTGGACAGGTTCCCAGATACACTACCTCGCATTCTTATTTGGCCACCCTGTACTTAACCCCCAGGTTCTACGCTAACTTCACACTACAAGAACACGGCAATAAAGTCAACCAGGCAACGTTTAAAAATGGCCACCGAATGATTATTCCCTCCAAAACTAAACAAGATTCCGCTTAAATTTGAAAAGTGGCACGTGATCAAACATCTAAGGCAGAGCCCCCTTACGTTAGTTGTAGACAACGCTTTGACCTGAAGCACAGTAGGGAAAAAAACGTTAAATAAAACACTGAAATTTTGAAAGTTTGTTTAATAATGAGCGTAATTATTGATTGTGAAAACCCGGAAATTTAGTTGATGAACATTAATATAAACAAAGCAAGCAAAGCCAAAAGGTGTCGTACTCTCGCAAAAATAACTGCTAAGGGTAAAAAGAGTACGACGTAAGAAAAACCTCGCATTTTGATTAATACAGTCCAAAAGTTAATTAACAAAATATTTTGTAAAAGTTTAAGTTAACAAAGATAGTAAATGCATACACGGTGTCCATTTTTCGAGTGCCACTATGGGGATCTCGCTTATCTTGAGATAGAAAGTTGGTTAAATTGGGGCAAAGTTGCAAATTTCCGTGCTGAATAAAAATCTGAAACGAAATTTGAAATATCTTCAATAGTTTTGAAGATATCGCAAAAAAACGAAAATTTCTGATTTTCGTTTTTAATTTTTTTATGATAAACTAATCGTAGTAGACATTTCTAATTAACACATTATTCGGACACTTTTTAATGGAGATTTCAAATATGGCATCTTGTTTTTAATTACTTTCAAGATGACGGAGAAACACGTGGCAACTTTAGTTTTTCTTATGGGCGCCATATTGAATTTTGACATTTTGGGATGACGTCTTTTCTCTCTTTACAACGATATATCGCACATGGCGGTTCAGTATCACATTTTTTCGTGCATTTTTTCCAAAAAACAATTTTTAATTTTTTGAGAAGAGTGCTTTGGAAAAACAAAACGTTCTTTTGTTGTAAACAAAAGTTTGACAGTTTGATCCATCTGTCTGGTTGCAGCATTGTCAGAGAAGCACTCTTTTCAAAAAATTAAAAATTGTATTTTTAGGAAAAATATGATACTGAACCACCATGTGTGTGATATATAGTTGTAAAGAGAAAAAAAGACGTGATCTCAAAATGTGAAAATTCAAAATGGCGCCCATAAGAAAAACTAACGTTGCTACGTGTTTCTCCGTTATATTGAAAGTTATTAAAAACAGGATGCTATATTTGAAATCTCCATTAAAAAGTGTCCGTCTAATGTCTTCATTAGAAATGTCTACTACGACCTCCTCGATGGCTCTTGTGCAAATATACAGGGTGGGAATTGTGTTTGGAACACTAAATATATTTTCAAAACTCAAATTTTTGCAAATAAGTTATTTATGGTAAGTATCATAATTATATAAGTTTACTACCAATCTGATTTTTCGTCACTGACTGAGATGGTACCTGAATATATGAATTACTTTGTATATAACAATTTGCAACCAATTACAGTGGACAAGTATGTTTTTCATTTTGTAATTTAAATTTAAACGATTCTATATTTAGGTTTGGCGGGTAAATTGTCTAATTTGCCTTTCTCTAACCAATCACTTATATTGTTAGGTCACACAGACGGCATCTCGCCCCTGCAAGATGGGTAGCCCGCCCCTGGTTTCGGGGTTTCGAGCCTACAGTTGGATGTCGAAGACAATCATGGAATTAGGTGTACTTAAATTTTGACTACAGTTTTTTTACCACCTCCGTGACTGCTTCATTCACGAAGAAAATTGTTAGTAACAAACAAGTCAGTGCATACATCAAACGAATCGGTATTAAACATATTAAAATAAAATGATGAAAATTATATGAATGTTATTTCAGGGACAAGACCAAGTATCAACATTAATAAACATAAATTAAGTAACCATTACACCAAAAACGTAAACAATTACAAACAATAGCATAACGGTATCACACATGTGATTCTGCATCGCGGTTAAACCAAGTAAATTTCAAAAACAAAGATTCAAACACACAAAAAATATAAAATGCGGCATATAAACCACAAATACGATATAAAGAAATATAAAAATTACTACCTGATTAAATAACAACAAACATTTATGGAGCGACGCGTACACGACCGCCATTCAAGACAAGATGCCAAACGTAACCCCCGTTTGTGGTTTCTAGGTGGCGCATGCAGCTTTTCCCCACCTAGAAATTGCATGGTTGCCAACTCTCAAAAATGTATGTATCGTCGTAAGTTGTATATACAGGGTGGAACCTCTCAGTACATTTATAAAAAAGTAACAAAAAAACATCCTTTCACAAGGACACTTGTTCTAACTGGGAAGACAATGGAAAGGCCTGTTTTCGGAAAGCATCATTATTGATGGATCTGCTTTCTTTGGATGTCTTTAACTGTTTCGGCCGTGCAGAGGTAAATGCTGTAGTGCTAAAAATTACTTACCATTTCGAAATACAACTTTTCTTTACGGTTACCGTATCCAGGCCCTTAGATACCTTCTGGACTGGAGGAGGTCCGACTAATGTATTGCACGTACTTTATGTAAGAGACTTCGGAATGATATTTTTCACAAATTGAAAAGGAGTGGAGTTGCTTTGAACTGACCATCTCTGGCTTAATCTGGAATTTTATTTAGAACTTCATCCGGGACCTGTCACCACCTGAAATTTTATCTGGGACTATCTGGAATACACAAACAATTTCAAAAGGAGTTGAAATCCTCAAAGTAGAATTAACGACCGTATATTTATAAAAAAGTAACAAAAACACCGACTTTCACAAGGACACTTGTTCTAACGATATTAGCACCTCTACCATTTCGGGCCGGTCCTTTGCCCGCCTGTTGACGCACACCTTTCCTATCTCGATGAAGCTGCGAAAGCAATTGTCGCCGTCCGGCGCTCGTCCGTCCTTCAAGTCTAAAATGTCCCCCTTGTAATTGTCGATGTGGTCCCGCAGGAACTTGTCCGGCCGCTGCTCGACGTAGACGTGTAGCGCGGTCGCCAGTTCGAATAGTAAGACGCCGAAACTGTACGTGTCCACTTTGGTCGACATTTTCTTCGAGCGCAAGTAGTCGGCGGGCAGGTAGGGGCCGGTGCCGTGAATTCGGCTGACCTTGACGTGCGTGTAGTCCGACTGGGGACCCTCGCGCGCCAGCCCGAAGTCGCCGATCTTCGCGTTGTCGCACGGGTCGAGGAGAATGTTGGCCGGCTTGATGTCGCCGTGGATTAGCGGTTTCTCGCCGATCGTGTGCAGGAATTGGAGACCCCTGAAAGAACGCGGCTGAAGTGCGCGCTGTCGGGAGGTTTCGGGCGGATTACCTCGCCGTTCCGATGCTCACGTTCAGTCTCTGGGGCCAGGAAAGAATTCGGGTTGGATCTTTTGTGCGCAGCCTGTGTTCTAAGCTGCCGCCGGACATGTACTGGTAGACTAGGCAAGGTTGCGGTCCGCCTATACTGTAACTACAAGGAATAATTAATAAGATTACGTTACACTACCCCCTTTTTAATATGGCGTTGCTTTTTTTCATATATTGTTTGATTTGCTTCCAAAGCGATCATGGCTTTTGAGATTGTAAATAAATTTCCGCTTCCAAAACTGTATCAGAATCGCAGAAATGTAAGGTGCGTAATGTGTACTGACAGATACCTTCTCACGTGTTCTGTTATAATGATATAAAATGATCACTTAAGGATCGCTCCAAGTCTCCTGATAGAACACGCTTTTTCCAAAACTAGTTTTATCAGGATTACAGAACTGCAAAAAGGTGTAAAAGTGAAGCTTGGCGTTGTAGACTGCCGCGTTTGTAGTCTACCGCGTAGTTAATATTTTGCGTAGTAGTTTTTTATCTGTTAAATTGATTTGTTTTGGAAGCCACGGTCAAATTGATTAAAATACGGCACTTTACCGGTTATTGACAATGGAATAAATATCTAACCGATCTAGTTGACTGTTTCGCCATACCCGAAGCAAATACATACCCGTATAGTGGTAGAACGTTATCGTGACGATAGGCATTTAGGCAGTGCAATTCCGTAATCGATTGCTTGATTTGTTCCGTATGCGATTCGGGAGTGTTCCCCTTCTGCTCGATGCGCTTGATGGCGACCTGCGTACGTTTCCACGTGCCACGGAAGACCGTTCCGAATCCCCCCTTTCCCAGCACGGCGGACGGCTCCCAGTTGTTCGTCGCGTTCTGCAGCTCCTCGTAGGGTATTTGCGGTATCGCCCCCGCCGACTCGGCAACGCACGACATTTCGGACATTGGTCCATTCGAGCCACTCCCTCGGCGCTTCATCACACGATTAGTATACGCTCAACAAACTGAATCTATTGTCTAAGACAGTGGTTCTCAACCGGTGGGTCGCGGCCTCCTGAACGTGTCCGAAGGGGTCGCGAAATACAGGGAAAAAATTATAATTCATATGGTTGAGAACCACTGGTCTAACACATGCATCCTTGTTTTAAAAACCGGTTTTAACGCAATCCAGAGCCCTCTAGAGGTTTCCAGAGTCACTTAAGTTCTTGAAATACTCCTACTATATATACAGCTTTCGAGAGCATTCTATGCCATTTTTAGAGCATACTAAATTCTAAAACGCGCTTAGAAAGGGTCCTCTAAAACTTTAGACAAATCTCAAAAGCGTTCTATGCCTTTCCCCTGAACTAGAAAAGTCCAGAAAGCTCTGAAAGGGTCTAGAACATTCTCAAAACTCTAGGTCCACTTCACAATTGCTCTGGAACCGTTTACAATGCCATGAAAAATACTTCTCAACCTATCCCATCAGTCCTTTGGGACCCCTTTGGCCGTTTATGGCCCGCGAAAAATGTCCTTTCCTGAGATGTTTGGAAGAGGCCTAAGGACATACCCAGGAAGTTCTGGAAAAGATCTTGAACCTTGTGACGAACGCCTAAAAACCTTTGAAATACTCTGCGCGACTCCAGAAAGAGTTTATGTGATTTAATGAGATTATTCAAGAGGTAACATATAAGTTAAAAACAAGTTTTGGGAATTATGGGTCAAGTAAGCAGGTACCAAGATTCTAAGAAAGGGTGAAATACACAGGATGTGACTCATCTTTGGCGCAATAAAGTCCTTTTGTAATCGTAACTCATTTGTCGCACATAGATTCTAAAGTGAAGAGTTTTGATTAGCATAATCCCGCTCCGGCAAGATAGGTAACTCGCCCCTGGTTTCGAGTCTACAGTTGAATGTCGAACACAATCACGGAATTAGGTGTCGTAGTTCAAATGGATACAGTTTTTACGTGACTGCTTCATTCATGGAGAAAATGTTAGTTACAAACAAGTCAGTACATACATCAAACGAATCGGTAATCTCCAAATATTAAAATAAAATGATCAAAACTTATATGAATGTTACTTCACGGACAAGACATAGTAATTAACATCAATAAACATAAATTAAGCAGGAATTATACAAAAAACGTAAACGATTTCAAACAAAAGGATAACGGTATCAAATATGTGATTCTGCATTAAGGTTAAATCAAGTCAATTTCAAAACCAGAGATTGAAACTCACAAAAATATAAAATGTGGCATACAAAACAGAAATACAATATAAAGAAATGCAAAAATTACTACCTGCATTAAATAACGCAAAATAACAACAAACATTTATGGAGCAACGCGTTCACGAACGCCATTCAAGACAAGATTCTAAACGTAACCCACGTTCGTGCTCTCCAGTCTCCAGATGGCGCAAATCGCTTTCCCCTCCTAAAAATTGCGTGGTTGCCAACTCGCAAAAATGTGTGCATTGTCGTAAGTTGTATATACAGGGTGGAACTTCTCAAGCTCAATTAAACTGAAACTCTTAACACTTTTTACATGGAAAGTTATCAATTTCCCAAGGCACGTCCAGCGTCCGCTACAACGAAGATATCTCGATATTGACTTAAATTTAATTACACGAAAAACGCCTTGACCACTTCCAAAGAATTATATAACAAATGATTATTTAAACACCTAACATAACCCTGGGTATGAGAAGTACTCATATCCTGGGTTGTAATTTGGGCTTGATTAACAGCTGATTGACAAACAAAGTTAATGTATTTGACAAATTAATGCTGTAGATAAAGAAAGGCGATCAGGGCCAGCAAACAATATACCACGCACATGCGATCGATTGAAACGAATTAAAATATAGGCAAGTGTATAGCCTTGCTTTTGATCGAAAATGCACCACTACAAAATTTCCCGGGAAAACACTTTTTCTTATAAATGTTGGTGCGTAGAATCCAAAACGATTCGTATTTTTTCGCTTAGACCTCTCAATCAAAAGATATGGGCAAAAAACCAAATTCAAAAAAAGATTCAAGGGGCTGTAACTTTTGATTTAGTAGCCCAATCTTCAAACTGTTCGAAATTATGGATTCTAGAGGCCGAAATCTATAAGAAAATGTTTTTTCCCCGTCGATTTCAGACAATTCATTTTTTTGACCCAAAATATAGGCAAGTGTTATAGCCTTGTTTTTGATCGAAAATGTACCACTCCAAAATTTCCCGGGAAAACACTTTTTCTTATAAATGTTGGTGCGTAGAATCCAAAACGATTCGTATTTTTTCGCTTCGACCTCTCAATCAAAAGTTATGGGCAAAACACCAAATTCAAAAAAAAAATTCAAGGGGCTGTAACTTTTGATCTAGTAGCCCAATCTTCAAACTGTTTGAAATTATGGATTCTACAGGCCGAAATCTATAAGAAAATGTTTTTTCCCCGTCGATTTCAGACAATTCATTTTTTTGACCCAAAATATAGGCAAGTGTATAGCCTTGTTTTTGATCGAAAATGCACCACTCCAAAATTTCTCGGGAAAATACTTTTTCTTATAAATGTTGGTGCGTAGAATCCAAAACGATTCGTATTTTTTCACTTAGACCTCTCAATCAAAAGTTATGGGCAAAAAACCAAATTCGAAAAAAATTTCAAGGGGCTGTTAACTTTTGATCTAGTCTTAACCTATCCCATCAGTGCTTTTGAGACCCCTTTGGCCGTTTATGGCTCGCGAAAAAGGTCCTTTCCTGAGATCTCTGGAAGAGGCCTAAGGACATACCCAGGAAGTTCTGGAAAAGATCTTGAACCTTGTGACGAACGTCTAAAAACCTTTGAAACACTCTGCGCGACTCCAGAAAGAGTTTATATGATTCAATCAGATTATCAATGGTGGCGTGGCGTCATAATTATTTGTCAGAAATAATCGTTACATTGTTTACTAAGGTAGGTTTAATTATCTGGCCAGCAGGAATATTTTTTTATTATTAGGATTAGGCTTTTCCCTCCTTAAGCCTATAACACTCTAAAAGCCTAGTAAAGCCTTAGACATTTTTGAAGACCGAAAGACTCCTATTGATGAAAAGTGACCAGAAAGATTTGAAAATCCACCGGTACCTTAAAAACATGTGCACACACGAAAACTGTAGATACTTACCGGAGGTATCGGCGATTTGGGCTTCAACAGCCTCTCGTCGTTATCCTCCCGGCTAACCGGTCCGTTATTAGCAACCTGAGGCACAAGTCGATTATTACTGACAATTCGCCCGTCGTTCAAAACTTTGCGATCGTCGAAGTTCACCAGATGCTCCTCGGGCACGTGCACAACCGGAGCCGGCGAGCTCTTACCGTTTCGCAAGGCGAGGTCTTGCAGCAGGCAATTTAAGTTATCGTCGCCGTCCTGTATGAGCGAGTGATACGTGACGTCGACGTGCATCTTTATCACGGACATCGCTTGGTAGTGCTTCATTCGACTGAGCAGTATAAACAATTCAAGAACTGTGTGATTCTGTTGGCCCCAAAGGGTGAGAAGCTCCTCCGTCGGGGAATTGCCACGGAAGATCTCCTTACGCAAACCCTGGGAAGAGTCGTGAATGACGAGCGTTAATGGGAGGTAATTACCTGAATCGTTAAGAAGTCATATTTCATGTGAGTACCTCCTAGTTCCTCCCACTTGTTGCTGTAGTCGAGGATACTGCACAGTTCTCTTCGCTCGGAATGGGGCAAATGATAAATGTACATACTTCGGTGAGGCATTTTGTTTCCTCATAGTTTTGTAGCTGTTCCAGGCACAGCTGCAGGCAGCTTAATTTTAAACTGGAAAAACCCAATTCCAAGAATCTGTTGACAAATAAAACTTTGAGGTTATAAAGGTCAATCGTTGGTTGCCAAATCGCTTTGTGAATTGTGATGCGGCGTTGTCACGTTGCTTCGTTAAAAGTAAACTTAGGATATTTCTAGATGGCACAAACTCCTACTTGTCAAAATTCTTCGGTTTCGGCGCCCCTCAGGAGACATGAGAGGGTTTACGGAGTGTACCTAAAAAATAACCTGGAATGGCAATAGATTTCTATAGAAAAACACTAGCACGAAGCTCTGGATAGCCTTTGTAAAGCCGGTTTCCAAAACCTTACAGTGCAGGTTTTCGACAACCTTCTGTTACTTGCTTACTAAGAGATCCATATAATTCGGAAATCAAACAAGTGCTTTGCTGGACATTTAAGGCTTTCGAGGCTTCGTCCAGATGATTGATGGTGTCTTTCCAGAGCGATTTTCCGTCATTTTTGACTGTCTTAACCCATTTTCTAGATATTTTTAGAATCGCCTGCTTTGGAAAGGGTATAAAATAATTCAGATAAGCACCTAAGACGCTTTGGAAAGGACTAGCAAGCTATGGATAACCTTTTAGAGTTTTTGAGCTTTTTCAGAGCATTTAAAGACGCTCCACAGCTCTCTACCTATAACACCAAGCACACATAAATATATCTCTGGCGTATGCCAGAGGTTCCACCCTGTATATACAACTTACGGCGATGCACACATTCTTAAGAATTGGCAACCACGCAACTTTTAGGTGGGGAAAGCGATTTGCGCCATCTGGAGAGCACGACGTAGGTTACGTTTGGCATCTTGTCTTAAATGGCGGTCGTGAACGCGTCGCTCCATAAATGTTTGTTGTTATTTTGTGTTATTTAATGCAGGTAGTAATTTTTGCATTTCTTTATATCGTATTTGTGTTTTGTATGCCGCTTGTTTATATTTTTTGTGTGTTTCAATCTTAGTTTTTGAAATTTACTTGGTTTAACCGCAATGCAGAATGACATGTTTAATACCGTTATCCTCTTCTTTGTAATCGTTTACATTTTTGATGTAATGTTTGCTTAATTTATGTTGATTACTTGGTCTTGTCCGTGAAGTAACATTCATATGTTTTGATAATTTTATTTTAATATGCGGAAATTACCGAGTTGTTTGATGTATCCACTGTCTTGCTGTTTGTAACTAACAATTTTCTTCGCGAATGAAGCAGTCACGGGGGTGGTAAAAACTGTAACCATTTGAAGTACGACACCTAATTTCGTGATTGTCTTCGACATTCAACTGTAGGCTCGAAACCCCGAAACCAGGGGCGGGTTACCTATCTTGCAGGAGCGGGATTAGGCCAATCAAAGCTCTTCAGTTTAGAATCTATTTGCGATAAATGAGTTACGATTCGTAATTTCCACATATCTTGTTTTAATTTAATTTGTCTACAAGGCCATGTAATTTTCCATTTTGCTTTTAACAAAAGTCTTTATTGCACCAGAGATGAGTCACCTCCTGTAGTCTTAACCTTTTCTCAGAATGTAGGTACATGCTCTTACCTGACCCTTTGTTCCTGTAGTGTAAGTACTTATCCCCCAGGTTCTACGCCAACTTCACTCTACAAGAACACGGAAATAAAGTCAACCCGGCAACGTTTAAAAATGGCCACCCGAATGACTATTCCCTCCAAAATTACACAAGATCCCGCTTAAACTTGGAAAGTGTGCATGTGGTCAAACATCTAAGGCCGTGACCCCTTACGTTAGTTATAAACAACGCTATGACCTGAAGCACAGTAGGGAAGGAACGTAGAATAAAACACTCTAATTGTGAAAAGTTGGTTTAATAATGATCGCAATTATTAAGATTGGAAATTTAAGGCGAAATAAATTACATTGCAAAAATAAACTTTGAAAATGATAGTTCACCGAATCAAAATAGAAATAGGCTGAGAAAAAAAGAACTTACCAATAAAAAAAACCAGCCGTCAAATTAATATTAAATTGTGTAGCAAAATTAATTGTTTGTAAGGATGCGAATGCGTAACATAAAATTATAACGTCACAAAAAGTAGCAGGTAAACTTCAAGAGGTAACATATGGAGTTAAAAACAAGTTTTGGGAATTAAGGGCCAGGTACGAAGATTCTACGAAAGGGTGAAATACACAGGATGTGACTCATCTTTGGTGCAATAAAGTCCTTTTGTTAAAAGCAAGATGGAAAATGACATGGCCTTGTAGGCAGATTCAACTAAAGACGAAATATGTGGAAATTACGAATCGTAACTCATTTATCGCACATAGATTCTAAACTGAAGAGTTTTGATTAGCGTAATCCCGCTCCTGCAATACGGGTAGCCCGCCCCTGGTTTCGGGGTTTCGAGCCTACAGTTGAATGTCGAAGACAATCACGGAATTAGGTGTCGTAGCTCAAATTTAACTACAGTTTTTACCACTCCCGCGACTGCTTCATTCACGGAGAAAATTGTTAGTTACCATCAAGTCAGTACATACATTAAACGAATCGGTAATTGCTACATATTAAAATAAAATGATCAAAATTTATAGGACTGTAACTTCTGCGACAAGATCAAATAATCAACACATACACATAAATCAAGCAAACATTACACCAAAATCGTAAACGATTACAAACAAAAGGATAACGGTATTAAACATGTCATTCTGTATTGCAGTTAAACCAAGTAAATTTCAAAAACTAAGATTGAAACACACAAAAAATATAAAAAGCGGCATACAAAACACAAATACGATATAAAGAAATGCAAAAATTACTACCTGCATTAAATGACACAAAATAACAACAAGCATTAATGGAGCGACGCGAATGACAACCGTCATTCAGGACAAGATGCCCAACGTAACCTCCGTTCGTGCTTTTTAGACGGGGAAGGCACCTTTTTCCCACCTACAAATTGCATGGTTGCCAGTTCTCAAAAATGTACTAAGTCCTAAGTTGTATATACAGGGTGGAACCTTTCACCTTGAAACGTACTGGTCCTTTCTCCAAATTCTCTTGAAATGGTCATGAAATTAATCCAAAACTTTCTTCAACATCTCTTTAAACTAACTTAGAAGTTTCTCTAAAGTAAACTGTGTTGAAGCTCTTGAACTGCACTTGAAAGCTTCTTGAAACAGTTTTCGGATTCTTCAAATTACCGACAACTTCTTGTTGGCGTTCCTTTCACACTTTCTAGATGTCCCTGAAAATTGTTGTAAAATCTCTGAAGCTTACTTGATACTATCTTAGTATCCTTGACACTCTATTGATATCAGTTGTGTGTGTAAATTAACGTAGTGTTGGACGATGTTTAATTTTGTTGTTTATAGCTGCATTTTAATTTGTTTATATTGTTAATTGTAAAGACATCTTGAAATTACTGGCGTAATTAAAAAAAAGTTTATCTCATGTTTGTCTCTGGTCGTGGATAAGAGCTTATCGCTAAGAAGTTAATCAATTTTGTAAACAGATATTTGTCGCAGGTTTGTTTGTTTAAAGTGAGGCTCGACGGCACGATATAGTAGTCTTTCATTGTGCAGGTGACAAACTGTGTACAGGGTGTTGCAATATGCTAAAAAAACGCAACCAATTTCTTTTAATATGTAAACTTGAACAAACAACACGATTGAATGAAAGAATCTCTTGGTTAAAGAGGTGCAACCACTCCAAGCCATTCTTTCACGACTTCAACCCCATAAATATTTGACAGTATTTTGGCAAATTGTGCGGTACAGTTGCTCAAGGCCATCGCCACATGGTCATTGGTTTGTAATCGCGTTCTTAATTGGATCAGTTGCCGGTTTGCTTATGGTGAATAGTTCCACGGGAACGTCCTTTACATACTCGTAGCTGTTATGCGAATGTACTCCATTCTCGACAACTTCCACATGAGAGCTGCTTGTCGATCGAGGGGTCTCTTGAGACTGGGTGGACTCTGAAACGGAGGTGACGTAAATCGGACAGGCGGAAGTTGGGGGATACCTAGAGAACGTCTGCTGTTTTTGCGGTTCACGTCGAAGGCCGAGGAGTTTTTGGCCAAGGACCAACTGAGCACGTTCTGCAGCATCAAACTGTTCGATATCAACACCTCCTCGGGCAGTTCTCGACCGTTTTGGGCGTTGGAAACGAACTGGCTCTGCTGCCGGTAAATTCCGCCGAAGATCTCCTCGGTGCGTCGCGACAGCGGGATGATGACCCTATCCTCGCTGACGTCGGACGTCGGTTCGTAGACGTGATGGCCGAAACGCTCGATCGTGCTGACGCCCGCCATGCCCGTCACCTCCATAATGCCGATCTGGGTGGTGCGCACGTGGTAGGGGAAGTTCTTGTTGGCCATCGAGGGCATGGTGAGCATCTGGCAAAGCTGTCATCGGAACGAGGCGGAAAAGATGCGCTCGAGCTTACCAGGAACATCAGGTGTCCCGCGAAGGTGATCAGCAGAAGCACGCCGCAGACCACCGACTCCCTCACCCATTTGTCTATGAAGGCGTTCGCGGACACAATGAACGCGGGACCGGCGATGAACCACAGGGTGCCGCAGATGTTGAATGGGTAGTAAAACATTGACTGTAACAGATTGACAATGTTGAACACAAAATAAGTGATATTCTTGGTGGAAATGCAAAGAATAAATTTATGAACCGTGGCGCAAATTTGGTGCGTTTTTGCGTCGTTTAACTTCTATAGGGCATTGTTTGTTTAAGAGCGAGAAGGACCTATAAACGCCTTCTAGAGAGATTTCATGCCCTCTCCATTGTTGTCAAAGCTCATCATCGGCCCCAATAAACTGCGCAGTTAAGATGCTCCAAACTCACCTTCTCTGGATAGTGCTTGAGGGTAAACACCGTTGAATACACGAACATCAGCCATGCGATCACCCTTAGCACGATCAGGGCGTAGCCTGCGGGCGACTCGTACAGGTAGAGCACCTCGCCCGGGTCGAAAACCTAAAAGCAGCGGTGAGGCGGAAGGAGAACACGGGTCGTGGTACAAACCTGCGCTTCGTATATGAAAATGCAAATGTAGGTCACCGAGTAGAGGCACATGAAGATTGTCAATTTGACGCTGGCTCCCAAGGGTAGACGTCCCCTCGTCACGGTGTAGCCCTTCGCCAGTAGCAGGAGTAACAGTAAGAAGCACGTTTCCGAGCCGCCCATAAACATGCTACCTGTGAAATCAAACCGATTAGTTTTTTCATCAATTTTGCTGGCGAAAATTGCAAAGCCTGAAGGATTAAAGGAAGCGAAGTTCAACGAATCAGAAGACAAGGGAATAAAAGGATCAATGGATCAAAAGGTCAAGGATAAGCAACCAAAGGACCAAAAAGATCCTAAGGATTCGATCAAAGAATCAATAGAGAAATAGAGCAATGGATGAAAGAACTGAAAGGTTAAGGAGGCTAAACATTTGAGGACGTAACGTTGCTAGATAAAGGATATAAAGATCTAAGGATCTAAAGGCTTAAGCAAAAGTTCTTAGGATTAAAGGATGCAATGAGAGATCCAAGGGTCCAAGGATCTAAGGATTCAGAAGTCCAAAAGTGTAAAAGATCTAAGGATCCAAAGGTCAAAATGTAAGGGTCTATGACTTGAAAAGCCTAAGAACCAAAAGTGTAAGGATCAGAAGATCTAAAGATCTATTAAGTGCGCTTAAGCTAAAGATTTTAAGATCAAAGGATGCAATGAGAAATCTAGGATCCAAGAGTCTAGGGATCCAAGGATCTAAGGATTCAGAAGTCTAAAAGTGTCAAAGATGTAGGGATCCAAATGTCAAAAATATAAGGGTATATGACTTGAAAAGCATAAGAACCAAAAGTGTAAGGATAAAAAAATCTAAAGATCTAAGTGCGCTTAAGCTAAAGATTTTAGGATCAAAGGATGCAATGAGAGATCCAAGAGTCTAGGGTTCCACTGATCTAAGGATTCAGAAACCCAAAAGTGTCAAAGATCTAATGATCCAAAGGTCAAAATGTAAGGGTCTTGACTTGAAAATCGAAGAATCAAAAGTGTAAGGATCTAAAGATCTAAGTGCGCTTAAGCTAAAGATTTTAGGATCAAAGGATGCAATGAGAAATTTAGGATCCAAGAGTCTAGAGATCCAAGGATCTAAGGATTCAGAAGTCTAAAAGTGTCAAAGATGTAGGGATCCAAATGTCAAAAATATAAGGGTATATGACGTGAAAAGCATAAGAACCAAAAGTGTAAGGATAAAAAAATCTAAAGATCTAAGTGCGCTTAAGCTAAAGAATTTAGGATCAAAGGATGCAATGAGAGATCCAAGAGTCTAGGGTTCCACTGATCTAAGGATTCAGAAACCCAAAAGTGTCAAAGATCTAATGATCCAAAGGTCAAAATATAAGGGTCTATGACTTGAAAATCGAAGAACCAAAAGAGTAAGGATCAAAAGATCTAAAGATCTAAGTGCGCTTAAGTTAAAGATCTTAGGATCAAAGGATGCAATGAGATCAAGAGATCCAAGAGTCTAGGGGTCCAAGGATCTAAGGGTTCAGAAGTACAAAAGTGTCAAAGATCTAAGGATCCAAATGTCAAAAATATAAGGGTATATGACTTGAAAAGCGCAAGAACCAAAAGTGTAAAGATCAAAAGATCTAAAGATCTAAGTGCGCTTAAGCTAAAGATCTTAGGGTCAAAGGATGCAATGAGATATCAAGAGATCCAAGAGTCTAGGGGCCCAAGGATCTAAGGATTCAGAAGTACAAAAGTGTCAAAGATCTAAGGATCCAAAGGTCAAAATATAAGGGTCTATGACTTGAAAAGCGTAAGAAGCAAAAGTGTAAGGCTCAAAAGATCTAAAGATCTAAGTGCGCTTAAGCTAAAGATCTTAGAATCAAAGGATGCAATGAGATATCAAGAGATCCAAGAGTCTAGGGGGTCCAAGGATTTACGGATTCAGAAGTCCAAAAGGGTCAAAGATCTAAGGATCCAAATGTAAAAATATAAGGGTCTATGACTTGAAAAGCGTAAGAACCAAAAGTGTAAGGATCAAAAGATCTATAGATCTAAGTGCGCTTAAGCTAAAGATCTTAGGATCAAAGGATGTAATGAGATCAAGAAATCCAAGAGTCTAGGGGTCCAAGGATCTAAGGATTCAGTAGTCCAAAAGTGTCAAAGATCTAAGGATCCAAAGGTCAAAATATAAGGGTCTATGACTAGAAAAGCGTAAGAACCAAAAGTGTAAGGATCAAAAGATCTAAAGATCTAAGTGCGCTTAAGCTAAAGATCTTAGGATCAAAGGATGCAATGAGATATCACGAGATCCAAGAGTCTAGGGGCCCAAGGATCTAAGGACCCAATGTTGTCAAAGATCTAAGGATCCAAAGGTCAAAAATATTTACCAAAAGTTATAATGAACAAAAGATACAAGGGTCTTAAGGTTGAAGTATGCAAATATCTAAATATTCTAAGGGATCTAGATTCTGTGGTTCTGTTTTTGATGGTTTCTCAGCCTTTATTGACTTAAAACCTTGAACCTTAAGCCTTAAGAGTTATTAACATCGTTTCAGGTACTTAACAAGCGTTGCGGGGTTTCAAGTGCAAAGAGAGCTTCCAAAGGCCTAATCAAAGAATATTTTAGAAACTAGAATCGATAATCGCTTCTCTCTTTAGGAGAGCGTCTCTAGGAGCCGTTGTGAATCTTGGAGAGCTTTTAACAGTTCTAAAAGATTTTTAAGATCAAACTAAACCTAAACAAAAATCCGGATTACTTCGAGCGAACATTGGACTTTGAACGGCAAGCAACCTTTGAACTTTGCACGGGCTTATTTTCAAAGATGACCACATCGTTAACTTTTGAGACCTCTATTTAGGTAGTTTTCAAAGTCCTCGTCAGGAGGAGAGCGAAATAACCTTGACGGCACCCAAATTTCGCGTTATGGAATTTTACATGGAGTTGAGTCCCTACTATTCATCATTACATGATTAACATTATTCGATATAGCTGAATGCCGGGGGGGGGGGGGGAGGGTTAATAGAGGTCGTCTTATGAGATTTTACATCGAGTTGAGTTAGGATCGGCCGTATGTACCTTACAAAAATTGAAATATGACACGGAATTTTAATGGATCTTAAGAATTGAATATGACAACGCGAAACTGGGGCCATTGACCTCTCGTTGCCTTAAAAATGAATACGACATCGCAAAGTGTGGTCTTGAACCGCGACCAACCTTTGCACTTTGGACGACGACAAACCTTTGGACTTTGAACGCCGAGTAAACTTTGGACTTTGAACTTTGAACTTTCTTAGAACAACGGAGAGGAGATAGAGAGGAGAATAAAGGAGAAGTGGCGTGGAGTGGTGGTGTGCTAATCAGAAGCTTCTTACCGAAAGTGTTAGCAGTCGGTGCTCCCACCCCATTCATCGCGAACTTGAGGTACGCAGCCGTCTGCAGGACAATGCCGAAGAATTGCACAATCACCGACATTACAAAGAGCTTATAGGTCGTGTGCAGCAGCTGTCTCGATTTCAACTCGACCGTACATATCAGAATCGCCAATATCAGTAGGGAGTACGAGATGCAGAACGTTATCAGAATTGGCAGAATGTCTAAAAATCCGTGCTGAGTCGTGGACACTTCGGACGCGGCTACTTACAGAATTGGTCGGCGGAGAAGTGCTCGTGAAAGTAGTCTCCAGGATTGCCGTTGGTCATCAGGATTCGGTACCTGATGCGAATGCCCTGGAAGAGAGGCGGTTAGTTGTCGGAAGTGGGGGAAGGCGCTCACCTTGCTACTGTTGCAGTTGCTAATTGCCACGAACCACCACCGTTCGCGAGCCGTATCGAATCTGCGAGCGTTCTGGCAGAGGAGCATTCGCGACTCTCTCTGGTTGAGCTGGTAGGAGGCATGCCGTTTTCGAATGGGGGCCTTGTAAGTTGTGGGGGGATCTGACGAATTGTAGACGAATGTACCTGTAGTGCTCGAGACGGTTGCTGCTGTTGCCTCAACAGATGAGGTTGTTGCCTCAACTGAGGTTGTTGCCTCAACAGTTGAGGTTGTTGTCCCAACTGTTGTCGTCGTCGTTCTTAGCCGAATAGTCGCCCTTGCAGTTGGCGTAGTACTCGTCGTGGTCGTCGCTATCGCATACTTCGTCAACCGGCATCCACCCTCGCCGCCGGAAAGGGTTAAATTTATAATTTGATTTTGCTCTATGTTTAACACCCCCTCCTTCTCGTAGCACGTCTGCAAGCGCAACGATTAGCTTCAGCCCCGACGTAAGCGACCTACCTTATTTGTCTTGTAGACGGAAGGCCACTGGTCTTTGGTATCGTAGTACAGCAGCAAATTTGGGTACCCATACTCCTCGTTGAACTCAATCATGTACTCAAACTCTCCGTCCAACGACAAGAAACAGAACCTCGTCAAAAATGCCCAATTCTAAAAAAAATTCACTTTGACCTGTGGAAGACCGCCGGTAACTTACGTCGTTCGTCTTCAGTTCGCCCTCCACGTATTTTCCGCAGATCTCTTCGCACTTAAAGAACATCACCAGCACCCACAGCTTTCCCAATTTGTTCATTTTAGGTTTCGGGTGTTTATGTCTGCGGGTCGCATTGATTAAATCAATAACGGGGAAACGCTCGGTTTCCATGGTCCTGTGATTCACAACAGACCCCCAATAATTTATTATTTGTAGCTCCGCTGCAGTTTTTTTCCTCCGGGTTTCTTGCATTGTCAATCTTTCCACTTTGCGCTCGTTTTCTATTTTGGCGATCTCGCTCTAAATCTTCTGATGACTATCTAGAAAAAGAGACTTATAAAACTCCGCTTCTTACGGGATTAATAAAGACTTTAAAAGCCTCTAAAATAACCGGAGACTCTCGAAGGTTCTTAAAGAACTCTTTGAGTTTAATGGTCATACTTACAGAAACCTAGCTCTGGAAGAGCCTAAAGCCTCAAATTTTAAAAGCCCTGTAAAGACTCGAAAATATTTTCCCTTCGAGATTCATATAATCTCCTTGAGGGTCTTAAAGGCTCATCAAGGTTCGGCTTTTAAAGGCTGTTAACGATTATCAGTCTTAAACGTCCTTTGATTTTAATGGTTATACTTACAGGTCTCAAAGGACAAAAAAATCTCTTAAAGGCTCAGCTCTGGAAGAGCCTTAAACCAGAAATTCTAAAAGCCCAGTAAAGACTCGAAAATACTTTCCCTTCGAGATCCATATAATCTCCTTAAGGGTCTTAAAGGCTCATCAAGGTTCGGCTTTTAAACGCTCTTAACGATTAACAGTCTTAAATGCCCTTTGATATTAATGGTCATAGTTACAGATTCTTAAAAGACACAGAAATCTCTTAAAGGCTCAGCTCTGGAAGAGCCTTAAGCCACAAATTCTAAAAGCCCAGTAAAGACTCGAAAATATTTTCCCTTCGAGATTCATGCAGTCTCCTTAAGGGCCTTAAAGGCTCATCAAGGTTCGGTTTTTAAACGCTCCTAACGATTAACAGTCTTAAATGCCCTTTGATATTAATGGTCATAGTTACAGATTCTTAAAAGACAAAGAAATCTCTTAAAGGCTCAGCTCTGGAAGAGCCTTAAACCAGAAATCCTAAAAGCCCAGTAAAGACTCGAAAATATTTTCCCTTCGAGATTCATGTAGTCAGTCTCTTTAAGGGCCTTAAAGGCTCATCAAGGTTCGGATTTTAAACGTTCTTAACGATTAACAGTCTTAAACGGCCTTTGATATTAATGGTTATACTTACAGATTCTTAAAAGACAAAAAATCTCTTAAAGGCTCAGCTCTGGAAGAGCCTTAAGCCTCAAATTCTAAAAGCCCAGTAAAGACTCGAAAATATTCTCCCGTTGAGATTCATATAATCTCCTTAAGCGTCTTAAAGGCTCATCAAGGTTCGGCTTTTAAACGTTCTTAACGATTAACAGTCTTAAACGCTCTTTGATATTGATGATTATACTTACAGATTCTTAAAAGACAAAAAATCTCTTAAAGGCTCAGCTCTGGAAGAGCCTTAAGCCTCAATTTTTAAAAGCCCAGTAAAGACTCGAGAATATTTTCCCTTCGAGATTCATATAATCTCCTTAAGGGTCTTAAAGGCTCATCAAGGTTCGGCTTTTAAACTCTCTTAAGTCTCTTAACAGTCTTAAACGCCCTTTGATATTAATGGTTATACTTACAGATTCTTAAAAGACAAAAAATCTTTTAAAGGCTCCGCTCTGGAAGAGCCTTAAGCCTCAATTTTTAAAAGCCCAGTAAAGACTCGAAAATATTCTCCCTTTGAGATTCATATAATCTCCTTAAGCGACTTAAAGGCTCATCAAGGTTCGGCTTTTAAACGTTCTTAACGATTAACAGTCTTAAACGCTCTTTGATATTGATGATTATACTTACAGATTCTTAAAAGACAAAAAATCTCTTAAAGGCTCAGCTCTGGAAGAGCCTTAAGCCTCAAATTCTAAAAGCCCAGTAAAGACTCGAAAATATTTTCCCTTTGAGATTCATATAGTCTCCTTAAGCGTCTTAAAGGCTCATCAAGGTTCGGCTTTTAAACGTTCTTAACGATTAACAGTCTTAAACGCCCTTTGATATTAATGGTTGTACTTACAGATTCTTAAAAGACAAAAAAATCTCTTAAAGGCTCAGCTCTGGAAGAGCCTTAAGCCTCAAATTCTAAAAGCCCAGTAAAGACTCGAAAATATTTTCCCTTTGAGATTCATATAGTCTCCTTAAGCGTCTTAAAGGCTCATCAAGGTTCGGCTTTTAAACGTTCTTAACGATTAACAGTCTTAAACGCCCTTTGATATTAATGGTTGTACTTACAGATTCTTAAAAGACAAAAAAATCTCTTAAAGGCTCAGCTCTGGAAGAGAGCCTCCTTAAAGACTCGAAAATATTTTCCCTTTGAGATTCATATAGTCTCCTTAAGCGTCTTAAAGGCTCATCAAGGTTCGGCTTTTAAACGTTCTTAACGATTAACAGTCTTAAATGCCCTTTGATATTAATGGTTGTACTTACAGATTCTTAAAAGACAAAAAAATCTCTTAAAGGCTCAGCTCTGGAAGAGCCTTAAGCCTCAATTTTTAAAAGCCCAGTAAAGACTCGAGAATATTTTCCCTTCGAGATTCATATAATCTCCTTAAGGGTCTTAAAGGCTCATCAAGGTTCGGCTTTTAAACTCTCTTAAGTCTCTTAACAGTCTTAAACGCCCTTTGATATTAATGGTTATACTTACAGATTCTTAAAAGACAAAAAATCTCTTAAAGGCTCAGCTCTGGAAGAGCCTTAAGCCTCAAATTCTAAAAGCCCAGTAAAGACTCGAAAATATTCTCCCTTTGAGATTCATATAATCTCCTTAAGCGTCTTAAAGGCTCATCAAGGTTCGGCTTTTAAACGTTCTTAACGATTAACAGTCTTAAACGCTCTTTGCCCTTTGATATTAATGGTTGTACTTACAGATTCTTAAAAGACAAAAAAATCTCTTAAAGGCTCAGCTCTGGAAGAGCCTTAAGCCTCAATTTTTAAAAGCCCAGTAAAGACTCGAGAATATTTTCCCTTCGAGATTCATATAATCTCCTTAAGGGTCTTAAAGGCTCATCAAGGTTCGGCTTTTAAACTCTCTTAAGTCTCTTAACAGTCTTAAACGCCCTTTGATATTAATGGTTATAGTTACAGATTCTTAAAAGGCAAAAAATATCTTAAAAGCTCATCTCTGGAACAGCCTTAAGCCACAAATTCTAAAAGCCCATTAAAGACTCGAAAATATTTTCCCTTTGAGATTCATATAATCTCCTTAAGGGCCTTAAAGGCTCATCAAGATTCGGCTTTTAAACGCTCTTAACGATTAACAGTCTTAAATGCCCTTTGATATTAATGGTCATAGTTACAGATTCTTAAAAGGCAAAGAAATCTCTTAAAGACTCAGCTCTGGAAAAGCCTTAAGCCTCAAATTCTAAAAGCCCGGCAAAGACTCGAAAATATGTTCCCTTCAAGATTCATATAATCTCCTTAAGGGTTTTAAAGGCTCATCAAGGTTCGACTTTTAAACGCCCTTTGCTTCCTCGGTTTCATCTTTATGCTATACCCACTTTTCTTCATTCCATCTTCCCTTGTCATCTTCCTCACGTTTGACTTCCTCCTTCTTTTCATATGCTTGCTCCTTGCTCTTTTTAATTTCTTCGTTCTTTACTACTATTGTCATCTACCACCTTTTTTCTCTTCTTCATTTCCTTCATAGTCTTCCTCGTTCGAATGACACTCTCCATGTTTCTTGACCATCGCCATTTGACCCCTTCCCTCCCTTCATTTTCTGACTCCCTGTTTTTTTCTTCTCTTCTGTCTCATCTATTTCGCTTTCCTCTTTTTCATTTCTTTCATCGTCTTCCTCGTTCTAATAACACTTCTTACGTTCTCCATTTTTTTTCATTCCATCTTTCCTTGTTGTCATCTTTCTCACGTTTACCAACAACCTCATCTTATTTCTTCCTTTTTTCATCTTTTTGTTTCCTAATATTTTTCCGCTTTTCTTCCCTGTTCTTTTTGCCATCTACATCCTCTTTTTTCTTCTTCATTTCTTTCATTGTCTTCCTCGTTCTAATGATACTCTTTACTCTCTATATTTTTTTATTTCTAACTTTTCTTGTCGTCATCTTCCTCACTTTGACTTCTTTTAGAACTTCTGTCTTCTTTTTCTTGTTTATCTTTCTTTTGTTCTTGTTTATATAAGTTGTTAATATAAGTCAATAATCAAGTTTGACGTCTATCAGTAAAATGCTATCTACCTTTTACACTCTCCTTTTCTCTTTCTATATCTTTACATCCTTCCTCTTGTTCTCCAGTAGGTACTCGTCTTCCCCTTCTATGCTTCTTTCTCCGTTTTCAACTCTAACTTGCTCTGCATCTTCTTCCGGTTCCCGCTTTTCCTTATTGCCTCCCCTTTTCGACTTTCCATTTCACTTTCGTTTTTCATTACCCCTTTGTCATTCTCCTTCCCCTTCCTGCGTTTTATGTTTTCTACTTCACCTTCGTCTATTTTGAATTTCTCTCTTTCCTTATTTTTCATCTTCTTGCACTGTTAATTTTTTCTGCTTCCCTTTGGCCTTCGTTCTTCAATACCCCTTTGCCATTTTCCTCCCCCTTCCTGCGTGTTATGTTTTCTATTTCACCTTCGTCTATTTTGAATTTCGTCACATTTTTCTCTCTCTCTTTCCTCATTTTCCATCTTCTCGCACTGTTAACTTTTTCTGCCTCCTCTTTTCGATTTTCCTTTTCGCTTTCGTTCTTCATTGCCCCTTAGTCATTTTCCTCCCCCTTCTTACGTTTTCTCTCTTTTCCTGGCAATAAACAATTGTAATAGGTGTAACCCTTTGCCTCTTTCTCTTCCTCGTCTACCACTGTCTCCATTTTCCTCATTTCATATATCTTTAACCATTTACTCTTAATTGGCGTTTGATCTTGGGTCTTTGATCCTTCATTCTTCTTTCCTCATTATTTTTTCAGTTTTTTTTTTACTTCCGTCTTCCATATTTTATTCCTTTCGGCGTCTTAATCTTAGTCCTCTTCGCATTTGGCTTTTAGGTATTTAGTTTTCTAGATCTTTCGGACTTTCGGTAATTCGGTCTTTCAGTTTTCCAGTCATTGGGTCTTTCGATCTTTGGGTGTTTGAGTCTTTGAGTCTTTGGGACGGTGGCTCTTTGGGTCTTTCAGTCTTTCGGTTTTTAGA